CTTTTCCTCTGCAAGTTTCAAGGAACGGGATTGGTATAATTTACCTGTTTATGTAGGTAGAAGATGGAATGTTGGAATTGTTGCATAATAAATCAACATCACAGAGTACTGAGAGTAAAAACCACTGAAAGGAGGGAAAGCTTTGAGCTTTCTGTCAAATATAAAAAATATCATTTAGTTATGAGATGTTTCAGATCAGCGCCCTCTAAAATTGCATCGTCACTTTGTGTCCTCAACCAGGCATGCACACGCAGACACAGTTCACAGAATCACAGAATCCCCTAGAAATTAGACTCCATCCTGGTTTTTTTTTTTTTTTGGGAGGGGGGGTCAAGAGACACTTCGTGCTGCACCATCCCCACAATAAAGGAGTGTATTCAAACACACATTTGTTTAATCGTATCAGTTTAGAATAAACGTTAGATGTTAACTCATAAATAAACATCACTGGACTCAGCTACAGAAGATGAGTAGGTTGTTGTGAAGCTGGGCCCATTATGATTTTCAAAGGTTGAATTAATTATCTCACAGCTGCTTTAATTAGAGCTTTTATATTGAAGCTTTGGACTTACTGTAATGAGTGTGATCATGTAGGCAGTAAAGTAGATTCTCTATTTGATGTCATGAGCCTATGTTTCTTACATAAATGATAAATGACCCGCACTTGTAAAGCGCCTCTCAGAGTAAGGACTCCAAAGTGCTTTACACTACAGTGTATCATTCATCCATTCACACACACATTCAAACACTGGTGGGGATGAGCTACGATGTAGCCACAGCTGCCCTGGGGCGCACTGACAGAGGCGAGGCTGCCGAGCACAGGCGCCACCGGACCCTCCGACCACCACCAGCAGGCAAGGTGGGTTAAGTGCCTTGCCCAAGGACACAACAGCAGTATTCTCTGTCCGGAGCCGAGATCGAACCTGCAACCTTCCGATTACTGGACAACCCGCTCAACCTGTTGAGCTACTACTGCCCCAAATTGATGCTTTTTATTCTGACACATCTGGCATTCATTCATAGCCTTTGATAGCCTGGTGCATAAGTGGTGCTCCAAAATTCATCTTTGTTGTTTTCCTCTTGTCCATTTAGGGTGTTAGCAGCTCAGGCTAGCATTAGCAGTAGTTCAGGTTACTGTTAACAGTAGTTTGGGCCAGGGTTAGCAGTAGCTTGGGCTAGTGTTGACCAGAGGTTAGCCTTTTTATGTGGTTATCATTACCGCAGCCAATATATATTGCTGATGCTGAAGTATGTTGGGGCATGCAAATGTAAGGAGGCATGTTTCAGCTCATGACTTGTTAAACCAGATTTTCTCAGAACAAACGGTTTCTCTGTGGCCATTACAACATTACTAGTTTGCATAGGAAAGCAAGTCGGACATGGCCAGGCTTTTTGGTATGCTACATTAGACACCCCAAGCTCCCTGTATTCAGCAGCAAGCTAAGAGTGGTTTTAAATTCTAGGATCCCTTTAAGCAAACAGCAAGCCTGAATGCAACTTCACAGCCACAAGAAAGTGGTAAAGACTCCTAAATGTTTGCTAATGCTCATTAGATGATTAGCGCCTTTGGGAATACAGACCATGTTCACTGAATCTCATCAGAAATTCTAATGGAGGTGGTGAGCATGGACCAAAACAAAGCAGTTTAAAGCTGAGTGAAGCTGCAGCATCTCATTGATTGTCTTTGTGTGCATGAAGCAAAAGGTGCATTCTGTTACTTATGATAGGAATAATAAAATAAAAATGTATTTATAACTTTTTGTAAGCAGCGTTTTGAGATTGAGCAAGAGAAAATGTCCACAGTTTGAGATATTCATTGCTCAGTTTTACTTTATCTTGTTACTCTGCTTTAGTCTTCTACTTATTACAGTCTACAATTTGGATACCAGTACTATGATTACATGATGAAACATCTCAGCAAGCTAGTTGAGATTCAACACAAAATGCACTGCCAAGCAAAATTGTTCCAAACACCGAAGACAATAGCCAGCCCCCATTAGGGTAATGAAGTTTGTTCTGCCAAAACACGCTGCAAGCGCATTTTCTGTCTCACATTGAGTTGCATTCAGAAAAACAAGGCACAAAGGTCCTTTACTTGCAACGTCTAACCCATTTACTTCAATAAAAAACGCTACTCCTTAAGTATGGGAAAAATGTCAGCTATTTTGTATCTCGTGCTTTTGCCTTTTTGTTGCTTCTTGCATTCATTACCAGCTTTATGTGTAATCTAACCAAAATCCCTGTCTTCTCATCCATGGCCCGCTATGTTTTTCTACGCTCTACGTACCTTCTAGACTAAATGGTCATTTAAAAGGAGAACAGCATTTCCCCAAGCATGTCAGCCTCTGTTCAGTTCTCCGATGGAGCAAGGCACAACTACTCCTTCAGTTTCCGCTTGAAGCTGCCTTTCTGTGAACCGTAACTTGACAAGCAAACAGGTGAATGGATCGACCAACCTGACAGTCATCCTGAGCCATTAGGTCAATTGAAAAATTGAACCGACAACCAGAATGACTGTGTGATTCATAATGCCCTGCATTTTTCATGCTAAATAAATAAAGTCAGTGATGAAGGAAGCTGAAGACTGCCACATGTACCCAGCAATCTACTTGGCCCAGTTATTTGACTGCGAGGGATGAAGCCTATAGATTTGAGGAAGTCAAATGGGCTATTCTAGAAAATACCGTTAAGTTGTTTTTTGAAGTTGTTTTGAAGATCGAGTTGTACTTTTGTTCTAATGTTTACACATAACTTTCTTATGTGTGCCTTAGCTGGCCTGCAGTGATTCCTGATCTGTATGAAAAAAGAGATTTAAAACACTAATTAGTAAACAAGATGGTCTTGGTAGGTTTTTCATTTTGTGGTTTTACGTCTGCTTTATGCACCTTACATTTGGCTGTGAGTTATCATCGCCAGATTGATCGGTGGACACTGACATGAACTCACACACAAGCTTCTGACATCTGATTACCAGCTGAAAGAAAAACAATGTTCCCTGTTCAAATGAGAAGTCTTACATCAGCACCAGAGCTCCCGTCTAGAGTTGGATTGCTATTCATATCCTGCAGATGTGCTCGTTGGAAACACATTTAAATAATGTAGATATCCGAGAGGCCCAGCCAAGTACAAACACTTGAACAATTCTGTAAGTGGTGTGTTAAATTTAGTCTACTGGGTATTGCTCTATCCCTTTAACCAACGGTTCCGCCTTGGTTTTACAGATTTGATTTGATTTGCCAAAAACAAACACTTTCTTTTTGCTTTCACGTTTACTTTCATGGTTCCATACTCATTGTTAGGGTTAGGGCTATTTGTGGGCCAGATTTAAGAGATTCAATGAATGAACAGCAGGATAATTTAAGCAGCCAATAATGTCATGTAGCAAAGCAGATGATTATCAGCAATGATGGACAGAATCCTCCAGAATTCCTGTTTGTGTGTGTTGTTGTGTAATAATTCAGCTGGCAAACGTTAAAATGCAATGCCTCCATGTTGCATTCAGCAGTCTCTCCCATTGCATCACAGGGCTTTGTGTTCTCCACCAAGCTGCAGTTAGGTCTCTCCCTGTCCAGATGGTGGCAGTGTGGACCATCTTACAAATATCTGAAAACCATTTTGCAGGGAACCTCGAAATAACGTTAATCGCTTGGTACCAAACCCTTGAACGGTGTTTTTGTCTGCAGCAGATTTGCAGAGCCGTGGAGACGTTATGTCGAGAGCTGTTCCTCGTCTGTATTTTCTCTGCTTGGCCCTGACTGAGCTTTACTCTGCATTTGGAACCAGCCCAGCCCGCAGTCAGCAGTTTGCAGTGCAGGACTGTGCAGCACAGCATTATCATGATGAAAAGTATTAATTTAATCCTACCATTTTTTTCATGAGTCAAAATCCCACATAACTGCACTGCTGTTGCACAACGTGTGTGTTGGAATACTGAAGCTGAAATCCTTTCATTTCATTGGTTTTTGTGTGTGCACTTGCGTACATGGGTGTGTGTGTGTGTGTGTGTGTGTGTGTGTGTGTGTGCATTATGCATTCAAAAGTCTCTTCAAGAAGCGTGTGCTGTGCAGCAGTCACATAATACTGCAGGTCCTCTCTAATCCTGCTGTACACAAGATATTTTGAACTATATTGAACAGGGAGTTTGGCACATTTTTTATTTTCTTTCTAGCAAAACAAGTCAAGGTGTTGTCTTTTATCTGGTTATGCAGCATCCACCCTACCTCTGCATCTTCACCCTATCTTTCCTTTTGATTCATCTCCTCAGTTTCCACACATTATTTATTTTACTTTTTGCCCCATTTTCCACTAGTCATTAGCCAACCAGACTTTTTCTTACTTTCACTGTGCTGGGGAATGTTTGTCACATCTTTTATAACAAAATATGTATAAATGTAAATAACAAATGTTACAGTTGCAAATACTTTATGTCTTTGAAGTCATTTTTCCACCATTTGTATTTTTCCTGAATGAAGTGGATGAAATTGATGGTGAGAAGAAAACTGGCTGAAAAAAATGGCCGCATGACTCGAGGTTGTTGCCAAACAGGTGTTTCTTTTGCTGCTTATTTATGCAGTGTGCTTCAATGTGTTCTACCTTGCACTGTTGTGGTTACCCATGCAGGTGTGGGGAAAAATGCCTTGCTCTAGTTGGTGCTGCTTTTGTGGCCGAGATACGACCGTGCCTGTTATGTTGTTGGGTCTTTTTCCTCTAATGCCTTGTGCAAATTAGTTATTTTATAATTATTCTGTCTCTTTGTGTTTGGGCAGAAGACTCCCTGCTGCGTCAGGATGATATTTGGGTGCTGGATGAGCCCCAGGAGGTCCTATCCCACGTTCCACGACCTGACCACCTGGATTTCTTACGCATCACCCCACCTGAAGATGATATCATTGGAGACACGCCTTACTACCCCAAGCTAGAGCGCACGGTGAGAGACTTTAAAACATAAACAGTTAGAAAAAAACACCAAGGTTGCACCCATGACCCTTTCCATTCTTCCACCTCGTGAGACTCATGGGGATTACTCTACATTCAGGCATATAATCAGCTGATCATTAATTCTTTTTTGTGGATTAGAAGGTCATCAATTCTAACCTGGAGACCTGGACCTAAACAACTAGCTGAAGTCATTCCATGCAAAACTTGAATAAAAGTCACATATACTTCTGACTATTTTTAAATGAATTTGTTGCAAAGAAGTTACAACACAAGCTTTACTCAGTAAACGTGTATACTTCCTGGAAGAAGCTAAATTTGTTCTATAAACCATAGCTATCTCTTTTCTTTTATCTTAGGTTTTTAAAAAGCAGACTCAGCTACTGTGTTAAAATTAACTGAAAAATAACATTTTCTCCAAGGTGTGTCCACATTCCGTCATCCTGTTTGGCTTGAGGTCTTCATTCCTGTGGCAGTTTGGGGAAATTACTTGGGTGTGGATTTAGGCGGGTGTTGTATCAGCAGAAGCTATGCATTGTCTTCCCGAAACACCTGAACTGCCCCGACTGTGACATACCAGTCCAAAGGGCATGCAGAACATGATTAAATGTTGCGTTGTCATGAAAGCTGCAGCTAGCTTTCACGCTGGTCTTTTTGTCACAAACATTTCTTCTTCTTTTTTATAAGAGCTGCAGCTGAAATGATTTCATGCATGAATCCAGGAACTGTAACTTGTAACTGATTAATATCTGCTTAGCACATATGTCACATCATTTAACATTTCAGATTCTGAGACTTGGATTTACTGTATTTGGGAAATGCTTCTGTAACCCTTACACATTCTATTTTTAGCTCTGTTAGGGAAGTGAAATGATAAAAAGTGAAAAATCTCCCATGGTCAGATGTACTTTTTGAGTTATTTTGTAAGTTTACAACTCAAGCCAAAACTTTTTCCAAGCACAACTCAGACCCTGTGTGTCCACTCTGTCCAGTTTAGAATGTGCACAATCAGGCATTTTTAAGAATTGCCAGACTTTTGGTTGTTAAGGGCAACAACAGTTTGAATTGTTTTCCATCTGTGTTTTGACTTAACCAACATTCTATCAAAGATTGAAGACGATATATGAATAAGAAAAATCTCTAAAATGATAATTTACTGCGTCACTTAGTAGATGATTTGTTGTTAGCATGTAGTCACTCTAGTAAACAACTTTGGAAAGTAAAAATTGCAGCTATAACTCTGTTTAAGAATGTGTCACAATGGATGACTTTTTTTTCTTCATTGTAGAGGTAGGTGTGTCAGTTATTATTATTATTATTATTATTATTATTTTTGTTTAATTCAGCTAGAAACTTTCACAGTCTTCTTAGCATATTAGCCACTTTGCATATTAGCTCTATTTGGCCATGATCTGAATGCCTAATCGCTTCCCCTTAAGCCTCAGGAATCCACACTTTTCTGTTCAACCCTAGTCCAACTTCCTCCATCCGTGATTGCCCTTTTACCTCCGGAGCCATTAAACAACTAAGCAGAGGTAATCAGACACCTGTGGAGCCTGGTTTTTGCAGAACCCCTCCCATGAAGGGAGGGACCTGAAAGGAGGTGTTCCTAGACTGGCTAGACCAGTGAAATTCTTGCTTTTTCCATGTGTGGGGGATTGCTCACTCACTAGCACACAAAGTTTTCCTGTAATTACAGACTGGAAGCACCATAGAGTTTTGGGATCCAGACCGACACGGGGAGAAAAGCTTTGTGGATATTAGTGCCGGACTTGTTTGAGGAGTTGGACATACTTTTTGTGAAAAACAGGTGACCTCTGTTCTCGTGCTTTCCCAGCGAAATTACATCAGAATAAGTTTCCAGACGCTTGAACAGCTTGGATTTCCTAACTGAATCCTGCTTGGAGGGAGCAGACCAAACCCCACTGCTAACAACATGCAGCCAGGAGATTTCATAATGGGATTTTTTTGAAACTGTGCTACATGCAACCAGTCAAGGTGTCCGAAGACGCTAGGAGTGGGAGAGATTTGTCCAAACAAAGGTCTTTTGTTCCCAGACGGGATTAGATGTGGAACAGGAACAACTTGGATAAGCAACATTTTACTGGTTGCTGAAACTCCTTCTTGCTTTGGTTTGCTTTTGTTACTCTTAACTTTGAGGCAAAAATGAACAGTAACAGCTTAGATGAGCAGGGGAAGCATCCCGCTGGTTCCTTGTTGAACGTCATCAGCAGTTTCTTCACGCAGGACGGGGACACCTTATTGGATGCAGATAACCCCGTTCTAACGGCTTTCAGGGAGCTGTCAGATGGAGAGGCTGAAGCGGGAGATGCAAGCGAAACAGCCGTCGAGGAAAGCATCCAGTGGAGGCGAAAAGTTTTACAAGACGATGTGACTGCTTCTTCTGATTTATTTCAGAAAGTTGGATCAGCTATGAAAAGTTTTAGGGAACGAGCTCAATCTTCAACGGACACAGATCTCATACAGGTCACAATGGTGGAAACGTATAGCGATGCAGAAAATGACGAAAAGGAGGCAACAGAGGGGAGCTCAGCTCTAACGGAGAAGCTTGTCAGTCCTAGCAAGGATACGTCGTCTGAGGGGGACGACGATGCAACGGAACAGGAAGTGCCTGTTTTTAGAACTCACGGGTTTAAAGAAAGATCTCGCATTGAAGATATTCTGTATTCTAGTAGGTTTGGTGGTAGAGGTCATTCTAAACCGGCTCGGGTCTCGTTGCTGTCCAAAATAGAAGATGGCTACAATACCAAGGAGAGAACCACCACCGTGTCTGTGACTGTAGATGCCCTACGTGATGAAGAGAAACCAGATACAGGTGTGGATGACAGTGATGCATACACTGGTATTGATTGTTCTCTGCCTGCTCCCTCCATCATCTCTGGGAACTTGACTTTGGAGACTCCGGATAATAACAGTGATGAGGTTTTTGCATTAGAACCGAAACAAAACAAGGACACACACAAGGAAGGAATTGAGGGGAGGTCAGATGAGCTTCGTTTCGATCTTACTTCAACTTCTGTCTCCTCCAATTCAAGTCCATCATCTTGTTCAAAGCCACAAACTGCTGGTTTGAAACTTTCAGGATCTGAAAAATCCACAAGCGACAGCCAATTACAGGGCCAAGCTGATCCAAAAATGCCTGAAACAAGTCCCACGCCACAAGCTTCACCTGCTCCCACCTCCTCTTCCTCCTCTAGCTCATCACCATTCAGGGGTGTACCCCATTCTACACCTCCTTCCTTCCAGATGCCAGCTCTCTTTAGTGGTTTAAGGGTGCTGAAAAAAGGAGCGGTGGGTGAAGATCGGGAGGTGGTGTCAGAAATCAAGCAGAGGGAGAAGGATGCTGATCTAGCCCTCCTGAGCCTCAAGAAGACGGTCAACAAAGCTAAGTTCTTACCTGAGCAGAAGAAAACCTCTCCTATGAGAAAGTATTCCGAGCCCAAATCGCTCTCTGAATCTAAAAATACCAAACTGGGACAGCTCAGTCAGCAGCTCAGCCTGGGCAACCGCGATGACACTAAGGGTGAAAATCTACAAGGCAAAAAAGAGTCAGGAAAAGTGGTTTTAGAAGAAAAAGCAGGATCAGAAACTTCCACAAGCCCACCTGTGAAAAAGACAACCTCAGACATGGCTTTCGAAACCTTCAGGAGCCTACTTGGTCCCAAAGTGATCCGAAAAGAGAAGACAGAAGATGTAGACCTGGAGGCAATCAAAAGGAAAATAAAGAATGACAAAGAGTGTTTGAGGCAGATCTTTGAAAGAACCAAATCCCCTGGCAAAAACACAGCAAGTCCCACAGAAATTCCAGTACGTAGGCATGACATTTTAAGTGACTACAACACAAATCCATACAAAATTAACAGTTTTAATGTCTTAAATAAAACAATTGTTCTCAATCAGCCTTTGCTTGTTTGTTTTCTCCTTATAGACGGAAGTTACGTCCCCTTCAGACAGTGAGGACCGAACTCCAGGACGTCTGCAGGCTGTGTGGCCTCCACCAAAACCTAAAGATGAAGAGGAGAAGGTGGGGCTCAAATACACAGAGGCAGGTAAGACCTTCAAGCCTGTCGGATTAAACACTGTTATCCCTGTTTGTGCGTAACCCTCTGGAGGCAGGCGTTGCAGATTTGCAACATTAAAACCTACCTACCTGGTTACTCCACATACGTATTTCATGAGCATTTTTAACCCAGAAGTACCCCTGAAGGACTTAGTTGTTCATCCTTTTATCAAAACTTACTTTGAGCCTGAGAGGGTTAAAACTGGGAACACTGACAGAGGATCGTGCCAGCTACGCATTCATGGACACACCTCACACTGACTGGCTTTGTGGACCGCAGCCAGTGGAGCTGCAATTAAATCATTTAAATAAATCTCATAGATAAACATGGTTTGCTATCAGCAATACACTAAAATAAAACCAGAGCTATCATTTTATAATCCGTGGGCTCTCATCTTTTAGATCAAAAACAAACCACAAATAAAGACAACAGTAGGATGTAAACAACATTGAAATCCATTAAGGAATGCTGCAAGATTGTCGGTACCTTAATGAGGCCATTCGTGTGGTACAGCAGTGGATTGTTTGGCCTCATTTGTACTCTGAGACACACAAATAGGCTGCGTACACAGGGTAGATTAAATTACAGTAAAAAGCTTTGCTTTTAGGCTGTGTTGGTTGGGTGATCTCAAACAAAGAGCTGAATGATGCTCCTCATGGTGCAGATTTATCTGGAGAACAGGCTTACCCTCATCAAACTGATTGTGTTTTGAACTCCTTACATCTTGCCTCTAAATGTGTACATTTATAATCTAAATTAGAGTCTGCAGAAAAATACATCCAGCCTGTTAGAAATAATTTAATAAACGTTCTCCCCTCTTAAAACTTTTCTGATTTAGAGCTTCACTTGCAGACAGGTTCACATATACATCAACTTCTTTGTAAATCCTGATTGTGAATGAAACTAAACGCTGTCATATATTCAATTAAGACACAAATCTGATGGTCTGATCCCTCGGATACATTTAAATTTACCTTAGTTGAGGGAACGCAGCACACCACAGCTTAGAGAGACACTTCAGAAACAGATCTGTCAAATCTGAAAGCACACGTGAGCTAAAAATGCACAACACATCAAAATAGAGGTATAGAACATTATATTTAGAACACAGTTAGGAGCACCTTGACAGAATGCTTTGTTTCCATTCAGGCAGCAGTGAATCTAAAACTGGTTGGTTGAGTTGTACTGACTGTTTTAGTGGACGTGATCTGCTCTTTTGTAGCACTTTATTTATGATGAGCTGATTGGATGGCTCATGTTTAGCTAGCAAACATAACACTGGTTCAGTAATTGATATTGATCAATATTATTTTGATTTTTAACTATTATTTAAAAAAGAGGAAAAAATATCAGGGGTTATAGACAGGGGCAGGGGGGCGGGTGGGCGATTGGGGCCGGCTGCATTTGTAAGAAAACATTACAGTTTTGCATTTAAGTATTCAGTATTGAGTGTGTCATCCCAGCAATATATTAACAATCATTTTAGATAAAATAGTTTAAAAAAAAAATTGCATAAATTCTTTTTTTTCTTAATTATCCGTTTCAGTGGCAACATGAAAGTATTGGTGTCAACATCTCTTTTCAACTTCAGATGCATTAATTCCCATGCTTTGGTTCCACATCATGCATTAGGCTAAATTATCAATTAAAAAAAACATTTCCAAACTTTTTAATGCCAAGGATCTGCCCTCAGCAGGGAAGCAGGCTCCAGGCTTGCTGTCAGGGTGGCGCTGGCCCACCTTGGACTCACCTTAGAACCGCCCTTGATATGCACACACATGCTGATGTGTTTTTATCAGTGCTGTTTGTGTCCTGATTAATCCTCCCTGTGGTCTTTATTCTGACTTGTTTCAGAGCACCAGGCTGCTGTTTTACAGCTCAAAAGAGAATGTAAGGAAGAGCAGGAGAAGATGCAAGTAAGTTTTTGCAGGCATTTTGTTTGTTTGTTTTGCAGAATTGCAGTGAAAGCAAAACATGCTCCAGTGAACAATCAGGTGCAAGTATCTCTTGATCAAATGAATGCTGGACACAGAATGTTTAGCTGTGACTGCATTTGTATAGGAGACATAGTTTGACATTAGTTTGTTTTTTTTTCCTGTTGGCTCATGTGTAAATGTAGCAAACAAGTGTGACCAGAAGATGGCGCTAAGTCATTATGAAACTTTTTGAACCGGGTGATTGCAGGGAAATATGGTCTTGTGGAAACTTAGTGTTTTTAAAAAAAATATTTATGTATAAATGGGTTATGTTGATGAATTAGAAAATGTTGGAAAATAAAATACTTTTTCTGGATCCAGAAATAAAATTAAATCGGATAAAGATGTCGTTTAAACACCGAGGATAATAATATGTATATAATGTAATCTTTATGCCACAGATACACAAAAAGATTTAAATTTCTAAACTCCTCTTGAAATCAATCAAATGTCTATTCAAACATCCCAATCCATTTTTTACAGCTGACTCGTTTTTAATGATTTAACAAGAATCCAACTTCTGTCCTTAAAAAGAACACAGTTCTGCCATGTTCTAGCGTTTGTACCTCTGATAAATTGCTTTGTGGGCCACCGCTTTGAAAAGCCTGACCTGGAAATTGGTTTCTCTACTGCTCACCTTTGATTTAATACCAACAATTTGAAGGGTTGATGATTTTCCAGAGTAATGCACCACAGCCAATGGTGGGAATGTGTCTCGAGTTAACAAGGAACACATGGAGCATTTAATCAAATCAAAGATGCTTTTAGTCATGTGCAAACTGGATAAAGCTGTAAGGCTAAGAAAACACTTAGTGAATAATTGACGTAGCAATAAATTGAAAAGGTATGTGCTGTAACATGATGCGGATTTGTTTCATCTTGTTTGTGTTCCTCTAATTTTTTATGTCTGGAATTCTGCTCCTTACAGTCCGATTTACAGCTAAAAGTTTTCCAGCTAAGAGGGGAGCACGCTGCCACTGTAAAACAGCTGGAGGACGTCATTGCTAAGTTGCAGAGGGACAAGTTGCGCAGCACAGGTCAGGATCCTGTTCAGTTTTGTGACGTGGCCGTGTCCACCACGGACGACTTGACCCCAAAAACTAGCCGCACCGTGGCGATCCAGACGGACAGGGAGACCTTCATTAAGAGCCCCGACGGGGACAGCACTGGCCTTATTCAGAGTCCCAACCAGAATCTGCCCAAAAAACTCAACCTGGACTCCATAGAACAGAATCTAAAGGCAGAAACAGGACCGGGTCCTTCTGGACCACCTCCACCACCTCCTCTACCAGGCCTCCCAGGACCACCACCACCACCTCCTCCCCCTTTGCCTGGCCACACTGGAGGGCCACCGCCACCACCTCCTCTACCAGGCCTCCCAGGACCACCACCACCACCTCCTCCCCCTTTGCCTGGCCACACTGGAGGGCCACCGCCACCACCTCCCCCACCACCACCTCCTCCTTCAGGGTTTGGCCCTCCACCTCCACCTCCTGGCCCACCTGGAGCTGGTCCACCTCCTCCCCCTCCTCCTCCAGGCTGTGGCCCCCCTCCTCCTCCAGCTATGGGGGGGTTCGGCCAGAAAGTGAACGCAGCCCCTAGGAAACCTGTGGTTGAGCCTGCGTGTCCCATGAAGCCTCTGTACTGGAACAGGATTCAAATACAGGACAACAAGTATGTACAGATCTGATTTTTACTCACTCACAGAGATTCATAACAAACCTCCAGATCATAAAGCCTCAGGCCCTTTACACATGTAGCTGGGTAAACAAAGATCCTTTTCTACAGTCTGGCCTTTCATCCATGCAAAAGTAAAGCTATACACTACCAAAAACCATTCCTTCAAATGCCTCTGACCAAGGTGGAGATGTGTGGATTCCCCATTGTCAGCATTTGCTCCTGGACATAAATAACCAGAGTTTTAGATTTTGCATCATCACTCTGACTGTTGTTTACACTTTACAAGCTGTTATGTAACAGTAACAGAAGTGTAGAAGACCTCCGGTGAAGGACATTAAGGATGGTTATCGTCCACCACCTAATCATTACATGTCCAATGTTTTCAAGCAAAGACGCCATCGACTTGGGGAACTACTGCCACCTGCAGTCTTGGTATGCCCGTACTAGTGCTTCACAATGCATTGAATTTTTTGCTGAAAACAAGGTGGACCCAAGTTATTTTTTTCCAGATGGGTGGAGGAGAACAGTAGAGTTTACCAAATTCCAGCTGCATGTGTACATGGCCTTGGAGTTTGGTTTAATTCCTGCTCAGGTTCATCCAACAAAGCTTTGATTGTTTCAGTAATTTGGATGTCTTAATTTCTTGTTCTGTCAAACGTATTTGAGTTTTCGTAGCTTGTAAAATGGAATCCAGTGCTACAAAGATTAAGACAATAGTTACACTTTCATTCAGATTAGGACAGAGTGAACCACACATTGTTTCAGAGGAACAGGAAGTGGATTATGCAGACTTCCTTTCTCTGCCAGCCTTCCAGATTTACTGCCTCGTCTTACAACGTCAGTCTAACTGAGCCGCTGTTCTTCTGAGGACTGACTTGACAGTTTCACATCGGCAATAAATTCAGCAGTAAAGGGCAGAGATTGAGATATTAAACAGGAAGTCTGGATCAGCTGTATGATCTGTTATTGGTGTGAGGTTCTTGAGCTATGAAAGGGTAGCAATGTGAGGTTTGAAATGATGCCTGAAGTCTGATTGTAGAATGAGGCGACATAAATTTTGCAAGGTGCTAAACGGATTTTGGAACATTAGACTTTAAGAAGATGAAGTTTTCAAAACTGCATCATTTTCTTCTCAAAGGAAAACCTTCCTGGTCCTCTCACCACCAGAACTATGCCAACAGCCACAGCGTCTTGTTTTCAAGTTTCGTTTCTCAGTGTAAACAGGCCTCAACAGATGACCTCTAATGACCCTGTATGTGTCAAAGAGATGATAATGATGGGTGTCATCAATACACTGTCTTTGTTTAGAAGAAGTTCATTTGACTTCAAGCGTGTTGATTGGGCTGTTAATGTCCGTTTGAGGAACAGATTTTGGAGAGAAAACATACGCCAGATGTGTGTGTGCAACAGCGAAGCACCGATCATCCTCTTTACTTTAGTCACCTCTCATTTCAGCCTCTGTTTGTTATTTTTCCATGTTACTCGGCAACTTCTGAAGCCCCGCTTTATCCCTGTTCTTGCGGGAAATGATCCCGTAACGCAGAAACCAAAAGTGTGTCTGAAGCTTTTTGTTATTTTTATCACCTAGCTCGTAAACGTGGCCTTTTGAAAGTTGAGATTTCTGGGAACTCCTGCCAAGTTTTTGTCAGACTGCGAAATGGAAAATGGAAACCAGATCAAATAAACATCAAATGAACTTCCTCCAAGAAAAAAAAAATCATTAAGCCCGTGCAACCTCTCTGGGCATACCTGCTGTCTGTGGAGTCGTGATGTAATGTTTTGCACCTCGTAACCTGTTTCTGTCCTAACCTTTTTTCTTCCCCTAGCAACAACACACTGTGGGGTTCTCTGAAGGAGCCTGATATCGTCAACACCAATGAATTTGAGGATCTTTTCTCGAAGGCCGTGTTGCAGCAGAAGAAGAAGCCTCTTTCGGATACATATGAGAAGAAAGCCAAAACTAAGAAGGTATTTCTCTGCTTTTTATTATCGTATTTCTTTCAAATCCTGCCCTTGGCAAACCCAGACAATCCAAGTTTACTCCCTTGTGTGTGTGTGTGTGTGTGTGTGTGTGTGTGTGTGTGTGTGTGTGTGTGTGTGCGTGTGTGTGTGTGTGTGTGTGTGTGTGTGTGTGTGTGTGTGTGTGTGTGTGTGTGTGTGTGTGTGTGTGTGTGTGTGTGTGTGTGTGTTTTCTCCCTTTCGCTGTGCAAGTCTTTTATACAAACACCTTTCATTTATTTTACTTCACCTTTCCAAGCTTTATCTGTGTAGCTGAATTCAAGGGAAACAAATTGCAAAAGGCACTTCTGTAACATTGATCGACCTTTCCCCTTAACCCACTCATTTGTTGGTTTTCTCCTGTCCAATCATGCAACTCTGCACTTCTCCTGGAGCTGTCTCTGTGTCAGCGTCCTCGCTACATTTATGGTCCTTTCCATGGCGTCCAAGCAGTAAAAAAAAATCAGCCACTGTCCCAGACTGGTCCTGCTAAATCCATAATCCATACACACTCCCTATTCTGATCAATTTGTAAAGGCTCCACTCTGCTCCAGAGGGCCACTGTGTGTGTGTTCTCCATCCCTAACATCCCATTAAGTCTGGTCACTCAAACTGTCCAACATTTGATCCAGCTCAGACAACTGTCTCCTGTCTTGGCTTACATCAGCACGGAGGAGATTCAAACACTAATTGGAATTCCAGTTCATATCAATCAAAAATCAACTTCATGGCACACTGGATGTTGTCTTTATTTTGTTTTCCGACCCCTTTATGTGGAGTCTTAGATTTAATATCAGTATCTGTCTTTGGAGTCCAAGTCTACAATTAAAAAAGGATACATAAGCAAAAGTCATTTTCAGGGTCAAATTCCTGGAAAGTTCCACGGAGTAACAGACACGTGTTTACTCTGTCTTCTTTTTTATATTCTTGAGAGTTTATGCTGAGTGGAAGGAGGGTTGATTTGAAAGAGAAATAATCTGAATCATAGAGTGTTGATAGTTTCCAAGAAATTCAGCTGGAAAGAAGAAAGAAGGGAGAGAACAGGGAAAGGAGGGGAATTAGAGTAAAAACAAGCTGTTACTGATCACAGGTGTAGATTTTTACAATGACGATATCTGAAAGGTAGATAGAAATCATTATATTTAATTGAGTTCATAGAGTTTCAGAACATGATGAATCATCTCATTCTTTTTATTTCTCAGTGGCATATCTGTTTTTATCTCAATTTATCACTTGTTGGATTTCCTGCAAACTTAATTCAAAATAAGTTGTGCACAATGTGGATTAAAACACTGTTAAAGTTGCAATTGTTAAGAATTTTACAGTGAAACACAGTTTCATGTTTGAAGGAAGTTTACTTTGAAACAGATTTCCTTCAACTGGTTAGGCCGTAGTCAGTTTTTCTCTTATTTTTAAAATAGCCAAAGAGGATTGCTGAGTGTGCAGGTCACCGCTGATGCGTTGGCATTTGTAATTCAACACCTTCTGGCAAACCACAGCAGCATTTTGTAAAGATCCAAAGCCAGTAACGTTAGTGACCCAGAAGTTATTTCTTTTACTCCTAAGAAGCCACAACATCTTTTTGTTTTACTCTAATATCAAGTAAAGCAGACTAATGTTGAGCTAACGATGCTAACAGTGAATTTAAAACAAATAGTTGTCTTAAACAAAAAATGAAAGCTGCTTTTTCAATTACCAACAACTAGATATTGCAGTGAAATGTATTAATCTTCTTACCGGCTTACTGATAATTATCGCCTCTTCTATTTCCATCCAGATTCTTCTGGTGCTGATCTGTAGCTGATAACAATCGTGATACTCACAGAAAGGGAGTGACAAAGTTTCGTGTATGTTTGGAAAATGGGCTGCAGTGACCAAATTTAACTACAGGATGTCGTTCTTACTAAAAAAAAATCAGCATTTTAAAGGAAATAAAGAATAAAGATGTGTATTTTGTAAAATATTCTTTTCAAAGGCAATATGTCTAAAAAAAAAGAGTTGTAAATTAAGTTAAATACATCCCCTATACGGTGTTTATTTTACGACATAAGACCACAGAGGATAAAAGCAACGGGTGTTGTTCAAAAACCTATCAGACGTCTGGCTAAATAGCATCAGACAAAAAGGACTCAGGCAAAAGTCTCAGGATGTATTTTTGTGTGACTGAGTTTTTCCTGAGACATTTTTGCCTGATGCTATTTATTCAAAAGTCTTACATGTTTTTGAATGAAACCTGATGTCTTATTTCTCTGTGGTCTGATATTTGACACCTGAGACCTGAGGATGACCTAAAATGTAGAAAACCGTATGCCCAATTAATGATCTTAATTCAATTCATTTCAATTCAGTACATTTATGTGCACCAAACTGTTACAAGTCATCACAAGGCAATTCACAAACATTCCATTGTGCCAGTTAGTTAAGAATTTCCTTTATGGTACCCAGCAGATTACATCCCTATACTAAGCAAGCCTGCAACGGGTCAGTTATTTGGCTGAACTTCTATAATGTCAGTTTATAACTTTTTGGTATGTACATAAATGCCAGCTTTTAGTAAAATAATGAGCAAGCCAGGTAATGAAAAAGATTTTCCAAACTGAAATGTTATTTGAAAGAGAAATTCCTCATCCTCCCGCCAGATAAAACCAAATAGCTGTTATTTGTCCTGTCAGTGGCATTCCCCACGTTGCTGTTAAAAGTAACATTTTTTGCCTGTTAAACTATTAAAAATGTGTTTTGTCATTCAAATCAAAACAAGAATATTCATTATTAAAAGATCCATGAGATTTCTTGGTTCCCACGTCATGGTTTGTTCTTGTTATACCTAAACACAGATCTTAGAAGAATTCGAAACATTGCAATTGATTTAAGAAATATGTCGTTTTTTTATTTCCCGTCTATTAATACATTTCTAAGCATTGTTGTTTTTCAGAAATTATGATTGTCTGAACCGCCCCTTTGTTTTTTTTTTTTTTTTTTTTGTGAGAAGCCGAAATCTCCCGATTATTTGTGTAGGTTCTAAAATATTCTAATAATCTTATTATACAAACAACATTTGTCTGTTTAGTCAGAATTTCTTTAAATGTTTATCACCACATTTCCTGAAGCATAATTGTTTTCTTTTTTAAATTCAATTTAACTGTAAGTTGCATTGCCTCAAATCTAACCTCTCAAACAAGGAGTTTTCCTGAGCTGCTTTGCTGAAGTGCTCCCAGTGATTTTATGTTTTACTCTGCTGAAACTGACCAGACAGCGGTCCCTTCCCTTCTGTGATCACCGATAACTGTCGGCTTACACAGACTACCTGCCTCTTGTCACTGTTGGCAGACCCTACAGTCTAATGATTGAGGAGGCTAAATCACCCTTCTGTATTCCTGTTACTATCCAGCATATGTACTTTCTGTTGTAGTGTGAGTGTGTGCGCGTGTGTGTGTGTGTGTGTGTGTATGTGTGCGCGTGTGTGTGTGTGTGTATGTGTGAGTGTGTGATGACAGCATGTCCCCACAAGTCATTATGCACTTGATCAGAAAGTGTTGCCAGATCATGCTAACGCCACAGCCCCAGGGCTCCAAATGGCGAGAGGAGATGAGTGGGTGGGAATGGAATGGAATGTGTGTGTGTGTGTGTGTGTGTGTGTGTGCATTATGCATATGAGCCACTTCCCTGAATCCTAACAACTGCACTTGCCAAAAAAGAAGAAAAAAAAAAGTTCAAACTCAGAGGATGCGGCTGATGCCTACGTGAGCGAGTTAATCTTTATCATGTGTGCCATAAAGAGAAAAAAAAAAGAATCAAAGCTCTTGTTTACTCTGGAGCCCTTTGCTCTCTGCTGATTAGCATATCAAAGTAAAGGAGATGACATTGAAGACAGTTCTCCCACCAAAGCTGAGCGAACCGAACTGGACTGGAATGGACTCGGGGTATAATTGTACGCATGTGGTTTCACTAGTGGGAGAAAAGAAAACTGGGCACCTATGGGAGAAAGGGGGGGCGGCTACAGGAATTGGCATGTAGGTGCATTCTTGTGGGATGAGGACAGAGGAAGTGATGGATGAAAATGAAGAATTCTTGCTAAAATGTGCTTTTGAGTTTGCCTGTGTGCAAATACGTGCGTCAGCAAACACAGATTCTTATACACACATAAATCAGCGCTGTATTAAGTTTACATGTGGGTGAGCTTAAGCAGGCAGCTGTTTTATTATAAGTTATGAGCGATCACTGTGGGTTTATTAGAGGCATAGTTGAAGTTGGGGGGTATGACGTTGGAGAGTGGGTGTAAGATCATCCCTGCTGGATGAAACTGAGGTGGAAATTCTTGGTCCTGTTGCTATTGTAACATATGTTTTGGTGATTGCAGACTGATAGTCTGATAGCTCGTCAGGTTGGCTGCGAGCCAGAGTGAACTGTCTCCACCGCTCTGAAAATGCGTCCAACATCCTCTGATATAAGCCACCTGCCTCGGCTCAAAGTCTCCTTCCATCAGCTTATTTATTTTCTTAGCCCACTTGCCTTTTGAATGAATTCGTCCAGATTCAAAGGGTGTCCTTCAGTCCTCTTTTTGTCCACAGGAGGGAGCCATTAGCGTTTGATGCCTACCTGACTCAGCATCAGCATCCAGCATCAGTTGTCTTTTCTAATTAACTTAACTATTTAGGTTAATTGGCCAGTTCTGCAGCCTCCTTAGTGAGGAAACTTCCTCGGCTGTTTCTCTTTCTTCCTTAGTTTGGCCCTTCCAAAACTGTTAATGAGAGGTGTTGTGAAAGCCTGGTACTAAGCTGTCTCGGATCCCAAGTGTGGGAGATCCCTACTGATCCAGGTAATAGAGCTGGAAGCAGCATGGCACCCACTAACGCCCTGTAATGCAATACCTACTTCTAAGGCTTCTGCTCTGCAGCTCCCACAGGACGACCCAGTAGCCGACAACGCCATAATACCTAATGAAGAAGCCTGACACATTAACTTTTAGAGCAGGGCCTTGCCTTGCCAAAACTTTCTCTGGCTTTACGGCTAATTCAGTCATAAGTAATTGTGACCATGTGTAAGCACAAATAAAAATCCTGTGAATTTATAGTTTGTTATAAAAGCTGTGCTTCTCTTCACCTTTCTCTTTTCCCTTTGTACTTTCACTGTGACTTAATATTTTTGGGGGTTTCTGAGCACGTGTTTCTGGGTAAATCTGAGGTGGCGAAAGTTTTTGGAGCAGCTTTGTTCTAAGCTAAACATGCAAGTACCACATTTTCAAGTCGTTTGCACCACTGTTGATGGGGATTTCTAGCCTGGCAAGCCGTCCTGCATGTAAATTTATAGTCAGCCACAACTCTTAGATAGAGCTTGGTCGCTGGGGTGAAATCTATGGTTTTCCTTCAAACTATCGCTGCACGTAATTGGACAACGCTAGGACCAACCCAAGCAATGATTGTATCCAAAGCAACGGAAACTACATTGTCCAAGTGTTATCTGCTCATGTCCCAAAGGAAAACTCAAGTTTAAACCATCCGAAGTTCATGCCAAAGCTGTTTCAAACCAGCGCCGTTCCTAAGCCGCCATCTTTTGCCGTCGCAGCTCTGCCACCATCGTAGGAAAAAAAAGCTCTGCTGTAACGTCTCTATACAAATATAGAGCGGCCCGGTTCTATGTTTGTAGACCTGCTAATGCTACAGTAGAATATGACTAAACCAACAAAACATTTTTGGTTACAGTTTGTCTAGATTTTTAGGTTAGGTGATTCTGGAAAAAAAAGCATAAGTAAATAGCCTGGCAAGCCAGACTAAATAAATGTATTATTTAGTCTGGCAATGCTCCATTGACGGCTCTCGGTTGTGGGGCGGGTTCTACCGTTGTCTTTCAAATGATCTCCGCATTCCACTGGACAATGAATGTGACATACTCTTGTTTCACTCTGTTGCATCATCCCACCCACCAGGCAGATAGAGTGCCCTGATTGGCCCACAAAGCGTATAAAGCTCTGTGATTTGTTCACTAAGCAGATAGTGCACTATGATTGGCCCACCATTATGGACCAATCACAGCTCTTTATGTGTTTGAAACCCCTCTAGAGAGCTGTGATTGGCCAGCCAGAGTCCTGGTGAGCTGCGAAGGTCCCAATGGAGCATGCCTAGACCAAATATTGCAAAGCAAGAATTTGGTCTAGTTCACTAGGCTAATAAGTAAAGTGACTGAGGTCAATCCAGGATATCAGTTTCATTTTCATCCACAGCTTGGATTTTTATGTTTTATTTACCTTTATTTTACATGAATGAACTTCTATTTGTTGCATTTAAATCTAAAAAATATTATTATGATTAGAGCTAAACATTTTGAAATCCATTCCCTCTTTCCAGATTATTAAACTGCTGGACGGGAAGCGTTCACAGGCAGTCGGCATCCTCATATCAAGCCTGCACCTGGAAATGAAGGACATTCAGCAAGGTGAACGATATTCTGCACATCTCTGAAAGTTTGTGAAAAATGCATGATCCTCCAGATTCTGCAGCAACAACCTAAATTTACTTTCCCGTTAAACGGTAAAGTGAGATTGACTCCTGATGAAAGGCAGATGGAGTTATTTTTAGAGATGAGATGGTGATCCCTGCAGCAGAGGATAAATTCCTGCCCCCTGACATCAACTATATTTGTAACTTAAGACACTTATTTTGGAATAACTTGTGATTTAAGAAAAACTTGGATGACTTTTCCAGTTAGCGCAGTGGGAAAAAAGATTCTTCTTTTTTTTTGAAGCCTTTTGGTTTCTCTGTCAGGCCTCCTGTAATGGTTAAAATCAAATTGCCATCTCCTTCATTTATAGAACCAAACCGATTGATTGCACGTTTGGTAGATGTGGAAAATGCAGCGCGTGAGTGGCTGCACGGGCGTTTAAACACAAAGTATGTGTGTTGGTGACATTTTAGATGGGCCAGAAATTAGTCCTGTCCTGGGACTGTGGTGGAGAATGCCTGCCGCCTGCTAGTCTGAGCATGCGGCCAGCAGATCTGTTTATTGTAGCCAGTGACGGTTTCCACAAGCCTAATGGGACTGACACCCCACTAATGATCTAAGCATGTACAAAACCACCTTCTACAGTTAGCAGACACTGCGCTACCACATAAAACTGCTTCAAACACAAGGCAAACAGCACAAACACTACTGTGACCATCTTGTTTAGATTTTTTTCCCCTTTCCTCTCGATGGTTTCCCTCTGTTTCGGTGTCATTTTGTAGAAAGGGCCTGTTCCCACCTAACATGAGGCTGCTTCCTTGTGCCTTGGGGGGATGAATGTGAAATGGACAATTTGAATTTGACAATTAAGGACAGTGCCGTAAAAAGCACTTCTAAGGGGCTGCCTCGCCTTCTCGCCTCTCCTTTGTTGCCAAATTAAAAGGACATGGTACATGTAATGTAATTATAGCTACAAGGGAGGGAGAGGGAGGCGATATTGGGGTGGGGGTGGTGGGGGCACCCGTTGAAGTGACTGGGGGGACCTCAAGGGCCACCGTGGTTCAAGGGCAAGGGGAGGCTCTCCCCCACACACCACCTCGCCGCACGCACACTAAAACACACGGACACAGGAGTGAAAAGTGGAAGGAGAGGGTGTGAGGCCGTTGGCAGGCTGGCTTTGATCTGTCGGTGTGGAGAGATATCCGGCTCCCCTTGGATCAGAGTGCTCCTGTGCACACCGAGACAGGCCCTCCTTTGGTGTGTGATTGACGGCTGCATGGCTGAGGGACTGAATAATCCACTCTAATAAGATGTAGGAAATGGACCTCCAGCGCTTTCTCTGATCCAGACTCTGAGACCACATTGACAGCTTCTCTGCTACAGAACAGCTGCAAACCAGAGTGCGGTGTGTTAGCTTGTTAGTGTGAAGTTAGCGTGTGACTAGAAAGATAAGGCTCCAATGACTACTACTACTACTACTACTAAACTTTATTTATATAGCACCTTCACATGGCCCAAGGACCAAACAAAGCGCTGCACAACAGAAATGAACATAAAGAAATAAAAACATATAAAACCATTTAAAAACCAACAAAACATGTAGATAAAATCTAGGTGGGGGAGCAAAAAGTGCAAAGCCACCCATTAACGAGACTCCTCTTGAGTAAAAGCCAAAGAATAAAAGTGTGTTTTCAGACGGCTCTTAAAATTGCCGAGCGTGGTGGCCTGTTTGACACATGTAGGTAGCTCATTCCAGAGCCTCGGCCCCAGTACAGAGAAAGCATGACCCCCGAGATTTTAGTCTGTGTTTGGGAACGACCAGCAGTCCTTGCTGTGCTGACCGAAGGTTCCTTGAGGGAGCATAAGGATGGATCAGATCCGATAGATATTGTGGAGCCAACTCATGTAAATAATTAAAAACAACCACCAGAATTTTAAACGAAATTCTAAAGGAGACTGGAAGCCAGTGTAGGGAGGCCAAGACAGGCGTGATGTGTTCAGATCTCCTGGTACCAGTCAGTGACCTGGCTGCCGCATTTTGGACCTTCTGTAGTTTCGCTATGGAGGCCTGCTTGATGCCTGCATAAAGCGAATTACAGTAGTCCAGTCTGGAGGTTATGAAGGCGTGGATGACAGTTTCCAGATGTTTGCGTGAAAGAAATGGCTTAATCCTAGCTATTCTCCTGAGATGGAAGTAGCAGGATCTGATTGTTCCATTGGACTGCCTGTCCAGTCTGAGCCCTACATCCAACTTCACCCCCAGATTGGTGGCCACAGCCTTTTCAAAAGGTGCTAATAAAGAAGAGTTGGGCACATCCATGTGTGTTTTTTGAGCCGAACAGGATAGTCTCTGTTTTATTCTGGTTGAAGAACAGAGAATTCTGAGCCATCCATAGTTTGACCTCCTACGAGCAGTCCAAGAGTGGTTTAAATGAACTTGAGTTATTGTGTGATACTGGTAGATAGATTTGACAATCATTCGCATACAGGTGAAACTTGACGTTGTCCCGACGAAACAAGTCACCCAGCGGCAGCAGATATAGGGAAAAGAGGAGGGGGGCCAGGACGGATCCCTGAGGCACTCCACACTGCAAATCAGCAGTATCAGATGAACAGTCCCCCAGTCTGACACAAAAATTCCTCCCTGAGAGGTAAGATTTTATCCACTGGAGTGCTAAGCCAGATATCCCCACCCAGTGCTCCAGTCGACCAATCAGGATATTGTGGTCAATGGTGTCAAATGCAGCTGTCAGGTCCAAAAGTACTAAACTCACTGCCTCCCCAGAATCGTTTCTCATCAGGATATCATCCAAAACCATCAACAGGGCTGATTCTGTACTATGGAGAGACTTAAACCCAGACTGAAAAACTTCTACTATCTCATTTTCATGTAGAAAGGACATCATTTGGGCATACACAAGCTTTTCTAAGGCCTTAGCTAAGAAAGGCAGTGTGGAAACAGGCCTGTAGTTAAATACATTCGACAGATCTAGGCCAGATTTCTTCAGCAGAGATGAGCATGTTTGAAATGACTTGAATGAATGTGGGCCAAAACCTGCACTTTTTATACGGCTGTGAAAAAGTTTTTAACAGTTAGTCTGTCTCAGCTTGAAAAAAAAATCATGATATTATTTAGGTAAAACAAGGAAAAACAATTCATACACTTTTTTTTGTTTACATTGGGCATTTGTTGCACATTTCTAGAACGCTGATTTCTAGATCTAGTTATCGTCTTTGTGTGCGTCCTCCTAATGACTAAAACACTGAGGCATCATCCCTTTCTGATTCAGATACTTTCCTGTGTAAGTGTGTGTGTAATTAATAAATAATTTAATTTTTTTTTTGGACCGCCAGACATAACCAAAGAGCCAAGAATTGATGATTTACACTCCAAATGCTGGCTGTTAGTCAGTATTTAGTCAGTATTTTTTATCCATTCTCAGTTTATTAAGTCCTTAAACACGCTTAAATATCAGCAAATCCATCAAAAGTGATTACAATTCCTGAACTCTGACTCGTCTCCTTACCACACAAATGTAAAAGTAGATTTTGGTGCAAAACCCATCTTGGCTGACTCCAACCAGACAACCATCGGCTGATCCAGATTCAGTGAAGTCATCACTCCTATTATGAGGCTCTCTTTCATTACCAGCCCACAAAGCTTTGTAGACACTAAACAGAACTTACTTCTCTTTTGTGTGTTATTTTATTCTGCTTTTCATTCATGAGTTTACACTTTGAGTGAAAATATGCTGCTTTTTGTCAAAAACAAGATGCTGAACTCATCTTTTGTCCCTCAACTGAACAACTTGAAGCCCTGTAGATAATCCTTTCTAGATCTGGGTTAAGAGGTTAAACAGTTTTCAGGCTTTGTCCAATTTGCTTGTCCTTGGCAGGAGTGAAGGAAGGATTTAAGTGGTATATGGTAAATAGCCTGTATTTGTATAGCACCTTCTTATGGTTCTACAACCTCTCAAGGTGCTTCACAACACAGTCATTCATTCACACATTGGTGATGATGAGCTACAATGTAGCCACAGCTGCCCTGGGGCGCACTGACAGAGGCGAGGCTGCTGAACACTGTTGCAGCTGTTGCAGAGTTGCATTCCCGCCAACCACCACCAGCAAGTAAGGTGGGTTAAGTGTCTTGCCCAAGGACACAACAGTAGCATTCTCTGGCAGGAGCCGGGATTGAACCTACAACTTTCCAATTACTGGACAACTCGCTCTACATCTTGCTACCCTTGATTTGTGTCAATATCAGCATTAGGGTTAGGGTACGGATCCTTGTAAGAACCCATCCTACCTGGTCCATGTAGGTCGGGTCCATCCCTCAACCTCAAAGCCCGGAATTCAGTGGCTGTGTATTTCAAATGTCTGGCCTTCATTTATTTCTGCCACTAACTACCTCAGTGTATGTCATGTCTTGACATACACTGACAAAATAATCTATTCGGCCTTCAATGGATCCTGGGATAGCCTTTGTCAATGAGAACACACCAGAAATGTCCTCAAACAAATTTGTCGAATTTGAACGTTGTTGACGATTCACTAATCGTAGTCCGCCATAAAATGCGTCCTCCGAAGCATGACACCCCTGGATTTGGATACAGCCTTCTACATCACAAAGCCTCTCTCACTTCTGTTTCTGCTGTGTCCATTTTCGGTTGGCGAAGCTTGATCAGAGGTGAAAACAAATGCTAATTGCTCCAACCTGCTTCTCGTTACTGGCATGTTTGCACCAGTATATAATTAGCATTGTGGATCCAATACTGAGAATGAGCAGAGAGGTGCAGGAATATAGGTGCAACTGGCGCATGCACTATGCATAATTCTAACGCATTTGCCTGTTTGTGTTTACTTTCTCTACAAAGCTTTTAGATTATGAGTTTAGATTTTTTTGAATGTCAGCAAATAACTATCTATCAACATTTAAATATTATATATACCTATGAGGATTTTGTAAAGTTCTTTCTGATGCACGAGAGGTCTTGCAAGATGTTTACATCAAATATAATGATGTTTTATCTAACCTTTAACAATATTACAGAGCTATCATCAGTTTATTTCTTTAGCGGGGCTTGGTTCATCACTGTCGGCAATTCAAAGGCAGCATGTTTAGGCCAAGATTTCACCCATTTATAAGAGCGACAGCTTGCAATGAATGTCTTCACTGTTATCTTTACCAGCTGTTCTTAATGTGGACAACTCAGTGGTGGATCTGGAGACCATTGAGGCCCTGTATGAAAATGTGAGTTTCTGTTCCTTGAAAATAAATAAGTGGCAATTTTTTTTTATATTTACCTTTTGTTTTGATGTTATTTTTTTGCTGCGTGTCATCACAGAGAGCTACCGGCGATGAGATGGACAAGATCACAAAACATTATGAGACTTCCAAAGAAGATGAAGTGAAGCTGCTGGACAAACCCGAACAGTGAGATTATTATTTTTTTTATAATTGTCTTGATAAAAGACGTTTAATAAAGTGAGCTTTCAAATGAGATCTCAAGCAGTCTATCAAATAAATACTTGAGCTTGTATTTATACCTTTTTTTTTAAAGGTTCATTAATGGAGGCTGCTCGAGTGGTTCCGGTCGGGGTTAGGTAATCCAGGCCAGTTAACGAGGCTTGGACCCAGCGGTGCCGCTCAGCCGGGTCTTCCTATTTCCATGTTTGACCAGAGCTGTCACTATAGCTGCCTGAGTCATCCTTACTCAGTGTCTACCTCCATCAGCAGACCCTAATCACACAGGATGTTACCGCTCCGCTCCCCTCCGACACGGCGCTGTTTACATAAGTCGTCCTGCATCAGGCCAGAGCTACCTTTGATCAGTCTCTGTGCGCCGCTCGTTGCTTTTCCTCCACCCGACCCCTTGGACCTTTCAAACCCAACCGAGCAGCACCACTCATGACTCTCAGCTGCCCACCTGCCTGTGAACAGCAACATCGACTCAGCCTGGCTGTGTGGGGAAGCTTGGCCTGCCAAAGCCCCAGAATAGTTCTTCCTGTTAGACATTTTGTTTAATTCTGTCATAACACATCACACCCCATTCCTCCTCCCCCTCCCTCGGCTTCTAATCCCCCTCCTTTTGTTTTCCAGGTTTCTCTATGAGCTCTCCCAGATTCCTGACTTTGCAGGTCGAGCCCACTGCATCATCTTCCAGTCAGTTTTCCGCGACACCATTTCCTCCATTCATCGTAAGGTTCAGATTATCTCAAGCACCTGCAAAGTAAGCATCAACATGCATATCTTCTAAAGTGTGTTGAAGCATTTAGGACTCAGCTCAGAGACATGTGTGTGATCCCTTGCTAGGCGCTGCTAGAGTGTAAAGCCCTGCAGGATGTGATTGGTCTCGTTCTGGCCTTTGGGAACTATATGAATGGAGGGAACAGAACGAGAGGTCAGGCTGATGGCTTTGGGCTAGAAATCCTGCCTAAGTTAAAGGATGTCAAGAGCAAGGTACACAAAACTTAAAGCTTTTCCAAATTATGTGAAATTACAGTAATTGTTGGTGCATTGATCTTTTTCACATTTCCTTAACAGGACAATCGCATCAATCTGGTAGATTATGTAGTTTTATACCATCTGCGATACTTTGACCAAGTAAGTAGAATCATTCACAAAATTTTTTATTTATTTATTTTCATGACTCCAGTACTTGTGTGTATGTTTTCAGCATGCCGGTACAGACAAGAGTGTATTTCCCCTGCCGGAGCCTCAGGACTTCTTCCAGGCTGCACAAGTCAAGTTTGATGATCTAACCAAAGACGTCAGAAAACTCAAGAAAGATCTAACTGGTAGGATATGCCATGTGGCATTGAAATATTTATTTTCAGTGTGATTGTTTAGGTTTGGCACATGGTAGGTCTCCCTCTGCATTGATATCTCCCTCTCCAGAGTGAGGCACTGTGGGTAATCAAATAGCACAGACTAACGTGAAGTTCTTCCAATGCATTCCATTTGGCTTGGGAGTTGGAGCTGTGATTTGGTAATTATGTCAAACCCAAATTAACAGTGCTCCTTTTGCATGTGAAAACTTAGGATTTGTTATGATTTCTTCATTGTTGTGCTCTGTGACCAGGCTAGCCGTTATCACCACTACAATTTGATAAAAACAAATTAAAATACTTTTTTTTTTACATGTTCGCCAATAGAACCTGAACAGTGTGAAACCAGTTTAATGTGATGCAGGCTAAGAAAATGGTAGATTTCGCCATCTACTAGATTTTGGCCCAGGGCCAGTGTTGTGATGATTTGTGTTACCTCATCAGTCAAAATGTGCCCTAGAACTGCACAGGTATGCACCTGAAATGGTAAAGCGACAACTCCACAATAATCATTACTGTCTTGGATTGCTTCTGTGCCAGTTAAGAAATGAAGTAAAATAAGTCAAAAAAATAGATTAAACACAACTCACTGTAACCTCCGACAAAAATTAAATGGATGATTTAAATATTTTTTCTTAACTATTATATCGATGTTAATCTTGGAAAAAATTAACATGTCAAGTTGACAGCTACTAGTTTGAAACATGTACGTGCAGAAAGCGCAGTGAATGCATTTAAAAGGTGAAGTTAACTGAGAAAAGTATAATCAGCCATGCTGATTTTCAGATGCATTCTGATCATGAAAATGGGCTTCTACTCCTATTTCCTGCATGAGCCGCAAAAAACAATACACAGGAAAGCGGTCGGGTCAGAAAAACACAAAGCTCTGTGTAACATTCATGGACTTACTCACTTTGACATGCGACTTCAGAAGGCTGTGTTGAATTTTGCTGCCAAGCGGAAGCATCTGGGCTAGTAGAAGCTAGCCATAGCACAATCCACTTCACAACATGGCAGAACACCTTCGGGCTTGTGTTATTTGTGGAGATATTGCATCAGCATTGCAGTGCAAATGGAGGCAGTGGAAGAGTTGCATTACCGTTAGCCAATCAGAAATGAGAAATTTGCATATTATGAATATTAATGAATAAAATTCCAAATCTGTTGTTTTCCACCCACACGACTCCGACTAACTTCTACTTTCTGAAACAAGAGAACAATTCACAAGGCATTCATTTATACTAGAGACCAGTTTATTTATGAATAAATATAAACATTTGTTTTATTTATTTATAACAAGTGTAGATCCACTTTAATATTTTAGCACTAGCATGATGAATAGCAATGGACAACACCATCACAAAAATTGCTTCCATTTTCCTCAGACTGCTCCCAAGTGGCAGCACCATGCTACAACACGTAGACATATGTTTAGAAAATGTCTCCATAAAATGAACATAGACGTAAGCCTTTTCTATGGGACCCCATGTCAACCTTTACTGCTTAGGTCATCTTTGTGTCACTGTTAATCAGTCAGTGTAATTGTAAACGTTACCACCTTTCACCAAAGCATTTTAAATGTAAATGTACTTCTTATGGATGCCTCCCGCACCAACTCAGAGAAGGTTTGTGAGCACTTTCAGGACCTGGAAAAGCCTGCGGCCATGCACTTTTCCCAGTTTCCAGACAGTATCTTGACCATTATGTCATCATAACATGGCGGTCTCTCCTGTTTTGGCACTGATCGTGGAATATTTAGTATTGTCTTTAAGCCTTGAACATTTATGAAGTATGAATAATCTCCCAAAAACGAGAAGCAGCATTCCTTTTTGGTGAGGAAACATCACAGCCTTGATGGTGGATAAATAAACACATGCACTTTTGATGTTCTGTTTGTTGCGTCCTTGCTGCCGAGGGACTCGGTACCCCAGCCAGACAGCCAGTTAGGGCTGGCCACGACCAAGCTGAGGTTAAAGGTGAAGCTTCTCAGTGCCCCTGGTGTCTGCGGTTATTTAAATCAAGCAATAATACGGCATATGAAAGCAATTAGATATGCTCCACGTTGCTGTTAAAGCCCTCTCCTCTCTGACCTGAGGGAAAAATACAAAGGGTCTGCTGAAGTACCCAGACCCACCTCAAGCTGTCACTCATTTATTAGGAAAAATAGAAGACCTGAAGACAATAAATGCAACACAAGGGCCCTCGTATTTGATCTCTGCTGAAGCACAGTCTGGCACAGTAGTCCTCAGGGGGATTAACATTGTAGGGCAGGCACTGGATTCTGGATGTTTGCTGAGTCCCACCTATGACTTCCACCATTTTTATTCTCTCCCGCTGCCAGGACTAAATATTTATGCCTAACTATTATAAACAAGCCTGAAGAACCCAACTGGTCCTGATTATAAAGCTAACACAGATCCTTTCCATCCACAACCCTCTTTGATACCGAGAAGCTAACACTGAGTCACACATTGTTTTGTGGTTTTATTTTGGTGAGAAAAGCAGCCTGGTCCTCACCTGATCATGAGGTGGCAGCTGCAGCGACTATGATCTTGTCTTCAAGACTTTAATCAAGGATCTTGATGCTGATGGTGAGAAGGTTATTTCTCTGTCTGTTTCACAGTGGATTTAGGTTTCCGTATGAGTGCCCAAGCAGGAGTTATGACTTCATTTAATTTGCTGGTCATCGGTGATACTCAGGGACAGGTCGCCGTACACTTGGCTGCTCTCTTCTTCACTGTTTTGTGGAGAAACATGATCCTCTTTTGATGAGGCTTCCTGTTTGGAGAGAGGGTGATGACCTCTCTCCTGGCTCCACAAAAGGGAGATGGATGAGTGAGAGGCCATGCAGACCTACTGTAGGAAGGAATGCCTAAAATCTAATTTGCGCCACAATTAATGTAGCACCAAAAAGCAGGCTTCCCAGGACGAGCTAATGTTTTGAATTATCACTTTCAGATCGACGCAAACAGATTTTTGTAGCTGCTACGTAATTGAGCGAGACACATTGGCAAGGGGATGCACCCAACTGAAATAGGATCAAATAAAAAGAAACAGTCAGAGCTCATTTGCTGCTCAGGGGAGTTTAGTGTTTCACAGAAGGCCTGGCTCAGGTTAGGCATTCATCACTGTGGCAAATCAGACAGTGTTCAGATTTTAAATGGCCTTTAATGTCAGTTTGAGTCAGGGCCTTTAGCCTGAGCTCTGTTTTACGACAAAGGCTCCACTCACATGTGAAGTCTGCATGTAGAGGCACCCATCCTCAGGACAAAATAAACAAAAGAAGAATTAGAGCATTGTTTAAAAATAAATGATTAGGTGCAACTTATAGTTTCATTCAAAATTCCTGCAAAAAATAAACATTTTAATGAAATTGTAAACATTTTCTGTAAATTTGTGCAATAATTTGGTTTTAAACTAAACTTTCATCAGTAAATATAGATTTTTACTGACTTCATTGTCTCTCTGGTTAGAGCCTTTACTCTTGTGCTCTTCAGCTAAGAATAACCTGAATCCTGGTTGATTTATGAGGGATGGAAAGAGGAGCAAAGGTGCTTATCATTGCTCCACTGGGTTGGTGTTTGGATGTCCTCGCATAGATAGAAGAGCCAGAGTCTCTACAGTCTGCTGGAGGGATTGGTGAGGGTAAACACTTTCCAGGTATGAAAACGGCTGCACAAGAAACACTGAGCTCATTTCGTTTCTTCATCAAGTTTATGAGTGCAATTCAGAAAATTTGAAGTGGAGCACGATCGTTCTCAGAGAATAATTCTATTTTAAATGGTGCTTTAAGTATCGGTGTGCAGCAACAAGAGACACAAGCTGTATGTGTTTCTCTGCCGATGCCCCTTTGTGTTGTCAGTGTCATTTGTATGCTATTGGGGGTGGGGGTGGGGGGGGGGGTTATTTATTGCCACATTTCAGGCTCTGGGACATTCATCACACAGCCAGAGAGGGGAATTTGTGGTGTTCCACAGAGTCTCCATCCACTGTTAACCTTTTTCTTTAGATCACTTGGTTGTTTTTGTTTGGTCTCGTGCTGAATGTTCATGGTAGCTGCAGCCAGGGCTTGTGTTTGTTTCTTTAATTTTTTTATGGCAGGCCTATTGAGTTTTCAAAAATTAATAAACACAATGGGGTTGTCATTTGGACAAAGATTTGGCCGTTTTTGTTGATTTTTGTCATGCATTGGTAAATGTTACAGTATCTTCCTAGCTCCTGAGTAAACCTGTCTTGGAGTTCATTTCTTAGCACACTTCAGCACAAAAGGCTTTTCAAAATAAAAGCATGATGAGTTAATTTCTTAGCACACTTCAGCACAAAACACTTTTTAAAATAAAAGCATGAGGAGCAAAGAAAGCTCAGGACACTTCTCCAATCGGCACAAGTAACAGCTTACAAATGTAAATGTAAAGCAGGTGCGCGCACACACACACACACACACACACGTTTGTAGAAAGGATGAGTTTTTTTGGATTAAGAAATGCAATTGTAATTGCTGAGGAAACATTGAAGATAAGATTTAAATTCATCACATAGATACTTGTAAAGATGAGAAAATGAGTTTGGGATGGGTGTTCTAAGTAGAGTTGTGCAGTGATGTGTTGACTGTAGCTGTAGAAAATATATACGATCATAATTTATTTGTATTTAAATAAATGAGTAAAAGTTCAAATGGACACTTGAAAGTCACATAACAAAAAGCATCTGCGTGGTCATTGGTTGCATAATGACTATTCACTACATTTTCTGTCTCCTGTAAGTTCTCCTTGACTTGCAGGAGAATTATATGTTTGATTAAACTTTTCCAAAATGAATGATCACTCTCAGAGCATGTCTGAAGCTCCAGCATTTAGTTTTTATTCTTCACAGCTGTTGTGTCTTTTGCGGGCTTCCTCCTTGCAGCCTTCGCTGTCTGGACCACATTTGGAAACAAGCCCCCCCTAAATTGTAGACTTGCTGTTTTGAGCACCGTTTTAATGGGTGCTTTTGAGTCAGGGGGGATTTTTGGTGTGTAAAATGTGGTTTATCCAAACAGAATTCTTTGATTGTTGTGTTTATATGGTCACTGACTTTACTTTTTTTTATTTGGAAAACCGGCTGTTGTGGTAACCAGACTATGTGGCTATAGGTTGTGTTTCCTTTTTATTTTATCAGGACGTTTAATAAGTTAAAGATGTAACCGGGTACCACATCGCAGGTGCAACAGTTTCTCATGCAAACATGTGAGAGCCAAGCCGAGCTCGCATGTAAAAGCAGCGACGAAGCAAAGTGAGGCAGCGTCCAGGCCCGTTAATGCGTTTGTTCTGTTGCAGAACTATTTAGCTGTGCAGTCATAAGCAAGTTGTGGTATTTATTGCTGCCATTAATGACTTACAGGTTGGAGGATTGTGCCAAAGCTCTTTCACCAGACTCTTGTGCGAGTAGTAACCTAGGATTAGAGTTGTGAAGGAAATGGGGAAAGGTTCAGCTGGAACGTGCTCAGTCAGGCCTGTTTCCTCCGAGAGTGTGTGAGCTGCATCGTTTGGCACGAAAACAACCACAAAAATAATACACCACAAACACATCTGCCATGCTCACACATGCAGGAAGTACAAAGAGAAGGATGCATCTCGATACTTTATCACTATTACTACTTTATCAGTGGCTACAGTCTTTCTTCAGACTTTTGCCTAAAGTTGAAAAAAATCAAAACAATTGTAATATGGTTCTATTCATAGATAGATATCACACCCTCTTTGTAAAATGGCTCGGACAATAATCATCTTCCTCCTTTGCTTTTTATTTTTTTCTCTACCAGCTTGTGAAAAGGATGTGCAGAAAGTGTGCACCAACTCTTCAGAAGAGCACCTGCAACCCTTCAAGCAAAAGATGGAGGCATTTGTGTCTGAAGGTGAGTCGAGCTGGGTGTCTCTTTTTGCATTGTAGTAAAAGCAGCTCATAAAATATTTTGTCTTCAGGGTGAAGTTGAAATTGTTCTCTCACTTCATTTAAATTACGATGCAGACGCATTTCACCATCACTGTGGCTGTTTGGTTCTACATGATGTGAAACTGCTAAGAAGTTTCACTGAGTCAAATATTATGTTTTTAAAAATAAGGAACCATTCAGCTGCGCCTCACAGCGTGTGCATGTAAGACAGCATGAAGGCGTGTAGAAAGGATCACGTTGCCCCTAACATAGTTCCAGCTTCCATAAAGCTGGCAGGAACTCTCATGAACCCACTCCGTCCTCAGTGGTTCGCTCTTGGAGACAACCATCACCTCTGTCCCCTTTCTGACCCCAACACCTTTGCACACCTTCTCTACCATCTGTCTTTGTTGTTTCTTCATGAAACGGCATCTACACTGTAAAAAATAAAAGTTGAATTTACTTAACCAAGTTATCTCCACTGGTTCTGTTGTAGTATTAGCAAAAGTAATCTTTGCTGAACATAGTTGTCGAATGTTTAACCTTGGATGTTCATCGTCATGGTAACCGATCTTGAAAAAAGCAGCCTCCTTTGCTGTACGAGATTATTTATATTAGAAAATTGAAACCGTTGTGAATAAATCAAGCCCATCTAGATATTTTATATTTTGTTTGTGATGATGGATTAAAAATTTGGCATTAAGATATTAATGGATTTTTTTTTTCACCAGTGAAACTGCGTCCACATCAAACAAAACGTTAAAGCTTTTAAAAGTGATTGTGGTTGCCACTGGCTGCAAAATGGCTTTTTACAGAGTCACCTCCTGAACATAAACCCTCCACTTGTAAAAGCATTTGTGTCATAGACGAGAAACTCCTCGAGCTCATGCCCATGCTCCAGGAGGAGTGGAAGGGTGGGTATAGTTGCGATGATTCCACGACTTCAAAAGGCAAAAGAAAAAACAAGTCAACAGAGTTCACATCAAAGAGCGGCTCGGCTATTAAAGTCTGACTCATTATTGAACGAGTTTCCCATCCAGGTAAACCATCAGGCTACTCACGCATAGATACATGTGTCCTACACATGATTCTATGTAAGGCACCTCTTAGCGCAGCTCTAACAGGGGATAATGCAGCGATTTGTGGAAGTGGGAATCTCACTCATGCAGATGAAGAAATAAATTATAAACCTCATGCTGAGAGTGTAGTCTTTTGTAAGAGAGCTGCGTCTTTTCTTCTGTCACACAAACCACCTCAGTTTGTATTTATTTAGCTGTCGTCACATCCACATGATCAGCTTTTATCTGATTTTTGTCTGATTATGAGATACAGCTTTTTTTAAATCAAATATATGCACCCTCAACACTCCAGCATAGTTTCTCATCTTGAGTTCATGTCATGACTAATCGAGGTAATAAAAAATCCTGTTCTGTGCTATTTTTTAAATTTTCCATGGAAAATTCTTGAGTATCTTAACATTGTCAGTGAGTCGGATCAAGTACCTTCCTCCTATCCAGACGAGGTTGGAGGAAGATGGTTTAGACCTGAAACAGAGATGGAGTGGTATTTAATCAGAACAACGCTGTTTTTGTTTGTTATCGAGTCGTTGGGTTTAAGCCGCGGTTTGGAAAAGTGTGTCAGGGTTTTAAAGCTGTAATTTATTGTCCCTCTCAGCATGCACGTCTCATAACTTTCTAGTTAGCAACTAGTGGTTTCATGTTAACACATGGAGTGGAGGAAGAGAAACTTCACACATTTCCCTCTCCCGGCCGCTTGCTTTCCCCCTGCTATTCGGCTCCTGTGCCACCTCTGCACAGTCACACCAGAGGGGTACCTCAGGCGCCAGCCTAACCCCCACTGAGACTAACACCATTGGTCACGGCCCCTCTCTCCTCCCTCCCGTCCTCCCTTTATTCCAGACATGGTCACCCCCCCCCCCCCCCCCCCCCCCCATTCATTAGGTTTACCCAACATACATGTAAAGGACTAAAAAATAAAGAGGGGCTGTTGATCTCGGGCTTTGGCTCACCTAGTCCCAGAAGACCCCCAAAACCTGCCTTTGAAATTTTTTTTTTGATTTCCCCCTCTTAAATCTTCAAGTAGAAAAAGGTCCCCCATCATTGTAAAATATATATATATATATAAAAAGGGATGAATCTGGAAAAATGCAATAAATCTGAGATCACAGGCACTCTTTGGCCCTAGATAAATTCTTGCACCTCAGCCTGGCCCGCCACACACATCTGCCTTGCATTTAGGCACTTTTACATGGCAGGAGTCCACAGGAGCCTTCGGTTCCCAAGCTTCTCTGCTTCAGCATTCACATGAATGCCAACACACACACACACACACATGGCTCAACAGACTGCCACACCCCACCTCTGAGCACAAGCATTACACACTCACACTTTTAAGCGTCAACACACAGACTTGTGTCAAACTTTACAATGTGCTTAATGGTTACCTGGGTGACATTCTCGCTGTGTCAGACTCGGCGACATCTCAACCCTTTTCGTCTTCACCCATTAACTGTTAACTCCTAGCACAGCCAATAAACACAGCGCCCTCATCTGGAAACCTTTGGTCGTGTCACGGCCTGCTAATCTGATGGCTGATTAACATTTCTTTCTGTGTTGCAGCTCAAAAGGAGCATTCTGACGAAGAGGATCGACTCAACGCAGCTCAGAAAAGGTAGAGAGCACTCTGCAAACAAAAACGAGCCAAGAAATGTGTGTTGGGCTTGTGGCATAGCTGTGTTATCTCCATAGAGATTTCACAGCTGCTATCAGATTAAAAAAAAGCTTAATATTTGTTTAAATATTATCTGAAGCTGATAGAGTTTCCAGAAAGATTAAGGGGCTTCTTTGTATTTATCTGCCTGTTTGAAATTATTAAAATTTTACTTATTAATAATAATTCATAATTCATTCCCGTTTGCTGGATTCTGGGTTTGTTAGAATTTATGGCAAACACAAATAAGCATGCATTTTTCTCACGAGAACATCACTGGACTTGTACTATGTGTAAACCTGCATGCCCTGAACCTTCTCCCCAGCAGTTCCTATCACTCTTATCTCCTGTGTTCCTCAAAGTTCTCAGCGGTGTGATGATTTAAGGGGCACGAGACCCCTCTAGCCTCCGAGCTCGCGGTTCGAGCAAAATCATATCTGGAACATTTCATTTTGGAAAAAGATGGAGCAGAAAGACAAAGAAAATTGATTATTTTTCCCTTGTTTGGATAGAGAGCAGAGTTGTTTGCCTCATGTCGTAAGATTCCAACATCCAAAATAAATCAGGGAAGCACATAAAGAAGTCTGAAGACACTGGGTGCAAGACAAAAAAGCGGATCTTGTAAACAATAAAAAACTTGGATTCTGTCGAGCATCATAACTCTTAGCTTGTGTTGCCAAGAGGAGTGTGTGTGTGTGTGTGTGTGTGTGTGTGTGTGTGTGTGTGTGTGTGTGTGTGTGTGTGTGTGTGTGTGTGTGTGTGTGTGTGTGTGTGTGTGTGTGTGTGTGTGTGTGTGTGTGTGTGTGTGTGTGTCACTTCTTTTTGTGCAGAGGTGACACCACTGTAATGAAGGTGTTTAAATAGGTGGCTAATATTGATCAAAAGACCCCCACAGCTGACAACACCTTTCCTTTTAATGAAGTTTTCCTTTAAATCTGATCTAAAAGCGGAGGGAGACTAGCTGATTGGGAGAACAAGGAGGAGTCAGGGGGTCTCTCTTTCTCAGGTTCCCACAGAGCCACCTCGTAAAAGTGACATGCTATTGATGAATGTGGGCATCAGTGGGCACTCGGGGCCCTGGGTGGGCTCCACATATGTGCTGGATGAGGAATCCTCACATAAGCAGCTTCTGAACAATTGAACACAATCCTCAACCAGCTATCAGTTTTATAAAATTGTACCTGAACATGAGCAGGAATCAGGATATCAACGCGTTTTTAGAGTATTTGTAATTAAACTGCATAGTTATTAAATCGATGGGAATATTGAAACATTCAAACGGTAAAAACATTTTATTACTGGTTTTGTAAAAAGTACAAATAGTAGAATCTGGATTTGTTTATTTCTAACTAATTAAAACATTTGAATTTGGTAAGTTTTAACAAAATAATGAAAAAAATGATCTTAAGAAAACAACTTGTTTAGACAGTCTGCATTAAATGATCCATTTTTTACATATAGCTTTTATCTTTCATAGTTTAGCTAATTAAATTTAAAAAAATTTGCACTTGAATAATTTTAAGGTTATGAAATTCAATTTTTACACAAAAGACATTTGTTTGTGTTTTGCAAAAACAGAACAGCGCCTTTTGTTTAGTAGAGTAGAACTTGAATTTGCTACATAAAACAACCGATATTAAATACTTGCAGAAATTAAAGTCTTAGAATTTGTTAATTGCTGTAAAGTCACTACCAGTCAGTGACTTGGTGCAATTTGCTGGGTTCCTTATATAGGAAACTTTTTTTCTGAATGGCTTAATGAACTGACTTGTATTGAAATGTTTATTATGTGAAGTGCCTTGACACGACTCTTGTCATGATTTGGCGCTATATAAATGTTTTTTTTTTGTTTTGTGGGCGTGACATTTTTTTTTTAAATGTGTACAAAAAAACGTTTTATGAATTCACCTTTTTTTATTTTACAGTAACATATCCTGATTCTATTTAAAGTGACTTTAAACATGGGAGCCGCACAAAAATATACTGAATTGTATGCACCATCGAGAAAAAAAAGACAACTCTGAAGTTATGGGATTGGTTCATTTCCTGTTTAATCATCATTTAGTGTTTTTCCTTAACAGGCAGATTTAATTTGTCCGCTTCATGTCTTTCCTTTTTTTCTACGGTTCTGTCTCATTAAGTTTCCCTCTCCACCATCACGCTCAATTTCCTTTGGCCCTGGTGCCACCTCCTCAGTCCCAGTGCAGCAGTTTGGATGGTGTAATGTTCCACACTGGTATTGTATGACGAAAACAGGCCTCTGATTGGTTATTCTGCTGAGTCAGCCAACAACAAGCTGTTTACTTCTGTAATCTTTTTACTGGTGAAACAAAGGAATGCAAAGTTGCTTGTCCAAATCCTTGGATTCTCACGGCTGTTCGTGGTTTTGTAATGGGCATTTTTTTCACAGCTGTCAGCGAGGAATGTGGACTGCGGGGGGTGCTGTAAACCCTCTCACGGCATTGGCATCACCTTATAGATTATGAATGGCCGTGTTTCTATTTGTTTCTGCAACAAGTGTCATCCTGCATAATTTTGCCTTTTAGCTTGGTATGTGTGACAATTTCCTTAACCTACATGCATGGTAGGCTAAAAGGAAAAAGGTGTCCTGCTTGATTTGTGCAAGCTTTGACACAATGACCCAGGGTCAGGAGAAGAGGTCCTGTTCGTCATGCTGGACTGGACCAGCTGCTGCGATCTACCTGTTACTTCTGTTTGCCCCATCGAAGCAAACACACCTTGTGTTGCATACCTAACGATCCACTGATTTAGGTATCTCTGCAAAATGATGCAACACTGGGAAATGAGAAGCAGGCTCTTACAGCGTTCCCTCTGGGAACATGTCTTGGATTAGCCTTTCAACAAAATCACCTAGCATATGGAGGTCAGAGACTTCCCTTGGTGTCAACGGGACAGAGAGCATCTCTTGAATCATGGCCGCCTTTTATCAACTCGCTGACAGGCACCGCTAGAAAATGTCTTTCATGTTTCGGTTTGCAGACGGAATCCAAAGCAGGAGGTGGCTTTCCGTGCCTCTTGGAGAGCCCAGATATGGTAACAATTGAAATACACAGAGAAGCTTGCTTTCAGCGGTGAGACGGAAAATGTTATTAACAAGGATCAAATTTGTTTTCTGTGCATGCCCCTGGGTCATGTTGATCTGCGGACAGGGAGTGTGTTCCTGCTGCTTTACAGATGTGTTAGTATGTGTATTTTCTTGGCTATCTGTCCCCTGAATGCTGTGGAGGTCAATGTGATAATAGAGCTACCACTGCTAGGTCCCCCCGTGACCCAACAGGGTGGACATGCTCCCTCCAACATTTTTCTTTTCCATCTCTCATCATTTTCTGTGTGCGCTCTTTTCTCCCTCCATCTTATAGACAGACCTAAACATTGTGTTATACTTAAAATCTTGCCAAAACACAGTACCATCCATTATTTGCACCTTTCCAAACCTCTTCTGCATGTTACCCCCAACAGTTTCCAGGATGTGGTAAACTACTTCGGTTTGAAGCCAAAGTCCGGGGAGAAGGAAGTGGCACCAAGTCACGTCTTCTTGCTCTGGTACGAATTCTGCAACGACTTCAGAAACTCCTGGGTACGCCAAAGCAAGAACATCTCCAAAGAGAGGTGCGTTGGATTTTTGTACCATCAATTTCCTGTCCTGAACATTTGGTTTACTCCTGAAGGAGTTATTCCCAGAGGTAACATTAATGCCACCTCTATAGATTTGTTGGCTTTAATGAGTTGCAAAATTTATTTGAACTTTTGCCCTCTTTAACAGTTGTCCACTAATTTATGACACAAATATTTGGGAACAAATTTTTGTTTTCTTTTGGAATTACACTGAATTGCTACTTCTGTTTATGAAAAAAGGTTTTAATTTTTCATTGTGAAAAGGTGCACATTTCTTGTTGCAAAATGGTAAGATTTTCTCAATCTATCCTTGCAGATTTATGCTGGGTGTGTTTTTTTTTTGTCCCTGAAAGTTAAATACTTGTTCTTATTGGAATATGATTGGTCACTCTTGAGTTTCACATGCAGGCTGAATTAGAAAATGGTTATTAACCCCCGTTTCCTGTTAATTTTTTGGCAAGGAGAGAGCAGAGCACATTTTGGCTAGTAGAAGTTAACCATTAGCATTAGCAAATCCACAACATGACGGAACATGTTAATGTTTGTGGTATTGCATTTTTATACCCAAGAAAGAAAAGTTAATAACGGCAGGAGAAGAGTTGCCTTTCTGTTAGCCAATCAGAGGCTAGATGTTGGCATATCATGAATATTAATAAGACTCCTAGCTAACTTCTTTCCCCTGAAACAGAAGAACCTGAGATTTTTCCCCACAGAAAACGACTCATAAGGCATTTATTCATACTAGAGAGCACAGCGGATTTATTAGAACGAGTGTAAGCCTGCTGTAATTTCACAGGTTGCCTCCAAAGGTTGTCTCGCATTTTGAGTTAAAAAGACTAAATTGCGACAGGCTCCAGATGCCTGCAATGGCTCTATTTTAAGAGGAGGATTGTCTCATTTATTTGTCAAATTTGTTCAGAATTCCAGCAATTTACAGAGAAATGAAAAACCTTCACAACAATTTTGGAACATTTTGATTTTATCTCAGAGTGCTTACTATGGTGCATAGCTTTTTTTTTCAAATCGATGTATGAACCTCTGAATATCAAGTCGTATCAGCACAAAATGTACAAGGTTGTCCGGTTGTAATTATAGCAAAGAAGAAGGCCATCAAAGAAGGAGTCAGAAGGGAGTAGCTGAGACCTCGGTCCAGTTTCTGAAGGACCTGAATTTACGACCTTTCCTCTGACCTGAGGCGTCGTGTTGGGTGAGAGGGAGAGACTGTGGACCCTCCTGGCTGCCGCCTGGCTTTACTAGAGGCAAGCAGGGGCCTGCGGCTGTTAAGACAGGAAGAACTGATGAACGCTGTAATGATGCTAGGCATTTCTGCAAGGGAAGACTTGGAGTTTTAAATATCACACAGTGCTTTCGTTGAAGATGGATTACTTGGATAACTTCCTGTAAGATTCTGCAGACATGCGTGCTTACTGAACTGAGTCTCTCCCTCAGCTCCTTGTGCTCTATCTTTATTGCAATCGTGTCTCACATTACTCACAGCTGAATGTGCTTAAGTACAATTAACTTTATTTTAATTAGTGCTTGCACACTCGTAAAAATCAAGTGCTTTTTTAAAGGTTGCCTCATTATCTCATCAACCCACTGTCTTCCTCAACCTCTCCTCGCTTAAAGAGGCTTTCACTGACCACAAACTCCAAAAAGGATCTGTGTGTGGATCCGTCTGACCCCAGGGATGCCTTTAAATAGCTTTTTCAAACAAACAACTTCACGAGCGCAAAAGGTTGAGAGGTTTCTAGCTCACGTGAGATTTTAGCGTCAGCTTCTAGTTTTAAACGGTTGGCTAATGTGAAATCCTGTGGGTTGTTTTCCTTTTGTAGGTTAAAGGAAGCTCAAGAAAACATTAAGAAGATCACAGCAGAAAAGAGAGTGGAAACCAAGAAGATTAATGCCCACAGCCTGGTAGGAACTCTTTTAAATTTAGCTGTTCATGTCTGAAATCGATAAGCTGCAACTTGATGTTATTGCCAACAGAAAGAGAGGTTGAGACAGAAGGAAGCTAACGTGTCCTCCAGCTGAGTTTAGAAGAAAGCAAGAGTGGCTGTATCCATCCTGCACCTGCCTCAGAATGATACAATAAAACTCATATCTTCTGGACATCTTCACCTCCATGTTTGAGGGTTTCTTCCTCATTTGCAAATCTCCTGTGGTGAAAATAAATGGCTGACACGGCTGAAATGATGGGAGTCCTAAAGGCCAAAGGTCAACCTCATTCATCCAGCACGCCGTGACATCTGAGTGCCCAGCTTGTGTTCCGTTTTCAGGGTTCAGTTGGATTCTCAGCAGGATTCCACATGTTTCCTTCCCGATCTTGGGGATTTTCTCTTCTCCGAGTTTCATCAGAACACAATTCATCCCACCAGCGCTGTGTTTTAGGAACAGATACAGCTTCCTGGCAGTGTCTGCTGAGAGGAAAATCCCTGTTGACAAAACACATCATTTCTCTCTGAACGCAGGAAATTAGCAGCTCACGGTGTCTTCTCTGCAGTAGCAAATAACTTTCATTCACCACGCCTCATTAAAAATCTTCCCAATACGTCGTTTTGAGTTATCGTGCAGTTTCGGAGCAGTATGCTCTGCTTTAGAGCAGATGAAGGTTGGTGGAGTGTGTATAAGCTGTGTGTGTGTGGAGGTTTTGGCTTACTGCACCAGACTGACCTCTCCTGGGTGACTGCCAGAGAGGATCAGCAGCTGGCAGTGAGTCTGACTCAAAGCTTCTGCCTCTTCACTTTTGCAAACTAAAAACACCAGAACACATCGTCTTTTGGTGAACTCGTTCATCTGATAAATAAATAAATTTAAGAATGTTGTGCTGTTTTTGTTAAATATTCTCCAGCACAGTTTTAGCACTTTGCTGCTTGCAGTAGCTGTACGTAGTAGCACGCTGTAAAACACATACTGAGGCTAATTGCGTGCTTTTTTTTCAGTGGTTTTGCAGGTTTTTGCACCATTTTTTCCTATGCAACAAAATGGGGTCTTTACTTTAAATATTACCTCCTTTAAAATCCTGTTTAATTTTGTTTTGATGTTTTTGCACAAATGTGCATCTTGACTACGCTCCTGTGACACAAAGAAATATTTATGTAAGCAAAGAGTTATTTTATTCCTGAAACATCTGCTTTGTTCTATATTATTAAGTTTGTTTTCTGAGTTGATTGAATGATGAGCTGCATATATATATATATACACGGATGGATATCACTTGTATGTTTGGCATATTTGCAGTGGGAAAAACGAGGTGTCTGTACTGCTTATTAACATACTTGTGTAATGAAAATGTATTTTGGGTGAGCTGTGATACCTCAGAACCTCAGACTTCCTTTTTTTACCCTCCATAGTTTTTCCACAGGTGCTTTATTTTCCTTCAGAGGTGGGAAAACAAAGATGGTTTGATACAGAACTTGTAGCTTATTTTTGTGGACGTGTCACTATAAAGTGATCTGTGATTTTATGGAATTGTTTTAAATTTCTCAAACTGTTGAATGCCAAATAATCTGTTTGGATGGAGACTTGCACTTTGAAAGATATATTAACCCACTTCCTCCTGATGTTAGACCTGTGTCATGAACATCTGATTTGTTAGAAGTGTGTGTCGCCAAAGAATTTGATCATTCTTAAAGCTGCTGGGCAGAAAAGGTTGTTGGTCAAAATAAAATATCATGGTAGAGCCTTGTTTTTGATTGTTTTTAATTATTTTTCCTGGAAATCTGGACTAAAATTTTTATTTTCTTAAATATTTTGTATTGTTTTTGACTGAACTAATTGAAATGATTTACTATGTAGTGAACAGTTATCTTAATCTTTAAAATTTATTCCAATACAATTTAAATTTCTGTTTGGAAATTAGGGTTTTGGCATTTAGCCAGAAATTATGTAAATGTTTTATAAAATTTGAATTTATTATGACCCTTTACATGTTTATTATTTGGAGTAACAATATTTAGGGGGAATCTAAACTTTTATATTGTTTAAAAAAAGTTTCCAACACAACTAGTTTTGAATAATTTGCATCACTTTGCAGCATCAGTTTATTGAGTTTTCACAGATAATTTAATCAAAAGATTTAAAAAAAAGATTAAATCAAAGACATTTACGTTTCACAACTATTTAGTCCCAATACTAAACCAAAACTGTACATTTTCCATAAACTTGATTCTTTTTTTCTCTGGGCTATTAAAGAAATTCCATTACAAAAAAATAATATAATCAAAAAAGGAGAAAATTATACCAAAAACTTCGAAATTCACAGAAATCAATTAGGTTAACCTTAAAAGATTCTTGAAATGTCGAAATAAAAATCACATTTTCATGAATTCATTCGTCAGAAAAAAAATTCCACACAGTGGAAACATCAGTTCTACAAACATAACGAGAAAAATAACAGATTAGGTTTAAAAAAAAAACAAGGTGAATCGTTAAATAAAACCAAGGCTTTGCAGTCCTGTTTGTTATCTGTGAGGTGAGGAAGTCGTGCGTAAAATGTGCCTGTTTCAGCATCAGCCTTTTCCGTGCAGCGTGATCCTAAATCTAATGAGGAGTTAAATGCACTCTTTCCGTTTCTGTGCAAGAGGAGAAATTTCCAACAGGTTTTTGGATGCAGAATTCATCTCCAGATGGAGACAGACACTTGCTCTCAGAACAGATCTGTCCAAGAATAAAAATAAAGCACGTGACCAGTTTAGTCCAGGTCGATGGAGATGCAGCGGCACTGTTTGACGCGCTGGATGCGCTTCTTCTTGGTAGGGGGCTGCTGGTCCGGACAGTTTAAGGTAAAAGTCATGGTGGTGAATCGCTTCGGCTTGCAGAAGGAGCAGGACTGGAAGGCGCCCTCCTCCCTGCGGATGTGCCTGGGGATATAGAAGGAGTTGCACTGTCCGTAACAGAAGCGGTTGATGATGGTGCGGCTAACGCAGCCCTCCTCGTGGATCGTCTGCTTGAGAGGCTGCGTTTTGCACCAGTCCCGTTTCAAATACTGGCGCTCCGTCACGTATAAAGCTTCCTGGCTGGACTCCAGCACCTCGTCGGTCGGTGAGGACGAGCCCGACCTCTGTCGGGACCCAGAGCCCGCCTGCGGAGCCTGCGGTTGCTGCTCGGACTCGTTTGGGTTACTTTTGTCAGGATGAGGAATGGCCCCTTGCGAGCCTCGGTTTCTTTTTGAATCCGCGGGAGAGGACAGCAAGCCAATGATGAAAACCATACTGCAGAAAATGCGCGTTGAGATGGCCATCCTTTGGGGAAAAGAGATGACAAAATAAATTAATCACCCACCTTTCAACTCTAGAAATTACGCACAGCTGGCATGGCTTTTACGCAGCGTAAAAACGCACGGATGAAACGTTTTTTCTCCAGTCGTTCTTTGAAACAGCCAAATCAAAATTAGTTCAATGAGGAAATAAGATTGACTTATCTCCAAATTTATCCAAATAAAACAAAGCCAAAAAACCTGATTTACACTATTTGTGTCTTTTACATTTTAACTCTATGAAGAACTATCAAAAGGTGAGTTACCTGAATGTATCCGACGCTCCAGGAGAGATGACGTGATCCTATCAGTCCTTTGCTGCACCTACAGCAGTCTGCGCTCTGGTGGGACAGTGGATGGGTGCGAGACAAGCCGCTCCATATGCAGGGGCCAGGGGGTTTAATACAAATTGCTTCAGCGCCGGACTGTCTCCCTTTTAAATGTCTGCCAGCTGAGATGTGCACAACAGTTATTGGCTAAGCGCGATGTAGAGAAAATCAGGACAATCCGCCCCCTCAACACTTCCCTGAACCCGTTTCAAGAAGGCAGCCCACCGAGGAGCTGCGGGGGGAGTGGGGCTGAAGTTTATTCTCACTACAATAAGTTTTTCTTTTTTCTCTTTTAACAAAAACGTTAAAGACATTAAAGTTCATCAATAAATTGTCACACATTTGGATCATTTTCTGTTAAAAACTCTCAACTATTGCATTATGGAGCACCCCGTATGCCTTTAAATAAATAATTTAAAATGTTTTTTCTTAGCTGAAAGAACAGATTTTTTTATTACGTCTAAAAAAAGTCAAAACCATGAATGGGGTTGCCAAATTGTGACACTCCTGATTTTACAGATTTAAGTTTTCAGTTCCAGCGTCACCAAAAGTAACTAAGCCATCACTTGTTTGATCATTTTCTTTATCAAAAAAAGTTATGACTTTATATGACACCATATCAAAAAAAGTTATGACTTTATATGACACCATTCTAAAGTTGAATAAATTTGATACAACCGCTTCTTTTACATTTTTACACCCTGCCAATCCTAAAGCTTCTAACATCTGAAACGAAGCTAAAACTAGACAGCTGATGCTGTATGGATGACTTAGTCTGCAAAATGTTTTTGTTGGAGATCAGAAAAGATCTGCTACAAAACTGTTAGATCAAATGCAAATAAAATACTTAACACAATTGCGATAGGTTTTTTATTACTTATGTTTGGCTCAGGTTGTTTTTTACAAATAACAGAAAAAAAATCTGAGAGATCCAATCCTGCATCAGATATGGTTACAAGAAAGCTGCTGAATGACAGCACGAATCTGACCGTGTTAGTCTGAAGTTACTCAAGTCTTTATAAAGCTGTGAGAAACTAATGTAGGGCGCCCTCTTGTGGTTTCACTAACATGTCATCCAAGATTCAGTCACTAAAAAAACTAAAGCTGTTGTCTAAAGCAGGCTGGTGGTGAGTTTTAAAGAAAAAAGGTTTTATAATCTAAAAAATGAGAGAAAAGTCAGTAAAATGCAATTTCTTTCCTCTTTTTCTACCTCAAGACAAAAGAACAGTAAGAACATATGTTGTCATATCTTTTATAAAGAAAATACTTAAAATAATCTTTTCAATGATCCCCAAAACACAAAGCTCAGAACTGGCTTAAGATGCAGAAATACATGCAAAACAGTCCATGGAATCATTTCCAGTCATACCTCCATAATTTAGCTGGCACACTCATCTAAAATGATCATCTCCCACTCGTCGGACACAAACAACCTTTACTACAGCTAAAAAATAAATTAAGGGAGGTAAAAGCATCCATGACAAAATGTTTCATGTCATGTTTAAAAAAAAATAAAATACTTGAATAGCAAGAGAAAAAAGGAGGAAGCGTAACGTCCTCTATAGGTCGACCGGTTTAGTAGCCGACAGAAGTTGTCCCGTGTTTAGCGGGTTCCTGGGAGAACCTCTGTAATGGTTCGTGTCCTTAACAACCTGTTGGATCAGATTCTTCTGGGTTCCTGTTGGATTGGAGGCAGAGCTCTCAACTTTAATCTTTGGTAGGACCTTGTTGGTCATGTCTCCCAGAGCAGAAGATGCTGGTTTTTGCACCAGACTGTTGAGCTTTTTGGGTGGAACGGGGGGAGGCTTCTTCCCAGGCGGCACGTGGTTGACGCGTGTCGCTTGAGGCCGTCTCTGCTGAGGCTGGAGCTTTGAGTGAGGGGAGAGGCCGCTCTCTAGACTCAAACACTTCTCCACTGTGAGTGTGGGTCTCCTACTCTCTCCTACGAGAGAGTTGATCCGGCGGACCGTCTGCCGGACAGGCGTGCGTTGGAACTTCAGCGGAGACCGGATTAGTTTGTTCGTCGAGTCGGTGGGGGAGTACAGGGTGAGTTTGTTGAAGTGTTGAATGTGGTCCGCCACCCGGCGTTTCCCAGGCTTATGGTTCTCTAGTGAAAGGAACGGCTGGTTTTGAGCTTTAGAGCTAAACTCTTCCATGTCATGTGATCTGCTGCCTGGAGTGCCAGCTTTAGTCGGCGTAACCGGCTCCTTTTCCAGCAGCTTGTAGGGAGTCGATGAGGAGACGCCCAGTGTGAAATGAGGACTTTGCACATCAAGAGCGTCGATGAGCCTGCTGCAGCTCATCTGCTCTGCTACACTTTCAGTTGATCTGAACATGGAGTTGCTGTGGCAACCAAATTGAGATTTATCTTGGATTACTGGACTACAGTGTACACTGGACTCAAAGTCTACACTATCAATATGCAAAGGTGTGAGCACCGCCATGTCCATTTGGCCAAAAGTAACATTCTGCTTATTTCCCGGATGGCTCTGTTGTGTTAGAACGGGAGTCTCTGTGTCCGTAGAAAAACCTTTGACTGGTGGAGTAAACAGGATATCATCCGAGGGTTTTACCACACTCCCTCCTCCCTCCTCCCGGCTGGTCTCAGTCTCATCCTTGCCAGTTTTCACAGTTTCTGTGCTCTCGAGGCTCTCTGCACTGGAAGCACAACACAACTTCAAGTGCCGGATGCTCCCCGGTGAAGACTTGGACAAGACAATGGCTGGTTCGGAGGTGTAGTTGCTCTTAAGGCGCATGTTCACAGGGCTGTCTGTAAAAGACCCTCCGCTGAAAGCCTCAGCTCCTAGAGGGGTCTCTTCAATCCACGAAGCCCGGTGAGCCCTCGAGTCAAACTGGGGGGTCACCAAGTTGTCCTCCGACTTGCTAATGTACTTGGAGCCTAAAAACGACCAAAGGATTATTTTTTTAAATGAAATAAAAACATGAAATTGAGGTAAAAAGATTCTGGTGCTTACTTTTCGACTCAGGATTTCTGGGCAGATTGAAATCTGTCACTTCAGGGAAAAGGAAGGTGCTCTTCTGTGTGGCAAGTCGCAAACCAATGGACTCAGATCCCTTCATCCGAAGCATGAAAGAAGAAAGGAAAGATGAAAGAGCCTTCAAGAAGGTTTAAGCTTTTGTTAAAACGACCCAACAGAAATCACCCATAACAACTGTGAATATGTTAATAGATATTTCTGGGGTTAGTTCTTCAGAGGATGATCAAAATCACTCAGAAGAAACCAGATATTCAAACTGTTTTGATCAACTTTTATTATGCTTATATTTTATTGTAATGTACAAGTAACTTTAGAGTTTTAAAGCATGCATTTTACAGCTCTGATGATGAATCCAACGACATTTCCAAAGTTTTAATTAAGAAAAAACTAAAACAACATTCTCCCCACCTGAGTGCTTAACACAGTCAATGATTGGAAACAGATTTCTGGAAATAACCTAAGACTTTGGTACCATAAACTGTTCCTTTAGTAACATCACAAAACGGTAAAACGTGCAACACAGATTCTCTTTAAAAAAGCAACCTGGAGTTTTCCCCCTTTCAGGATTAATATATGAGGATTTAGAAATCCATAAGTGACATTGTTTTGTGATATGATTAAGTCAATTTGTGATTTTTATTTGCTAAGCCCGCCTTTCATCCCATACAGTACCATGCAATTTAAACGCCAATCAGCGTTAGCCAATAGCATTTCACATCTGCTTATGTGCAGAAGACAATCACAGAGCTAGGGTTTTAAGTGCCGTCCTAGACTGATGCAGAGTTGGTGGCATTTCTAGTGGACAAATCAGTCTTTAAAATATTTAAACATAAATATATGAATAAACCGCACAAAGTGCAAATGACGAGAGGTGCATGGTCACGAACGAGAGGCGCTGCTTCCAGCCGTAATCACAGAATAAGGGGGAGGGGCTTAATGGTCCAATTCATTTTCCCACCTCTAGATGGTTTCTTCTGACAAAAAACTCCAGATTTCTGCTTTAAAGACTTTGATTATTTAGCAAACAAGAGTAAACTTTTTCCACATACAACCACCTACAACATTAAGAGTGGATCATTTCATTTTGATTGTTTCCGTACTTGATGTTCACACATGCACCTCACAACTAGAAAAGTGAGAGACCTGATAACCCATCTATGACCAAAGGAGGCAGGATGTGATGCAGAAAGCAAACAATGGAGTCCAGCTTTCTTAACAACTACTAATAAATGACGATCATCCATGATTCCATTTTTATATTTGAGATATGGAAACCACGTATATGCAGATTAGAACCACTTCTGCTTCCAAGGTGACTTCTGCACACATCTGCATTCTCACATTACCCCCCTTCGGAAATATCTCAAAGATTGTTTCAAGACTGAAGTGAATGTGTGAAAACAGCCAAAAAAGTGCTCCTGTGCACATAGTTATTACTGCATTACACTGTGCATGCGTAATAATCACTCGACCGTAACACAGGTAAATGCCGGATGTGTCTGTTTCACTGCATCTTTGAATGGGCCACCACACTTACGGTGCCTTTGCTGCTCTTTCCCAGGCTAAAGCGCTTGCGCAGAGACTTGCTTGGATCTTCTTTTTTGCTGACCTTAGGAGAAAAGCAGCCAGCTCTTCCTGATTCAACTCTGAAAAGTACAGATTCAAACATCTATAAAATGTGGCCTTGGTCAATGAAGAGATCATTAGACATTAAACATTTTCTCTTCCAACTAACACAAGAAAAAAACAATAGTGATCAAACCTGGAATTTTGTTACCTGCTGATGTGTTTGCTGCTTAATCCTTTGCTCTTTCTCCTTGCAGAGGTAGTTGTTTGCCTTTTAGATCTCCCAACCGATGACAAGACGTTCGAGGAGGAGTCCAACACCCCAGAAGCGCTGTAGGCTACACGCAGGGCACATGTAATTTAAAACTACACACTTCAGTGAAGGATCAACAGGTGGTTTAACAGCCATCAGTACCTGAACCAGGAGTGGTGGAGCCACTGAACAGAGCGTTGGGTAGTAAGTCTATGCCAAGGCTCTTTTTGATAGATCTACGTTTCTTGTTTGAAAATCCAAAAGAGTTGCGAGACTCAAATGGAAGTTTGCGCTTGGATGCTGGTGTCACAATCACAGGGGTGGCAGAAGAAAAGACTGAAAAGGGTATGGAAGAATGGGGAAAAATTGATCTGTTTGAACATATAGGATTTTTCTTAAAACAACAAATGCAAAAGAAAAAAGCAAAATGAGATTTCTGGAAGATTAAACATGCAAAAAATAAATACATATAATAATAATAAAAAAGAAAAAGAAAAAAGAAAACAGCACACAGCCCCCAACAAAGCATTTCCCCTCCTTCAGATGTTACAAGATTAGGGGTGTAACGGTTCGGGGGGGTTGAATCATTTTGGTTCATTTTCCATTAAAGAGCAAGTCACCCCCACTAGAGTATTACTCAACTCCCACTTCCTGTTTGAAAAATGCAACAAATGCTGTTGCCTAGCAGACAGAGAGGGCGGAGCTGCTAACAGATACACACACACACACACACACACACACACACACACACACACACACACACACACACACACACACAATGACTTTGTAACATCATATGGTACCAGCTTAAGCTTGGTTTATGCTTGACGCATTCACTTTCCGTGCGGTGATGCGGCTCGCGGACGGAACGCGCTTCACAACTCGCAGCGTTTATGGTTCGTGCGGCTCGTCTCTGCGGTGAGCCAATATTCTCCCAAACTGTAGGGGGCAGCATGGAGCTCTACGGCATGCATCCAACACTACACCATAGTAGAAGCAGAAATTACTGTTTACAACACGGCATTCCAGCATTTTTAACAGCGTTCTCGTCTTTTCCGACAGTGCGAGCTATTTCTCTCCAAGAATTATTTACAACATGTTGATCACGGTGATCTCTGAGAGCTGAATCATACAAATGTCTGTATTTACGAACCTCTGCCATACTAGTTCTCGCCGGTCCGCCATGTTTTTCCGCGTCCGACCATCCGCGTGGTTAGAAATTTTCCGAGGTGCGCGTTGCGGAAAGTTTGAGCCGTGCGGAGACGCGGTGGAGGGGCGTGGTTGTTAAAATGACGCAACTTTTCCGCGCGGAGCTGTGCGGACCTCGCGACACGTCAAGCATAAACCAACCTTAACATTCTAGGGTACTTCTAAGCCAATAGCGATGGCAGATTTAAATTCAACTGCAGTGCAGAGTTTTTACCTGACAACGGCACAACACTGACAGTTTTAGGCAGAAAATTTAAATTTTAACAAAAATGCACTAAAGTGCAAAACTATTGAGTACACGTGTCTGCAGCACGATTAGACACACATTTATAGTTTATCAGGAAAAAAAGTTGATTTGGGGGTGACTTGCTCTCTAAATGATGAATTTTTATTTGCGTGATTTAAGAGCAGCAGATAAAAGTTCCTAGGCAAGTTTCTACACGGACGCTGTATGAGTGACGCATGATGGCTCCACGCGCCTGATATGTTTAAAAAATGTGATCTGCAATTTATGATCAACGCCTTTCAGAGCGGCTCAAACCAGCTGGCTGTCGCTGCTACTGTAGCCTGTAGAGATGCTGAATGGAGCATCGCCCCTCCCTCCCTTCTCTCACACTGCCGGCACACAGCGGAAAATATGTAAACAAACACGTCTGCTGAATTCTCCCCCCTGGAACAACTGATGTAAAGTTTTCATCCTACAATGAAAAATACAGCGTGGCGGAATCTCGTTATTTAATACAAGTTTTAAAGAAGAGACTCTGGGCGGTGTGAGGTGGGTTTTTAGGCTCGCTGCAGAAATAAAAACACGGAGCATCAACAGTCAAACACAAAACTTGTCTGTATGAGCGTGACACTCATAGCTGTGCAAATAACCTGTAAAATAATTAAAGACATCATGCTAGATCAGCAGTCGGTGATGACACCTGGTTCTGCTCACTATAGGAGCCGCTTCAGATATTATTAAATAAATATACTAATAATATACCGAATGTTAATCGAACCGAACCGAATACGATTTTAGTGTACCATTACACCCCTATACAAAATCATTATAACGTGTCAAAATGTCAGATTCAAGCATGAAATGAGGGAGAAAAAGCTGAATTGCAGTTTAAAGAACACAAAAGTTGCCATTTATTTTGCACAAGAGATTCTTCAGCATGTTCATGCTTTGTGATGCAAATCTGATCTCATGTGATCAAAGTACGTACCAAGACTGTCAGCCTGAGTGCCTTTTGTAGGTGTTCTATTAGTTTTTATCTTACTCAGAGCACCACTGACCACATCTGAAATATGAGACAAACCCAACCAAATAAAAACACTATTTGTTAACTAAAGAGCTCATTTAGAGAAATGTATGATGAATAAAACTGTTTTTTTCTTCTATATTTGTGTGTTTGTTGCATGCAGGTTCCTCTGGTTTGTTTAAAGCATTTCAAGTTTGCAACACCAAACTACTTATTTGTCTTACGTCCAAAGCTGCGTCCATTTTTCCGTTTCATCCCTGAGTTTAGGTCTTCCTCTTCACTGTGACCGTGAGAGGGAGAAAAAACGCCCGCCTCACAGCCCATCATGGCAGGAACTTTCTCCTGAAGAAACTGCGGTAACACACCTGTAACACACACCCAAAACAGCTTTGATGCTACAAAACAACTTGACATACTATGGAATTTCCCTAAAAGATGCTTCCAGTCGTACCAAAGTCGTTGGCATTTTCTATGAAGCAGTGCACCATGGCCGCCCGCAGTTTGAGGCGTTTCTCCATGTTAGCGTTCATCTTTTCTGGAGCATCTCCAGAGTGAAGGAGGTTGGGGGCCAAAATTACAGACAAGTTACTGCTGTTCATTTTATTCTCTGCACTCCTGAAATCAAAAAATGACAAATTAGGATATTTTATGGTTTGTATAGATAAAGTACCACAAAAACAATAATAATACCTTTGAGAAACACATTGGAGAAAGTCGAAGAAGTGGCGCAGAAGAGAAATGTTTCTCTCTGACAACACACAAGTCAAAAGCATGGTAGCAGAAGTTCTTTCCTCCTCAGTGGGGAGCTGCTGGGCCTTAAAAAAGGCATCCTGCAACTCGGTGGGAATGACGGGTTCTGGAAGCTCCCTGAAGAACAGCTTCACAAGACCTGCAACATCACAGGGAGGAGCAGCAGATAGGCACTCCTCTCCTGCATCAAGTTTAGCCTGGAAAGAAAAAATACAGCGTTGTTTTGATCGATAGTTCTTATTGAACTTGGGAGGCCCCTTTGTGAAAGCAAGGTCCGCTTCAACTATCACTCACCCTGAGCGCTTTCAGACGGACCACAGAGCCCGATTTCCTAAACAGGCCTTCTGTGTCAACTTGGGCGACCAGGTGACCACAAGCATCTACCAGAAATCTAAAAGGACAGCAAGAAAATGGTTAAAAAAAAAATAAGGACCTGACACAACCTGCCTCCTGGAGGCTCAAGAAAAAGAATGTGCAAACCTTGGCACTCTTCCACATTCCATATAGCAGCATGGTAGGCTGTCCAGGGGTACCCCAAAAACTTTGGTCTATGTAGAAAAAAATAACCAAGTCTGAGTTTTGATGCAGTTTATAAAAGTTGCTGCATTTACTAACTACTCAAACAAGATCGGAAACTTTAGTGTTGGGTTTAACTTGTTGACTACTAAATTTAATACTTTGAGAAACAAAACATCAGTCATACACATGATGGAACTGACAAAAATAACAGCAGATTGCAAACAAATGGATTTCTTCAGTGGGGGGTAGCCCACAACAATATGCAAATTTAACTCCGAACAATAGCAAACCGATGCTGTGAGCTGTTCTTTTGTGTTTTAATGTTATTTAGCTTTTAAAGGTGGAAAACACACATAAGCGCAAGTAAAAATAAAATAAACCGACTTGTGTTCAACCTACCGAATTGCTAGTTGTTGTCTTGCAGCTCGATGCTTTGTTTTTGTTCCAACTCTTAATTTTGATCCCATAAGCCGAGCGGAGATGCTGTACAGCCACTAGACGCATCAGATTATTCTCCATACTTTATTTTTTTTATTATATTCTGGCTAAGTATTCTTAAACCAGATGTCTACGATCTCCTGTAAACGTACAGCTGCAACTGTTCAGCCTGAGCCCAGCCCTTCACTAAGCTAATCACTTTCCCCTGACTTCTGACGCTAAATCATCCCCTCGTGTTTAACTATCCACAAAGCACACTACATCCGAACAACTGTTTTGTAAAAAAATAAATAATAACATTACAGTACCAACATGCTGACGTGTTACATTGTAATGTGTCTACTTGAAGGCTAGCTTCATGCATCGTTGAAGAATAGTTGGCAACCAAATATTAGCTAGCGATGTTAGCAAAACCAGAACGATTATGGCTGAAAACTCGTTTTATCCGAAATAACTCGCTACAGCAGGACCTGATTTTCTTGCTTATTTTCTCGAAATCGGTAAAGTAAACACACTGCACCGACTAAAAAACAATACCAAGGCAACTGCGTCGCGTCTCGCTCGTCAAATCGGTTTGCCAAGTGGCCTATTTCCGGAGAATATATTCAAACAGCGGCGCTTCCTGCGTACAGCGTGGTGATTGGTGGAAACCTGAAGAGACGGGTGTGTGCTTGTTTCATTCATCAGCGTCTACCTGTCTGCGGGGAGCTGTTTCTACACATTCAAACGGATGCGTGTTTTTCAAACGGTTGACGCTCTAATAAAAGTAAACGCACTTATAAAAATCGCTTGATTTTGCGCTCAACACGCTGTTTACATCAGCTGATAATTAGTCTCTGATTATTTCTGCATTTTAAATGACATTTTCAGATTAAAGACACAAATCTCTGTTAATATATAAAGTGGGTTGTAAAATATGAGGCCAGAACGTAAAAGCCTCTGTCAGGGCGCCCCAGGGCAGCTGTGGCTACATCAGTGTGTGTATGTGTGAGAATGGATGAATGATACACTGTGGTGTAAAGCGCTTTGGAGTCCTCTGAAAAGCGCTATACAAGTGCAGGTAATTTATCATTTATTGTTTATTTTGGGCTGTGGATTAAAAAATGTTCTGGAAATGTGAAATTAAGTGTGTGTGTGTGTGTGTGTGTGTGTGTGTGTGTGTGTGTGTGTGTGTGTGTGTGTGTGTGTGTGTGTGTGTGTGTGTGTGTGTGTGTGTGTGTGTGTGTGTGTGTGTGTGTGTGTGTGTGTTTATGATGAAGAGCCTGGTTGATTGACCTTCCCAACAACATCGGTCCAGACAATGTCAATATACCTTGACAAAAAGATTTACTCTCACAAAGGCTTATCTTTATTACAACATAGATATATACACGAGTTGTAGATGTACAAACACATGGAGGAATAGGTGGTTTTGTACTCAGAAGCATTTCCTGTGGACAATAGAAGGCCCAGCTTCATCATACTCCTGCTTGCTGATCCACATCTGCTGGAAAGTGGACAAGGAAGCCAGGATGGATCCACCAATCCAAACAGAGTACTTCCTCTCAGGTGGAGCAATGATCTTGAATGAGAATTGGTAACTTTTAGTTTAATTGCATGCTGATTTACTCCATCAGTGTGTAGTCACCTAAAACCTTTCCCCTCACCTTTATCTTCATGGTGCTTGGGGCCAGGGCTGTGATCTCCTTCTGCATACGGTCAGCAATACCAGGATACATGGTGGTACCACCTGACAGCACGTTGTTGGCATACAGGTCCTTACGAATGTCAATGTCACATTTCATGATACTGTTATATGCAGTCTCGTGGATGCCAGCAGATTCCATACCTGGTGTGAAACAAGCCAAAAAAATATATCTTATAAAAAAATAATGTAAAATGATAAAAATAAGAATGAATATAATGAGAATATCTGAACTCACCAATGAAAGAAGGCTGGAAGAGGGTTTCTGGGCAACGGAAGCGCTCATTACCGATGGTGATGACCTGACCATCTGGGAGTTCATAGCTCTTTTCCAGTGAGGAAGAGGAGGCAGCAGTGGCCATCTCATTCTCAAAATCCAGAGCCACATAGCACAGCTTCTCCTTAATGTCACGCACAATCTCACGTTCAGCTGCAAAGAAGAAATCTTGAGTCTTGAAGAAAAAGAGAAGAAATGAAGCAAGTGATTTAGTATCAACCTACCAGTTGTAACAAAGGAGTAACCACGCTCAGTCAGGATCTTCATCAAGTAGTCGGTCAGGTCACGACCGGCCAGATCGAGACGCATGATGGCATGTGGAAGAGCGTAACCCTCATAGATGGGAACATTGTGGGTCACGCCATCACCAGAATCCAGCACAATACCTTGAGCAAGCAGGTAAAAGCAGAGTTAGAAGAATGTGCATGAACAAGTGAGCAATCGTGTTAAATGTTAGAATAAAAAGTTAACTGACCGGTGGTACGACCAGATGCATACAGAGACAAAACGGCCTGGATGGCCACATACATGGCAGGAACGTTGAAAGTCTCAAACATGATCTAGAAAAACAACAAAACATGAAATTAAAAAAGTGTCTATATCTAAACATTGATGGGATAAACCCTACAAAGACAGAGTACCTGAGTCATCTTCTCCCTGTTGGCTTTGGGGTTCAGAGGGGCCTCGGTGAGCAGGGTGGGGTGCTCCTCAGGAGCCACGCGCAGCTCATTGTAAAAGGTGTGGTGCCAGATCTGACAGAGAAGAAAAAGAGCAGCTGATGTCAGTTTAGGAGTAACTGTCTGGATTAACATCAGCCAGGTCTTGAAAACAAAGCCAAAGTCTAGAAATAAAGCTGTGTTTTTGTGATGACAGCTGGTCAAGCTGTAAGCTGCCATGAAAGCTGTAAATACGTCTCTCTGTTAACACAAACCTTCTCCATGTCGTCCCAGTTGGTGATGATCCCATGCTCAATGGGGTACTTCAGAGTTAAGATACCCCTTTTGCTTTGTGCCTCATCACCTACGTAGCTGTCCTTCTGACCCATACCCACCATCACACCCTGAGGGAAGAAGTCGTGTTGTTACTTTTAGTCACACACACTCGGGAAGAGTTTTTGACTGAAAATAGTGGAGTTTCTTCACCTGATGGCGGGGCCTTCCAACTATGGAAGGGAAGACAGCTCGGGGAGCATCATCTCCAGCAAATCCAGCCTTGACCAAGCCAGAGCCGTTGTCGCACACAAGAGCGGTGGTCTCGTCATCGTCACACATGATTAGGCTTTGATCTGGTGGTCTAAAGAGGGTTGGAAAGACAGGTAAACAGTTCAACTTTGAATTCATGAGCAACTTTTAAAGTTTTGTGAAGACCTTTTGTTAGACGGTTTTCATCTTTGGCTGAGTTTAATGCAAAGCAAAATGCTTTGAAAACGCTATTTTGGTGCTGCCCTCTCCTAATAACCCGATACTTCTCTGCTGCCATGATTGTTTCTGAGAGCTGCTGAGGAAGCACCAAAAGGGGCATAACAGTGAGACCTGAGATCTATTTAAAGTTGAGCACCCACTATGCTACTCAGAGTGAAACGGTTACTCCAGATCAGAAGTGTCAGGCCAGCAGCCAACTATCCACACAGCGACACGTTTGTGTTACCACATGGTTACATGCCTTGTAGCTGCTTGTTAACGTCTGCCACTATCCTATCCTCTTGGATTTATGCATTAAAATTTGATTTTTTATAATTTTTTATAAACATTCTCCATTCTATTAGAGAATTCACCACAATAAGCAACATCCAGTTTTTTTAGCATCACTTTGCAATCATGCCAGTACAACCAGCACTATTTGCCTACAATCAACCCATAGTCTATAATTAAAATTGACTTTTTCAGTGTCAACTAATTTAAAACTACAATAGTTAAATCTTGAAAACTCAGCAACGACAGTCTGTGTGTACTCACCAAGGTGCACTGGTACAGGATGCCTCCACTGGGACGGAGGTTTGGGGGGAGGAGAGCTCCTTAAATACGCCTAGTTGCTGGATCAGAGATTAGGGGCGTGGTCAAGGCTTCACACAAGTCCAAATAAGTACTTCCAGTGCAAATAAATAAAAATACAACAAGAAAAGTGTATTTTATGTGCATGGAAAGGAATCATCTCAGTGACCTTCCAAAACTAAATAACAAAAAAGTTCAAAGGTCGGATTGCTGTTGGTTTCCCTTTGAAAAGGGACGTGCAGCAAAGCCAGTGTTTCATCTATAATCACATGTGTGTTACTGAATAATGTCTTTATCACTATTTAACAATGCAGAGTTTCATTTTCATAATCATGTTTTTAATGCTGTAATTTCGTTGACTGATGTTATTTGTGCACCAGACAGGAAGACTTCTGTCATAGCCATATTCCTTAGAGGTATTACTTTACTCATGGATGCCTAGAAGGCCCATCGAGTTGACCCAGTAAGTGCAGAGTCACTAGTGCCTTGTTAAGGACATGACAACATTGCATATGGCTGCAAGCCATGCTGCTGGTATGTGCACTCAACCTCCTCAATGGGTGGAACAGCTGATGGTAACAGCGCCTTCTGGGCTCTGTGTCTTATCTGGTGGTCTGAGTGTTTTGCCTGAGCTCGTGCTTCATGCTGATTGGCTTAACCATCTCCTTGTATGGCTATTAAAAGCAACAGAGTCATATATGAGTAGGCAGTGGCGTTCCCAATGTAAGCTCCATATTTGTGACACTTGCAATGCATTTTTCTTGGTGCTGTGTGACCCTTATGGGGTAATGTAGCAGGAAGGAAAAAAAGGTTCCTCGTTAAATGTTTTGCTCCCTAAGGGTGGGCATCACAGAAAATAATTAAAAACCACATATTAATAATTCCCAAATTGATGCAAATTATAGGTTTTAATATTCTATCTTTTTATGTCACTCTGATTTGATCAGTTTTGGTCACTGTCAATACTTATTTTGGACAAATTGTGCTTTACACTCAACACAAACTACAGGAAAATACTTTTTTAAAGCCATGAAAAAATCTTGTAGAGGAACATTCGGAAAGGCAAATAATTAATTTTCTAAATATGAAACAATATTTTAATCATCACCCATTTTAAAAATAACATGTTTTAACTCAGTTTTTGTATTTTGATGGGACTGGATTTCTAGGGTTACCCTAACCCTTTCTCAAAATGTTCAGCCATTTGTTTGGGAAAAAAAGGACGTCAGTTTCAAATTGAGCTATGAGCTATTGATTGGAAATCTAAATTTTTGTAGTTATAATTTTAGGTTTTCTGTTGTAAAACTAATAACTAATTATATCTGGAACGTTTCAAATCAAAATCAAATCACGTTTGTTTGTGTAGCACATTTAAATCCAACAATAGTGCCCAAAGTGCTTAAGATAGACACATAAAAACATTTAAAAAAACATAAGTAGTCAAGTAAAAGCACACTTGAACATAAAACTTATGTTTGATTAAAAACTACAAATTTTGCTGGAAAAATGTTGTAACCAAATATATTCATTTTATTTCAAGTATTAGTAGCTTAATTTAATCTCCCGTGGATTTAGTTTCGCGTTTTTGCCACCAGAGGGCGCATGATCTGATACGTTTGTAGCGCTGTTAGCTAGTTGCTAGTAGTTCCTGGTTTAGCTCATGAATTTAAACTTGTTAAACACAGATAATTAAAATAGATTAATTAAGTTTTAGTAGTTACATGTTTTGTTTAAGTGAAGAAGATCTGGCTTTCCCGATACTTAGACTAACTATGCCGTTACTGCTCATTTAAAATCCGAAGTTAATTTTAATTGGTACGTTTTATTTTGAAGGAATCAAAAGGTAGTGTTAATGCATTTAGTCATATTACGTTATGAACCCTACCTGTAGTTGTAGATTTTGTCCGCTAGAGGACGGCAAAAGTCATGATCTCGAAGCCAGGTTTGAGTTCTTGCGTTTCCAGCCACTTAACCTAAATAATACACCTTTAATACATAGTATGTGGCCATCAGTCAAACCAAAAACGACAGATGTAGACAGACAATTAACTATTTATTTTATATCACCGATTAATAACTTAATTTAATCTAAGAATAAATCCCTCTAAATCTCCCATGAATTTAGTTTCGCCTTTTTGCCACCAGAGGGCGCATGCGCTACAAACACATCAGATTATGCGCCCTTTGGTGGCAAAAAGGCTAAACTAAATCCATGGGAAATTCAGAGGGATTTATTCTTAATAGATTGAATTAAACTATTAATAGGTGGTATAAAATAAACATATTTGGTTACAAATTTTTACCAGCAAAGGTTTGTATTTTCGAATCAACCAGTTAAGAAACTATTAGTTGTTAGGTCAAAGACCAATAAATGCCCAACTACATTCAATAAACTCAGACATTCATGTAGACACTGACATTATTGTTTTAAATGTACACTTTTTTGTTTCAAACAGGAAAATAATTATTGTATATTTTTTTCACAGTGAATGTACAAACTACTCACAAAAATAAAATAAAAAACAAACATAACAAAAGCAACCATATTAGAAATGCATTTCATCTTTGCTTTTTGTTCTTTGTCTAAATAAACTTTTTATTTCATTACTTGTAATTTGTCATTTGATTTGGTTTTAGTTTGAAGGAATTAACAGGAAGTAGCGATGCATTTAGTCTTGTTTAGCTTTGTGAACCCTATCTGTAGTAGTAGCTTTTGTCCGCTAGAGAGAAGCAAGGCGTCATTACATCGACGCCAGATTTGAGTTCGTGCGTTTCCAGCCACTTGACCTAAACAATACATAAAGTAAGTAAAGTAAAGTAAAAGTTTATTTATATAGCGCCTTTCACAGATATAAATCACAAAGTGCTGTACAACATGATAAAGATCAGGGCAAATACCTCTAACCAATAAAAACATCCAAAAAACAATAGCAGTGATAAAGTAGAAAATTAAATCATGAGTATAAACAAAGTGAAGGTGTGAACCCAAACAAAGCCATCTTTTTGAGTTTTTTGTTTTATTTTTGTGAGTAGTTTGTACATTCACTGTGAAATAAATATACAATAATTATTTTCCTGTTTGAAACAAAAAAGTGTACCTTTAAAACAATAATGTCAGTGTCTACATGAATGTCTGAGTTTATTGAATGTAGTTGGGCATTTATTGGTCTTTGACCTAACAACTAATAGTTTCTTAACTGGTATGGCCTTTGCTGGTAAAAATTTGTAACCAAATATGTTTATTTTATACCACCTATTAATAGTTTAATTCAATCTATTAAGAATAAATCCCTCTAAATCTCCTGTGGATTTAGTTTCGCCTTTTTTCCACCAGAGGGCGCATGATCTGAAATGTTTGTAGCTCTGTTAGCTAGCTGCTAGTAATTCCTGGTTTATCTCATTGATTTAAACTTGTTAAGCACGGATAATTAAAATAGATTAATTAAGTTTTAGTAGTTATGTTTTTTTGGATAAGTGAAGAAGTTCTGGCTTTCCCGATACTTATACTAATTATGCCGTTACTGCTCATTTAAAACCCTGTCAACTTTAAGTAGTGTGTTTTATTTTGAAAGAACCAACAGGAAGTATTAATGTCTTTAGTCTTGTTCAGATTTATGAACCCTACATGTAGTAGTAGCTTTTGTCCGCTAGAGAGCAGCAAAGAGTACTTACCGGTATATTGTTCTTGCGTTTCCAGCCATTTGACCTAAACAATGCCTACATCTATTATGTGGCCATCAGTCAAATCAAAAGACAGATTACAAGTAATTGAATTAAACGTTTATTTAGACAAAGAACAAACATCTACAAAATATTTGCATTTCTATTCTGTTGCTAGTTATATTTGGTTTTTATTTCATGTTTTTTATTAGTTAATGCATTTATTATGAAACAAAAATACACGGATGCCTTTCCAGTTTAAAACAAGAGGGTGTACCTTTTTAAAAAGAATTTCTATGACTATATGAAAGGCTCTCTCGCCCTGTGTGCGTGTTTATTAGGTGCTGTTGGGCTGATTACAAACGCCACAAACATCACCACGGCGTGGTTACTGCTGCCTCCTAGCGCCGTTATTGGGGCAGCAGCGTGATGACGTTGACCTGCGACGCAGGCAGGCTGCTCCTAACAGACATGCGCAAACTGCAACGTTGTTGTTGCTCGCCATTCGACAGTGTTATAAAACTAAAAAACACAACGAGACGCTGCTTTAAACCAACACGTTTTTATTTTATCCACAGTTAAAGTTCTGAGGTTGCGTCAGACCGCAGCAAAGCGGTGTACCGAACTTATTCCTCTTTCTTTTGGACGGAAATGAGACGGGACAGGGGACACTGCCATGTAGTTGAGACAGAAGAATGAGCAGTCAGCATACACCTTCGGATGGGACAGACGACTACACAGTGCAGCAGGAAAATGAACTAGAAGCTCTCGCGTCGATCTTTGGAGATGATTTCCAGGATCTGCGAAACAAGGATTCCTGGAAGGTAAACCAGATACCTCAAACAAGATTGTGGCTAAAAGTTGCGAATTCTACTGTTAAACACATAAACCATGCCCATCAGCCATTATCGACTCACCTGTGACCCGTTTGTCAGGTTAAAAGGCCTCCGGAAGTGCACCTCTGCCTGCGGCCAAACGGGCTGAATAATGGGCAGGAATGCCACGTGACTGTGGAGCTGCTGGTGAAATGCCCTCCCACCTACCCAGACGTGTGAGTTGTTTTGATCTGACCCCAGCTGATCTTTCAGGCTAATCCATGGTCAGTATGTTTAGACCAGCTGTTGTAGACTCGTGTTGGACATGATGGACAGATTTGACCCATTTCCTGGTTCTGAATCACATAAAAGTGAAGATTCTGACGAATCAAAAGTTTTCTCCTGACGTTTTGTACGTTCATAGCTGTTAATACCAACTAACTGTTCATAAGCATTTGTGGCTATCTGTTTCAGGTGGTTTAACCTGACAGAAACTGACCCTGTAAGATGTAGTGGTGTATTTTATAAAACCTGCAGGTTGTTTAATTAGAGATGCACTGATTCTGGTTTTGAGTGCATTTGCTGATTTCCTGATCATGCTTGGTTCTTCTGGCAAATTCTGATTTATCTAAAAACATTTGAATTTACACATGACTTTTTTTATTATTTCAATTTTGGTTCAGTTACACACCGAGAACATTTTCCAAAGGTGGCCTTGGTCACTCCTTGGACCCACCACTGTTATGGAAAAATGTTTAAATATTCATTCTGGAGTTTATATCTACTCCATAGATCAGGGGTGGCCTGACCTTTCAAGACAAGGGCCACACAAATATGCATTTTTTTAAGTGCAAAATTTAGATTATGGGGATTTTTTTTTCATGTAAATTCCTTTCAAATTGGTTTAAAATAGGCAGTTTAGTAAAACTCTAAATATGAAATAGTTAGAAAGTATCACTCTACATCAACAGCCCACTGGAGAGACAAAATGCATCATTCTAGAAATGCATTTGGGGGCCACTCAAAATCACTCTAACGTTGCAAACGGTATTGTTATTCACCGTTGGTTCAATTCTATGTAGCAATGATGAGTTCACGGCCTGAGAAAAACGTTGGAATACCTATTTGCTACCTGTTGCATTCATGGATCAAAAGATACTTTTGTTTTTGAGGTTCAGGTTGGCCTGAATACTGTCAGAATCTGAACCAGTCTACAGTCTATGATCTGAACACCAAGGGATTTTTTTGATTGGTTCTTTTTTTTTTGTAAAATACACTTTAAGGCAAGCTTATACATTTTTAACCTCACAGCTTCGAGGTTTTGTAAAGAACCAATGAAAAGTTTTTACTTTGAGTTTTCTGACAGGCCTCCAGAGCTGGAACTGAAGAACGCACAAGGTCTGTCAAACGAAAACCTCCAGAACCTCCAGAGTGAGCTGACCAATCTAGCTACGGAGAGATGCGGGGAGGTGAGGATGCTCTTACGTGTCTCATGCAAAACTCACCTTGTGCATTCGTTTGTGCTGCCATGTGGGTCTCTACTGCCTCTATAAACACTTCAAATGGGAAAGTAATCCATCTTTCTCTCGGGGTTTGGTTTTAGCAATTATCTACCTAAAAAGAGCCGTTTCAAAAAGTCCGCATTTGTGACATCACAAACGGGGAATTTAGAATAGAACCACCTCACATCCAAAAGAGAGCTGTTGCTGGAGGAGCAGTCGCTCTACTCCGAGCTCCTCATATTGGAGCTTCTCAGCTAATAGCCATTCAGAGGATGGGTGGGTGAGGCCAGCTCCTAGCCTGGCCTGCCAGACTCCTCTTCTGTTTAAAGGTTGGTTTATGCTTGACGCGTCCGCGAGGTCCGCACGGCTCCGCGCGGAAAAGTTGCGTCATTTTAACAACCACGCCCCTCCACCGCGCCTCCGCACGGCCCAAGATTTCCGCAACGCACACCTCAGAAAATTTCTAACCACGCGGACGCAGAAAAACATGGCGGACTGGCAAGAACTAGTATGGCAGAGGTTCGTAAATACAGACATTTGTATGATTCAGCTCTCAAAGATCACCGTGATCAACATGTTGTTAATAATTCTTGGAGAGAAATAGCTCGCACTGTCGGAAAAGACGAGGACGCTGTTAAAAATGCTGAAATGCCATGTTGTAAACAGTAATTTCTACTTCTACTATGGTGTAGTGTTGGATGCATGCCGTAGAGCTCCATGCTGCCTCGTTCAGTTTGGGAGAATATTGGCTCACCGCAGAGACGAGCCGCACGAACCATAAACGCTGCGAGTTGCGAAGCGCGTTCCATCCGCGAGCCGCATCACCGCACGGAAAGTGAATGCATCAAGCATGAACCAAGCTTTACTCTGCACAGAGAAAGGGTCTGGAAACTCTCCTGTTCAAATAACCCCACCCCCTCAGAATTCTAACTGAGCCAATCAGCGCTGAGCAGCGTACGTCACACACCGTAACGCTGTTTCTCATAAACAAGGCGACTGAAGCGGGGTTCGCTGCGGCTCTTTCCTCTGTTCTAAATGACTTGGACATGTCTTTGACACCACAACAAGTAGAAGCGCTAAACACATTTCTTCTTAAAAAAAAAAGAAATTTGCGCTTTTGCCAGACGCCTTTTTTTAATACAGCTAAAAAAAACAACAGTGTCGCGCGGTATAGTCAGCATTTCCGTCTTTTTTTCTGATTGGTTATTTTTGAGCTGGCTAGTCCCGCCTCTCATGTGCCTCTCGGTCTGTGAGTAACCAGACGTACGCTGCTCGGCGCTGATTGGCTCAGTTAGAATTCCCAGGGGGTGGGGTTATTTGAATAGGAGAGTTAGCAGACTCTTTCTCTGTGAAGAGTTAAACAGAGGAGGAGTCTGGCAGGCCAGGCTAGCCAGCTCCAGCTCGTTTTCTTAAAGAGACAGAGTCCAAATATGGCTCATTCTGGATGGTACTGAAAATGTCCAGGTTATAGCTGCTGAGACTGCTTTATGTTAGAGGGAAAAGTACTTCATAAACTTGTTTTGTATCGACCATAGAACTATTATAACTTAAAGAGTCATAATATTTCTCCTTTAAACTCCTTTAGGTGATGATTTATGAGCTCGCCGACCACATCCAGGGCTTCCTGAGTGAGCACAACAAGCCTCCACCACGGTCTTTCCATGAGGAGATGCTGAAGAACCAGAAGAGGCAGCAGGAGAAAAGAGCTCTGGAGGAGCAGCAGCGGATGGACCAGCAGCGCAAGCAGGAGGAGGAGATGGTCAGAAACCCTTGTTCCTGTCTAATTACTGCTAACAAGGATGGATAAACTCATCTTTATTTTGTATTTGGGGCAGTAAATAAACTACTGACAGGAAGTAACAGCCTCACAGAAAGTGAAGTCAATCCGTTAAAACGGATTTTTTTTTTAACTTTCTCTTTTACTATTGCAGGAGAAAGAAATCATGGCTGTAATTCAAAAGAGAGAAGAAGATAAACGAGAGGAAAAGAAAAGGAAGGAGATGGCCAAACTGGTAGATTTTGGTCAAAAAGCAGCAAACCGTGAACTGTTTATAGAACCTGTGTGTAGCTGTAACTTTTCTAATGTCGACAGGAGCGACTTGAGAGTGTGGAGCCGGTCTCTGCAGGGAGTCCACCCAGCTCAGGTGGAGTCACTCCTGAGCTGATGGAGGCCAAGAAGGCCGCTGGCAGCCGGCGTCGTACGACCTCCAACACGCGACACAGGTGCCCGACACACCCTCGCCTCATTTACACACGGCTGTTGGTAAAAAAATAATCCCAGTAATGTTGGTAAACGTGTGGATTCTCAGACGCGACACGGTTAACGAAGACTCCCCTCGACCGCAGGAGCTTCTTCACTTCACCAGCAGCACTTTTGGAGAACTGGTCGTCCATAAGGGGAAAAGTTTAGGTGAAATTTGCTCCTGATCTGGTTCGTAGTCTAAATCATGTGAAGGGAGTCAGACCAACACGTGTGTTTCTCACAGGGGAAAGCGAGCGACTCGGCCGCCATGTTTATTGTGGGTTTGAGGCAAACTCTGGAGAGTTTTCTGTTATCTACGAGTGGTCGCTACGCTGGAACAAGAACATGGGCAAGTTCTTCACCAGCCAGGAGAAAGGAAAGATCGAGAACTGTAAAAAGCAGGCGAGTAGACAAGAAGATGCTGTTAATAACTTGGTTGCTTCATAGTCTAAAGCTGAAATGCTTTACAGATCCATGCTGCGGAGAATGAGTTCCACTCCCTCCTCCGGCTGGATCACCCCAACCTGGTGCACTACTTGGCGCTGAGCTCCACGGAGAAGGAGGACAGCCTGGTGGTGGACATGCTGGTGGAACATGTGGCTGGGATCAACTTGAACCAAAGCCTGGTCAACCAGAGCCCGGTGCCTCTGGAGAAGCTCTGCCATTACGCATCCCAGCTGCTCTTGGCACTCCACTACCTTCACTCCAACTCTGTGGTCCACAAGCAGCTGGGGGCCTCTAGTGTTCTGCTCGACTCCGAGGGCAACGTCAGACTGACCGACTACAGTCTGTCCAAAAGATTTGCCGACATCTGCAAAGAAGACATCTTTGAGCAAGCCCATGTGCGTTTTTCCGAGGACACGGCGATGCCGACAAAGACCGGGAAGAAGGGGGACGTGTGGAGCCTGGGTCTGATGCTGCTGGCTCTGAGTCAGGGGAAGGAGGTGAAGGAGTATCCGGTGATGGTGCCCAACAGCCTTCCTGCTGACTTTCAGGATTTCCTGAACAAGTATGTAAGAATTGTTGCCTTGCCACCTTGGTGTTTGAGTATTTTAGCCCATTTAGGATAAAACTAACTCCTGGCGTCCGTTTCCATTCATATCACCATATTGGCAACACTTCTGACTGTTTGTGATCAGAAAAGAGTCAGATCCACACTTGAAGTCAATAAAAGGAGAAGAATGCCTTCAGAAAGTTACAAAAGCTGTGATTAAAAGTATAACTTGAGAAATTTTCTAATTTTCCCTTGTGTAACTAAACTATGGTGGCCTGTGAGGCCCCAAGGTAAATTTCAACCCATTCACAAAATGCAATTCAGGCATTTTAAATAGATAAGCTAAAGTGTCCAAAAAGACAAAATATTAAAATGTTTTTTACATTTATGATAAATAATAAAACACAAAATGTTAAAGATGTGGCAAAATGAGCAATTTTTAAATTTTTTTACTGTTATTTCATAGTTATTAAGTATCAGTAAAACACAACGTGTGTGTGTGTGTGTGTTTTGTAGGTGTGTGTGCCTCAATGATGCAGAGCGCTGGACGACTCAACAGCTTCAGGACCACCCTTTTCTCAAGCCCCCTTCACCCAAAATCCTACCTCAGTACCAGGATACCAGTCGAGAGGGTACACACACACACACACACACACACACACACACACACACACACACACACACACACACACACACACACACACACACACACACACACACACAGTAAAAATTGATAGTGTGTGTTTTAAAAAATTCTCAAAGATTTACTGTAGAATTTAACCATTTTTTATATTTAGAAAATATATTCAGATCTATTTTACATTTATTTGTTATCAGTGATTTTTGACATTTTATTTGGGGTGTTAGAAATTTATAATTAGTCTCTTCGATGCCAGAATTCTTCTAAAATGAAGAAGAAGAAGAAGCAACAGGAGCATCAGAACTGACTGTTTCAGTCACAGCTCTGTAAAAATTGTTCTGCTTTTTTGATTTTCCAGATCTAGCGGTGGATTTTGCATCATCAGTCACCCCCCGCGGCCCCATCCTCAACGCTCCGTTCATCTCAGGGATGCAGAGGCAGTTTTCTAGATACTTTGATGAGTTTGAGGAACTTCAGCTTCTGGGAAAAGGAGCCTTCGGTGCTGTAATCAAGGTAAACTCCTACTTATCTTCCTAGCCACAGCTCGGCTGCTTTCCAAAAGGACTTTAATATATAAATTTATTTATAATTTCCAGGTTCAAAACAAACTAGACGGTTGTTATTATGCGGTAAAGCGCATCCAGGTCAACCCAGCCAGTAAGCAGTTCAGGCGGATCAAAGGCGAGGTGACGCTGCTGTCACGCCTGAACCATGAGAACATCGTTCGCTATTACAATGCGTGGATCGAGCGGCACGAGACGCCCTCCCTCGGGGTTCTGAGCAACACCGACAGCTCTGAACCTCCGAGTGGCGTCGGCAAAGTCCTGCAGTTTGGAGATTCGCCGCAGCCCCTAAATGAGCTCGGTCTCCCTGACAACGTAGAGGATGTGGCCCCGCCTCCAGCTCTGTCCAGCTCAGTGGAGTGGTCCACCTCCATCGAGAAGTCGTCCAGCGCCAAATGCAGCGGGCACCACTCGAGTGATGAGGAGGATGATGAGGAAGATGTCTTTGGTGCCTCATTTTTGTAAGTTTTGTATTAGTTTTCTCTGCAGTAAAACTTCTTCCTGCACAAAGTGGAACAACTGTTTTCTTTTTTTTTCTTTTTTTAATTAAATTCAGACCTTCTGATAGCGATTCGTCGAGCGACATCATCTTTGATAACGGCGATGAGAGTGTAGACGGGATGTCACAGGTGTGAGAATGCTCCACTTCATCATGTAGTTCCTTTAAACGTGTTGCTTTCCTTCTTTTGAGATGAATAAGTTGTGTTTTATCTGAAGGGTGAGCCGAGCAAACGGCAAGGGGCTGACACGACGGAGAGCTCAGACTCCGAGCGACATCTCTCTATAGCCCATTACCTGTACATCCAGGTGAGCCTCTCATCTTTGCTTCACTCAAATCGTTTGTTTTACTTCTAACTGAGATTCTGTGATTCTACCAGATGGAATATTGTGAAAAAAGCACTTTAAGGGACACGATCGATCAAAGCCTGTACCTGGACCGGAACCGGTTATGGAGACTGTTCAGGGAGATCCTCGATGGCCTCGCTTACATCCACGAACAGGTGTGTTGCTTTTTTAATTTTTTTTAATTTTTTTTTTATTATCTTTATTTCATTCAATAAAAAAAAAACACAACAGATACTAAACAATATTCATGAAAACACAATATATATTTGAATGAAAGGGAGCAGATGGAAGAAAAATCTTATTATTTCTGCCCCCTTTTTAAACTTAAATATCAATTTATATTTGTGCAGTCCCTCATCAATTCTTTCAGTCCTGTAACTGTTCACATTTGTTAATTATTATGTCCACATCAATTGTCCGTTGTCATATCCACTCAACACACGTGATTTAATGTGTAGACTGAACACTTTTAGAGTTCTTGACTCTTTCCATTCTCTGTCCAGGCAATTCCACAACTTCACACCATTCACAGATATGCTCATTTCCTTCATTCTTGTTCTAAATCTAGGTTTTTTGAAGATTTCGAATCCCTTCAACGAATAAATGCTATCTCTCTTTTCAAATATATGCTGAATATTCTTTGGCAATGTACCTTTATTTGCTTTATACATTATATGCAATATTCTCCAGTTGACCAAATCATGAAATTTTATTACTTTATATTTTATAAATAATGGGTTAGATGGAGCTGTACTATGAGTGTTGTCTATAATTCTCATTGCTCTTTTCTGCAAAACAAACAAAGGTTGTGTATACGTTCTATATGCAGTTCCCCAGATTTCTACACAATAATTTAAGTATGGCAGAATCAGTGCATTGTATAGTAATAACAATCCTTCACTATTTAGTACAAACTTTACCCTTTAGCTAAATTCACCCTTTAGCTTCTTAACTGTTCTTTTTGGTTGCTTTCCTAAGGTATATTTTGCTTTGGACTATATATTTTTTCTGCGTTTGGCACAAATCTGACCCCGTACTCTTTGTTTCCTATAGGGCATGATACACCGGGACCTAAAGCCTGTCAACATCTTCCTGGACTCACAAGACCACGTGAAAATCGGAGACTTCGGCTTGGCTACAGACCATCCTGCTAACGTGGTGTGCAGTTAGAATCTGACCTCAGCTGAAAGTCTGTAAAAATTATACTTTAAAACAGTTTGTTTCTAACAGGCTGCAGGTAAATTTGAGCTGGAGGAGATTGGATCTGCAGCGATGCCCAAACTAGACTCAGCAGGTGTAATAATGCTCACATAACACCGAGTTTAACAGCTGTCGATGTTGTTGTTCTCTTTTTGACACCTGGAGCTGCTTTTGCGTGATTGTTTTTCAGGTAATATGACAGGAATGGTTGGCACAGCTCTGTACGTCAGCCCGGAGGTTCAGGGAAACACCAAAGCTACTTATAACCAAGTCAGAAAGTACAAAGCACTTCTCCGTTTTAGTTGTAGTGACTTTTGAGGTGATTCTAGTCATTTTGTCCGCAGAAAGTTGATCTGTTTAGCCTGGGCATTATTCTCTTTGAGATGTCCTACCGGCCGTTTACCACAGGAGCAGAGCGGATCTCCGTCCTGAGCCAGCTGCGAACAGTACGTCAACAAGAAGTCCTAAAAGCTCAGTTGTATGTTTTTAAATAACTTCACAAACCTTTGAATTTTTTAGGAACCGGTTTCATTCCCGGATGACTTTCTCGCATACCAGCAAGGAACGCAGGTGAGAACGGCTGTGGCACAGAGTCCTGGTCCAGTTAGCTCTGATTTAGTCATTTAAAAACCTGCCTGGTGGTGTTTCCTCAGAAGAAAGTCGTAGAGTGGTTGCTGAAACACGACCCCGCCCTTCGGCCCACCGCCCAGGAGTTGCTGAAGAGCGAACTCCTCCCGCCGCCTCAGATGGAGGAGTCGGAGCTGCACGAAGTGCTGCAACACACCATGGCTAACGTCAACGGCAAGGCATACCGCACTATGGTGGGCCAGCTGTTTGCTCAGAACTTGTCACCAGTCATGGATTACACGTATGACATAGACCTGTATAAGGTACTGAAGCCAGCCCGGCCCGCAGATGTTGCTGCAGACCCATCATCATCAGCATTTCCCCCTAACAGAGACCGTTTGCTCTCCCTTCAGGGCAGCTTCAGCTTCAGCAGCGCCAAATTGCAGCAGCATGTGTATGAAGCCATCACCAGGATCTTTAAGAAGCACGGTGAGTCAGCTCTCGTCAGAGCGAACATGAGTCCGTGTTTACTCTCCACTCCAGTCCGTGTGCACCCCTGACCTGTTGTCTGCTTGTTTTTGAGACCCCCCGGCATCTGGTGCAGAGCGAGGCAGCAAAACAATAGTCTCTCTGTCCGACTGTTCACTGGCAGCATTTGTTGCTTTGCTCATGACGTCCAGCTGCAGTCCTTCACATCTGCTCACATGCGTCAGGCTGGGGGGGGGGTCCAGATTATCTGATAGAGTAGCTTTAACACGTAATCTGCCCTCAGGTGCCGTACGCCTTCATACCCCGTTGCTGCTCCCCAGAAACAGGAAGTTGTATGATGGGTGTGAGCTGGCCTGCTTCATGGACCACAGTGGAATGCTGGTCACTTTGCCCTTTGACCTTCGGGTGAGTTAAGTAAACAGGACATGTGCGCACACACACACACACTTAAAACGCTAACTGTTTGCATCCAATCAGCAGCTGCCTCAGGAAACACCAAGGATCAAAATCTTGTGACGCTGATTGATTACATACTGGTGCTTCACCGTCGTTATTCTCCGTTCTGACTTTAGATGGCGTTTGCAAGATTTGTCGCCCGCAATAACATCACCCAGCTGAAGAGGTGTGAAACACAGAATGTTGATTTAACACTAATTATTTCCAAACAATAGATTTTGTTTCTAATTTGTAATTCCCCGATGTTAGGTCAACCGCTTTGATTTGAAAATATTTTTATTTACTTTATAGAATCTTAATATTTGGTGGAAAATATATTAGAATTATTCCTGATGTTGGGTTATTTGTAGAAATAAAATTTGATATTTTTTCTGCATCTGGTACACGAGGATCTTACTGATGCTTCGAATCTTAAAAGAAGCTTGAAGTTTTGATAAATTCCCTAAAGCTGTAATAAAAGTAGTTATAGAATAGGAATATTTACATTAATGGGCTCGACACACGGGAGGCGACAAACGACCGCGATCAGCGAAATTTGTCGCTGTCGCTTTTATTACCTGTCACACGGGAGGCGATCCGCGGCAGCGGCCAGCAGCAAAGCCGTCTACGCGTTCTGTTCCATGGCGAAATCGAAACTTCCGTTGTTTTGTTTGGCTGCGTCAGGTTTGAGGGAATTAAGGTTATTTAGTGGTTCAGAGTTTAAAAAGTGGTAGATGTGATGTTTCACAAGGTGCTGCTAGAGTTATGTGAAATCTTACTTCTGATTTTACTATAAAACATAATAATAATCAACTTCTCCTCCATGTTTGCTCGGAGATGTGCGGAGCATCCTGTCCGCTCATTGGTCAGTGAATGAAACCTCCGTTGATTGGTCCTCGTCCGAGCGACAGCGATGAAAAGTTGAAAATGTTTCAACTTTCTGGGATCGCGTCGCTGGGTCGTACGTGCACGACACGTGCACGAGTGCAAACTTTCACACGCACGTTTTTCGCGTTTCGCTTAGTAGGAGAGAGACCCACGATTATCGCTTTGTCGCGCATGTCTCATTGAAAATGAATGGAGGAGAGGCGATGTCGCCTCCCGTGTGTCGAGCCCATTATGAGGAGAAACATAGCTGTGAACCTAAATCTATTTCTCTAAAACTGTAAATCATTCCAGTAAGGTGCTAAAAAACTCATCTGTTTGAATCAGAATAGAGAATAAAACCAGCAAGGATTGCTTTGTAAATGTTTTAGGTTTTTTTTTTCCAGATACTGTATCGAGCGTGTGTTCCGTCCCAGAAAGCTGGACCGTGCACACCCCAGGGAGCTGCTGGAATGCGCCTTTGACATCATCACGCCCGTCACCAACAGCCTACTGCCCGACGCCGAGACCATCTACACCATCTCTGAAATCATCCAGGAGTTTCCTGCTCTTCAGGTTTAATACAACACGCTCGGAGTTCCTCCTTAACAACGTCATCAGCTTAGCTCGGATGTTTGTTTTTTCCTCTTTAACTTCCCGTTCTCGTTCCTAACATTCCAAAGGAACCTGACAACTGTGCTGTTCTTGTTGTTTATGTAGTAAATCTGCTATGCTAGTCCATTTCCTGTCCACGTTCGTCCCAGTTACTGCATCACCTCACAGCTTTCCATTCGCGCTCCATGAACTCTGTCAACCTTGAGTTTAGCCTCTTGCCCCCCCGGTCTTTGTGTGAAAGCTCTTAAGAATAACCTGCGTCAGACAGAATGAGAGGGCGGCCGAACACAACGGTTATTACTGGTGGAAGTGCTCCGGGTTGAAGGTGTGTGTTTATTGATTGCAGGAGAGGAACTACAACATCTACCTGAACCACACCAGCTTGTTGAAGGCCATCCTGCTCCACAGCGGCACACCCGAGGACAAGCTGAGCCAGGCCTCCAACATACTCTGCGACGCCGTGGTCTGTGCAGTTATTTTCATCCGGTTAAAAATAAAACGTGATCATCCCCTTCAGCTCTAAAGTTTAATCTTGTAATAAATCTTTATTTCCCCCTTGCTGCAGAATGACAAGCTGTCCCTTGATGAAGTGAAAACAAAGTTTTGTAATCTTTCCCTTTCAACTATCAACGTGAGCTTGTTGGGTTTTTTCCTCAGTTCAGCAGCATTACGCTGCTCCTCACTCAGATACATACAGCCATCTTCCTCGTTTGATTTCAGGTACTCACTTTGTACAAGTACATCGAGAACGGGAAGGGGAACCTGCAGGAACTGGCTCCCCTGCTGACGTCACTCACCAAACAGAAGACCGCCGTCACCCAGCTGGCCAAGCAGGGCGTCAAGGACCTGGAGGAGCTGAGCGCGCTCCTGCGCAGGCTGGGTGTTAAACTCAGGGTGATTTGGACTCAAAGTAAATAAAATGTATCAAAACCGTTTCATTCGAACCTGAATGCTTCTGTTTTTAGGTGGTGGTGAATTTGGGTTTGGTCTACAAGGTGCAGCACCACTCCGGAGTCATCTTCCAGTTTGTGGCTTTTATTAAGAAACGGAAGCGAACAGTACCTGACATAGTGGCTGCTGGGGGGCGCTATGATCACCTGGTGGGTGTGACGGTCACCCATCCACATCCCAGACATAAAAACCAGTCAGTAAAGTGTCTTTATCTGATTTACGTATCAGATCCTGGAGTTTCGAGGGCCAGCTTCTACTGTTCCTGTTCCCAACGCAGTGGGGGTCAGCGTCGCTCTGGACAAAATCTGTGCAGCTATAGCCAGCATGGAGGAGCCAGTGAGAGACACACACACACCTAAAAATAAGGCATTTCTAATTATCGTAATGACGGCACAGCAGGCAGAGTTTAATATTTAATGACAGCAGTTTGCAGCCTCCGGCTGCCACACGGCTACTTTTAGATGTGTGTTAATAACGGTGATCAGAACAGCTCTCAAATCCCTGGAGTTATTTTTGGACTTGCATCCTTTTTTCATGTTTTGGATTCAGGCAGAAAACCGTCACTTATTATCAGCGTATGTGGCGTAACTCCTGTGATTTATCGCATTTTCTTTTATTCTTTGTAAGTTTGATCATGTCTGTGTGTTTTTGTTTGTTTTCCAGCTGACGGTGAGCTCCTGCGATGTGCTGGTGGTCCCAGTAGGACATTCGTCGTTGTCCAAAGCCATCAGCGTTGTCCAGAAGCTGTGGAGCACCGGCGTCTCTGCAGACATCGCTTATGACGTCTCACAGGTTTGCAAATTTAAAAATATGCAAAGCAAAAAATAAATAAATAAATAAAAGCCAGAATTTGGACAAAAAAGTTTTTTTTGCATGTAAATGTGTTCTTGGTTTTTAAACTAATGCACACATCCACAAACATTTCTAAAACGTGTGTTATTGGTAGAAATGTTAATCAAAGAGTAAGAGAGTAAGATATTAGTTTAACTGCAGGAAGTTTGGGTTGGGGGGGGGGGGGGGGGGGGGGGGAATCTGTACACACACCATTCCAATAACATCTGACATTTTTCCAGGTCTGTGCACTCACCATAGTTGAGTTTATTAACACTAACAAATGCACGGAAATAAAAAAAAATATAATTTTGAATTAATTTGAAAAATGAATCAAATTTTTTTATATTTTTTAAATGAATCCTAATCAACAAAAATGCCCACCAGCAGGTCAGAGCTGCAGAAAATCTGTATCGGCTCTCACAAACAGAATAAGTGCATCTTTTTAATTGAATTATTTTAAAGAAAAACAGACATTTGCAGGATTTTTGTTCCTAAATTATGTTTATTGCTCTTATATTTCTACCCCCAAATATACAAATAAAATATGTTAATCTAAATAAAATACAGAGAATTTGAATAAAACGCTACCAAACTAAACTAAACAGCTGAGATTTTTGTTACTCTGATTAAATGTGAGGCCGTTTGTCCCGCGGTAGCCCCATCTCGCCTACAGAGGGCAACAAAAGTTATTTTTAAGCAGCAGGTTTATTTTGACAGAAATAGTTATTATCTGGGAGTCTGAGCTGTTCTTTGTGGGTTCGTATGAAACAGATTCACTCTCTCTCAGAGCTGAGTCATTCTTGTAGAATCCTACTCAATGCTAGTTTTTGTCCTTAATAAAAGCTGTTGATGTGAAATGAGTTCTTTCAAAGTAAAGGTATTTTTCATTTTCTCCTGCTCCTCTGATGCCGCCCGTCTGTCACATTCTTCATGTTTATGCGATAAACTGATCTCCGGCCTGTTTGTTTAAACGACCTCGTAGCCACAGCTCTGTTCCAGCTTTAATGCCGCTCCTGTTTTTTCCTCCTCTGCTCAATAACACCTATTGTTGTCCCGCTTTTCCACCTCTGCAGTGTTTGCTTTTTATGGTCCTCATTGTCTTTTGTGCTGGCATAGGACCCAAGAGACTGGTCACCATCATTTCTCCAGAGTTCTGAGAAGCAATTAGGAAAGTTTGGGTCTCACCCAGAGCAATTCCGCTCCAAAAATCCTAAAATGTTTTGTTGTGATTGTTGATTATGGATGCAGTCTGTCGCTTGACCTGTGGAAAGCTGGTGCAACCCACCCCCACCTCCACCTCCTCCCCAGGCTTTTGTTAATGCTGTTCCCATGCTAGAATCTGCAGCTTTAATTCTCCCTCTTTTAGCTTTTATTAGCCAAATATGGCAAACCCTTCCACATGGTGTCAGCTCTCACCGCGAGCAAGCAGTAGCTTAACGTCGACTTAATTCAGTCAGTCGGTGAGAAAACTGTAAGAAAAGAGGAAACTTAATAAAAAAAGTGACAGACACACAACTGCAGGGTTTGTGTCGCTCACGCCCAGGAGCCAAACTCATGGCAATGAGGATAAATCAGGCTGATGTTGACAGAAGCACACCATCATGATTGAATGCTTTCCTTGAATTCACTTTGGTTTTGGTCCAAAGTTCCCGGCTCGTGGCCTCAACGAAATTTGAGGCAACAGCTTATACTTCTCTGAAAATGAGCTGATTCCCAACGAAAACTAAGATCTGGAAGCGTGAAACTTGAATTATGTAACCTCTCCATGTTTTTGAGTTTATTTGTGTTTCTTGGGTAGTTTGTGGAAGGAAATACTCAGTAAAACTTGTGTTACAAGATGTGTGTGGTTTTGGAATGATTCAGCGCTCACACTCTTGTCCCTGTTGTAAATTCTTTTGAATTGTTATAACTGAGACTTCCCTTTAAAACGTGTGAGAATTTAGCTTAATTTGGTGATTTTTGTGTGTTTAGTCTCAAGAGACGTTGGTGGAGCACTGCAGGTTGGCGGGAATCACGTGTCTGGCTCTTGTCTCGGACAAAGAAGGAAACTATGTGAAGGTAAAACAACTATAGTGAACTCTGCATAAGTCTGCTTAAGCATGTGTTACAAGGAGTCTGTGTGTCCCAGGTGAAGTCCTTTGAAAAGGACAGACAGTCTGAGAAACGAATCCCAGAGTCGGACTTGGTGGACCACATCATTCAGAAATGTCGGACCAGATTCTTTGACGAGAGAAACATCAGGTGGAAGAATCTGTTTCTCTGACAGATTTACAGAAGATTTTTTTTTCTTTTCTAATGAAAGATGTTTTTGTTTCCCCTGCAGAGAAATTTCTGAGAACATGACCCTCCAGAATCCTAAAGGATCGCAGGTCAACAACACAGGTACCGAAACTCACCATCGCTCTGGATCTGTTTGCACAGGATGTGGTTATTTGGAGCATCTTTTTGTCATATTGCTTTAAATGCTCCTCACATACTGATAGCAGCCAATACATTCAATGTCTGATCAAAAAAGAATAATTGTAATAGCTTCTGAAACGTACTGTGCTGGTAAAAACATTATCCAGTGATTGTAACCGTCCCATTCTTGATAAGATTCTGATCCGTCCATCAAAACTGCCCTCTGACCATGCCCCCCTCCCGCACATACACCTTAATGTGTACAAATTGAGTGTTCTCTGCTTGGAACAGCTGAACAGGAAGCAAAGCCAGAGCCAGGCTGCCTAACGTATATACGTTCAGTTGTATATTTTGTTTGCTAATTTAATTTAAGGGGTTGTTATACATGTTTTGTTTAACGTCTGGTTCTGTTCATGTTGGGAAACGTTTAGGTGACGGACCTGTTGTCTGAGAACGCAGCCTGTTCTCTGTTGGATGGCAGAGCTGTCTGTCAGTTTGATGTCTTTCAAAATGCAAAATTTCAGAGAAGCACACAATCTGCATTCAGTGTGAGTGGCTTTCTGTCCAAAAGTCGTACGGAAAACGGATCGCCTCTGTTCTGTAGTCGTGTGAATCAAGCGTTAGAGGGGTCGGACTGTAGAATTGTTTATATTTTTAAATATTGCTTACTTGAAAGCAAGAAAAACATTTCCTCTTCCATCTTTAACCAATCGTATACATTTGGTAACATGAATGTCTCCAGGCTCTTTGGAGCAGCACGGCAGTAGCGGCACGACCAACATGAATGTGTACGTCATCGGCCCCGACAAAGTTTCTGCGAGCACAAGAAGACGCTACGAGACTCAGGTTCATGTTTTCTTTTGTAAACAGATTAAAGAGTTATGACATTTTCATGTGTTTCCTCTCTGCTGTGGTCATGTCTGCTTCAAGCTTTCGAGCCTTTCTTATAAAAAGTTCACTTGGGAAAAAATGGCATGTGAACTATTCTTTTTTTAACTTTTGTAGTTTCATGGGAACAAGAATGATTTTATGCCTTATTTGTTTCTCTCTTTTTTCCTCCTTTCAGATTCAAACCAGATTACAGAATCTTGGTAGCAATTTGCAGAATAAGAGCAATGACATCGAGGTTCTTGCAGTAAGTCTGCTGTTTATTTACCCCTTCTGTCACTCCCAGGACTACGTCCATTTTTCCTCCACTCTCACCTTATCTACTGAATTCATGTGTGAAATCACAGAAGGAGGAAAGAGCTTTTGATCGCTAAAGCAACAAACATCACGGGGAGCTGTTATTTGTTTTGTGCTTAAATTCCCTGCTGGTGGTGAATTTTTTTCCGTCACCACAGAACAATGAACACTAAACAGAAGGCAGCGTCCATGTCACTTTGTAAAACACTGCCATATTGTGTTCATTTGTGGTTCCATCGCAGATGTATGGGCAGATACTCTTAAAGTAAATCTCCCCACTTGTCTTAATTACTATGCTGCTGCATTTTTCAAAAACGTTTGTCATCCCTGTTTGGATCTGGGCTGCATGTGGCGAGGTGAGTTGGTGAAACCTGGGCGTCATCACCTCGGTGCTATTAAACAGTTTCACAGGTCGGCTGGAGCCTGATTAGGTCTTCTACTCCAGGAGGTCCTTAGTCTCTTGATATTCCTGCACAATAGCAGCACTTCCTTTAAAAATATTTGTGTGGCATGTTGAGTATTTTAAGTGTGCGATAAGACTTTTGTCTGTTTCTTTTAAGGTGGACCTGTCGAAGGAAACTCTGATCAACTTCCTGTCTCTTGAGGTTGGTTCCACTTCTAGCTTCATCAAAAGCACTGCATAGTTAATAAAAGGCTTGATGGGAGGGGTTGGAGAAGGGTGGAAAAAAAACAGCCAGTAAAGGTCGAGATCCCAGACTGGAAGAGGGAATCCCGTCTCCTTCCTTATGGTCCATTTGCACAAGGAGCAAACGAGGGAACTCCCTCTGCACTTTTCCACAACCTGAAAGACCTTTTTGTACATAGTCCAAACTTGTTACCAAGACTTTGCTCATAAAAACCCCAGGATTCGTTCCATGACGGCCTATTATAAAGTGAAGAAATGCACAAAAAAGCTGTGAAATTCTTCTAATGCAGCTGTTATATAAGAAAATGCTGCATGTGTTAAAAGTCTACATCTGCAGTGGTCTCTAGTATAAATTAATGTCTTGTGAGTCGTTTTCTGTGGACAAAAAGCTCTGGTGATTCTGGGAGTCATAAACATTATTATTCATGATATTTGGACGTCTCACTTCTGATTGGCTAACAGCAACACGGCTCTACCTCTGACTCCGCTTGCTTTCCAATGTTGATGTTTTATCTCCACAAATAACACAAGCCTGAAGGAGTTCTGTTGTGTGTGGTGGAGTTGCTAATGCTAATGGTTAGCTTCTACTAGAAGAAACTCGCTCTACTCTCTCCTGGAAGCTAAATCAACAACGGCCTTTCCCGTCGTGAGCCAAGATGGATGCGTCTATGAATCCTAATTTTCAGTGTGACGTAGTTCTCACTGGCTTTTCTAATCTGAGTGTTCCCTGTCTATTTACCATCGGCGGATAATGCAAGAAATAGTTGAAGAAGACCGTTTTCACATTCAGCCTGCATGTTAAACACAGAGTGATCGATCATATTTTAAAAAATGACACTTTAAAAAGGGTTTATTAGTGAACTTGGTCTTTACAAACTGTGTGTATGTGTGTGTGCGTGCGTGTCACTGGGTTGGGGGTATTCATTTTCAATTACATTTGTGGGATATGGGTCTTTTTAATTTGTAAAGCACTTTGAGTTAATTTTTATGTATGAAAAGCGCTTGATGAATAAAGTTTGATTTGATTGAAACTACACAGTCGGAAAAACATTTATACACAGTACATGTTTGCTGCCACTTTTCTAAAGTGGCAAATTACCCCGAGTCACACAAGAAACCGCAGAATTCAGTAAACTTGTCAGGCAAAAGATACTTCAAGGTCGCCTCTTTTTTAAATGTGAGCTCATTGGGCTGGGTATCTTTTTTTTTACACACACACACACACACACACACACACACACACACACACACACACGTAATCATGCATTGTATCTTATCTAGTTTGAAAGTGAAGAACAGTTTAACAGCAGCGTCAAGACTCTGCTGTCTCGTTTGCCGAAGCAACGCTACCTGAAGTCCATCTGTGATGAGATCCACCACTTCAAGATTACTAAAAGGTACACCGTTGTGTGTGTGTGTGTGTGTGTTTGCGCGCACACACAAATGTGCATGTGTGTGAGAAAGCATTTTGTGTTTTTCTAATCATGATCTACTGGGGAATGTTCTGAGTCATTCAGGTCATAGTAATCTAAAATAGTTCAACTGATGGCAACTGGACTTCTTTGGATTCTTGAAGACGTTTTGCTTCTCATCCGAGGAGCTTCGTCAGTTCTGACAGGAATATGGGAAGGCACGTCCTTCTAACTCGCGTCTAGACACAGGTTGCATTGAGAGGCTCTTTGTTGTCATGGCAACCTTTATCTGGCTTTGTGCATAGGAAGGTAATGACGATACAATGGGACTTTTTGCAGGTTTCTAGTTTTAACTTGATGTTTTGTTATTGTGATGATTGAAAAATAGAAATATAAAGCTGTTCTCAAATCTCAGTGCTTCTCCCTTTTCTGCTTTCATCCATGTGTTATTTTTTTTTTATAAATGCCGAAGCAAAGCGATGAGGGTGACTTATTGAAAGGGCACGTCCTTTTGGAGGCTGTCGCCACGCCCAAACGCCTGCTAAGCTCACACACTCCAGGTGTAACAGTGACAGGCCTTCAAAGAGAGCTGTTAGACAGATAACCACTGCCTTGTAAAACGTTAAATCCTCTGCTGATCCTGTTTCCTGAGGTGAAATCTGGAAAAGGGCTTGCCTTGTTTGGTCTTCTGGTGTCTGGCTCGTAACACCTCAGCTGGCTGACGCGGACCAGCTCCCCTGAACGTGCATGGAGCTGATTTTCCTCTTTCATGAATGAGACAGAAACAAGGAAACTCAAAGCGTCCCCAGAGCAGTTGGTTTTCATTTTCTGTCTCTGCTTTGTGTTCCAGTTGCTGTTTAGGGGGTAAAAGACTTGGCTGATAACTGAGCAACACAAAAGGCAACAATGGATACATTCAGCATTTGTTTTTTGCAGCAGTTGTCCTTTAGTGTGAGGCTCGGGCTGCTGACGCCAGATGAGTGTGGTAAAGGGCCTTCGCAGCAGTCACCTTGCTACAGCGGCATCATAAACAAAACTTATCTCTGAGTCAGCGACCTTCCCTTCCAGTCATAACTATCACAGCTAAGACATGCATGAAAATCAAGTCCACTGTTTCAACTTGTCCACAGCCTCTGTAAGACTGTCTAGACGCTGAATGTTAGCATGGGAACACTTAGCACTAAACTCACAGCACAGCTAGGGCTAATGGGATTCATTATAATTGCAGGATTTTAGAGAAAAACAATCCAGTCATTTCAGTTTGAAAGTGCTTAAGTGACGTCCATCTTCTCTTGAGTTGGACCTGTGACACTTTTCTCTCTAGCTGCAGAAGACCTCATATTAAAGTTCCCTGAATCTCTCCTGGCTGAGTTTCACTGTCCTGATTTCTGAGATGTTCTTTTTGGGAAGCAGGCATTTTATGTATAACAAACACATGTTGTCCTCTTCCAGGGTGGCTGTGGTGGTCCTGTACAGCTACAGGGACGACTACTACAAGATCCTGCTGTGAGAGGAGGAGGACAGGATCTCACTTTGCCAGAGGCTCTGCAGATTCTCAGACTTTCCCTCCAGATTCAGACCTTTTTCATTTAGAAGATCCCAAAGACACAAGTGACTTTGTTCTGTTACGATGAACAATAATCCAGCTGAGCCAAACTCTGCCTTTTCCCCCAAAACCTTTTGATGTTTTCTGGTGCTTACAAAAGGTTTAGTGAACTTTATTGTCTTAATAGAATCGGACTAATTTACAAGAGTACTTCAGCTAAAGATTGCATCATGAGAAGAAGACAAAAGGGAGAAATTGTTTCATTCCCCACATGCTGTGACTTGCTGTGTGTGTGTGTGTTTATGTGTGCACAAGTGGTTTTGGAGTGTAAACCATTTCATCCTCAGTATGTTCACAATAAACAAGCTTAATATCATGTTTTACCACACAAGCTGTTGCAGTATTTAACAGCTGGGCAGCCTTAAAGATTTTTCTATATTTCTGTGTAAATAAAAAAAAATCCAGTTTTTGTCTGTCTTTTTTTTTCAGTCTGAAAAACTGAAGTGCTAACTTTGAGGAGTGTGAAATAAGCTTGAAATGAATGGATCAGCAAGCCAAGGACCCCACCCCCACCTCTTCTCCCCACAGGTGGTAGGACCCAGGAACCAAAACACCTACTGATAACCTCTCTTACAGTCTATTTTCTGTATTTTTGTTGTACTTCCTCGCCAAAGGCTTTGGAATTGAGTGTCTGCCATAAAGTGGAAGAGAGTTGGTATCTTGGTGTTTTGTTTATGATAAAAGGTCGGATTGAGCGAGAAATGAACCAACAGAATAGGGCATCATCTGCTCCAGTCATGATTTGTTGATCTTCACAACCCGATAAGAAGATGGATGGATGAATGACGAGACAGCAAAAACTGCTTTCCAAATGAAAGTCCAAACTTTTGCTTCTTTGTCTGGAAACAGAAGCAGCGTTTGCATTCTAGAGTTTTGTCCCATGCTGGTTTACAATTACAAATCTTACCAGTACAGAATGAAAACCTAAGGGAAAGTGGAAGCCAGTATTTCAAACCAGCATCCTTCCTCAGTAGCTGTGTAGTTTTCATGTTGTAAAAGGTCATGCTGCTGTATTTGATGTATTGAGTGAAGTAAAACATTCATTTGGGATTTTCCAGAGAAGGTTCTTAAAGTTTAGGAAAACGTTTCTCGGTGCAAGTCTAAACGACGGCGCAGGATTATCCAGGTTTCCAGCTCTGTGTGTCTTCCAGTGTTTTATTAGCTCAGTTAACAGATTTGAAGTCTTCCTGCTATTCGTTTGGACTTGAACCTTCCCTGACTCCGCCCACTTCCTCCCAAACTCTGTTAAACATATCTGCATCTGCAACCGAGATAAGAAAGAAATCGGATTTAAAGGAGCTAAATGGACTAATTCCCATTCTGAGCACAAGTCCAGAACCAGATGTGCATTGGAGTGAAGATAAACCACTAACAGACACCATCTTGGATGACATCATCATTCTTCTAGAAATTAAATGTTTCTCTGCACGAGCCACTTTGGTTCACACATTTATTTCTTTTTTAAAATAGGTGTAAATGTTACAGTTTATGATCTAGAAACATATTTACAAGATTTGCAACAATGAAATAAATAATCGCGTATAGCAGACAGAAATGGTAAATGTTCTACAATGTACATCAGCTTTGGCTACTTGAAGATCACTTTCCAAATAAAAGAAAAAAAAACTATTGTATCAATAAATAAAACTATGTGAAAAAATAAATAAGCTACTCTTCTTATCTACTTATCTGAACTAAGTTTTTTTTTACAAAAAAAAAAAGCTTTAGCTTTTACAGTCGCCTCTTCACTTTTAAAGCACAATTCAAACAGATACACATGTACTGCAAAAACTTCAGTTTCTAACCAATTTTGGCTTCTAAATTGTTTCTTGAATTGAGATGTTGGCAATCAGAAGTTTAATTAAAAAAAATAAGAAACCAGCTTGGAGTTTGTTTGCAATTCTTCCCAGAATGTGTCCTTCCTTCCACTGACCAGACTGTTGCAAAGCATTTAGTGACAACATCTCTACTGGGGAGCTTTAAGAACTCTGTGTAACCTTTATGTCTTTTTAACATCTGATTATGGTTTTATCTCTTTAGGAAATCTGCAGCTTTTTATTCACTGTATCTAAAGTAAAGGTGTGTGATAATATGGATAAGGACAAAAAAAATCCAAATAGAAAATGCATTAAGGCTGTTAAATTAGGCTTTGCAAATAAATATTCCAAGCCATCAGTGGTCTGTACAGCTCATGGCTGTAAACAAGGTGTAGCAAAGACATTCCTGTCAGAACCAGACAAAGCAAATACCACCTAATTTGTCTATTTTTGTCTTAAAGACTAAGTTCACTTGTTTTATTCATTACATTTGCTGTGCACTCTTGTATAAATGAATGCCTTATGAGTCGACATCTGAGGAAAAAAAGCTCTGGCGCTCCTGTTTCAGGAATTAAAAATGACCCAGAGGAGTAGGGAGCAGAAGACAACAGGATTTAGAGTGTTATTTTCTGTTATCCAGACATCTCGCCTGTGATTGGATAACAGCAATGCAACTCTACCACTGAATAATTTTGCTCTGTAACACTGATGTTTTATCTCCACAAATGAAACAAATCAGGAGGAGTTCTGCCATGTGGCGGAGTTGCTAATGCTAATGGTTAGCTTTGTCTAGCTGAGACGTGCTCTTCTCTCTTGGACACTAAACCAACAACAGCCTTCCCCATTGTGAGCCAAGATGGGTGAGTCCATGATGCAAATTTTCGGTGTGATGTAGATCTGACTGGCTTTTCTAATCCTAGTGTTTCCTCGTCTATTTTCTATCGGCAGCTAATGCAGGAAGTAGAAGACCTTCAGCCTCAGTGTGAAACTCAAAGTGACCAAAGAAAAGAAAATGGCTTCAGCTCAACAATAAGGATGATTTTGTTCTAAAAGAAGCAAAATCACATGACAATAAGTTATACTTTATATTTTTTATAGATTTGTGGTTCCGGGCATTTGAAGGTCAGCAAAGCTAATCTTGTGACACTTGTCCTTCACATATTGGAGCAAGGGGAATGTTTAGACTGGTATTATTTAAAAAAAAAATCAAACCAATATACCCCTACAGGGACACAAACACTGTAAAAAATACAACTAAGATAGAAACCACATTCTAAAGCAGGGGTTGGCATCTGGGGATCTGCAGCGCAAGTGCAGTTCAACTGTTCTTTGGTTACTTCCACGTTGCATTGCCGCTTTTGCTGGAGGTTAGCATATCCCCTTCAAACCTAAAGCCCCTGTTCTAAAGCTTTTTATGCTCCACATTTAGCCTGAAAGTTCCAGTTCCAAAGGAGGCAAGTCGAAGCAGTAATATTACAGTGTTCACAGTTTCTCTGTCTGTCCTACTTTTCAGTTTTAAAGCACAGGCCAGGGTGTCCGTAACATGTCCACTTATCACGCCATTCTACCTGAACGTCCAAAAAACAGATGATTATGGACTCATAATGAAAAGAACCGTTTCATATCTTGTTGAGCTTCCCCGACGAATGAGGAAAATTTGGAAAACTGGGCCATCCTGGGAGTGTGCATGATTAAAGAGTCCACAGAAAACACAGCAGGAGAGAGGAGTTGTTGCAGGACAGCTCTGATCAGCAGAGTTTCTTTTCTATTCTTCTCCTGTTATTTATTTATTTATTTTAGTGGGGCGTCCAGTCGTTCATGCTCAGCTTGGCCCTGGGGATGGTCATCTTGTCTGTGCATGGGGAGCTCATTTCTGGAGAAAAATGAATGATGCCACAGTCATTCTTCACGTTCTGAAATTTGTTCTCCTTGGAGGGTTCCATGTAGATGACAGAGCTCTTGTTCACATGCTTCTTCAGGATCACCGTCTGTGAAGGAGGGAGGAGAACGCATCGGTTTGGGTCATAGGTGGACCGTGATGACAGTTTAACTAATTTATGTTCCCATGCATTAAGAGGAGATGTGTTCATCTTTTGACATTTCAGGCTAATTTAAAGGTCGATATTTTACGAGGGTCATGACCTTTTTCCTTTTGAAAGCACAGGGCAAAGGGAAACCACAAATATCCTCAAATCATGGCAGGTTTAGCACAGGTTAAAGCAACTGGAAGGTCAAGGAGAATGCCCCTAGAGAGAGTCTATAATTTCACCCCACTTCAAGCCTTTGTAACTTAACACCTTTCATTTGCAGATCTCACCTTTTTTGGTGCACTATAGCAGGACATCTGCACCCACTTCTTCTTTCTGTTGATGAGCAAGGCCACAATGAGGAAGATGATGATGGCCAGGAGGAGGCCAGCGAGGATCCAGGCAGCCGATTGGTAAACAAGGGCCATCTCTGTTTGGCTGGGGTAGTTTTCACCAAAACGTGGCTCATCTTCGGAACACAGAGACATAGAACATTGGGATTTTTTAAAAATTAGGACTAAAAACAGCCTCTTTTAATGATCCACCCAGTTATTTGAAATGGAAAACTACTTTTGTAATAATTAATAAAATTCATGTGTCCATTCATAACTGTTTGTTAATAGACATTTCATTCATTTAGTCAACTATTCCCAAAAGCTGTCATTAGTGTTAACAGTCAATGGAATGGCAGGACGTTTGGCAAAGCTCTAACAGAATGAGATAAATTGGGGTAAAACTTGCAAAGTAACTTCTCAGTGGCCTAGTGGTAGTGTCCACCCAGGCACTGGGAGATCGGGGTTCAAAGCCCAGTTGTGTCATACCAAAGGCTTTTAAAATGGGACCCAATGTCTCCATGCCTGACATTCAGCTTCAAAGGGTTGGATTTGGGGGTTTAACCATCAAATAGCTCCCGAACATGGCCACAGCTGCAGCTCACCGCTCCCTCCGGGATGGGTCAAATGCAAAGATGAATTTCCACCATATGTGATGACTAATAGGACTTTAACTTTAATAATGCGTCATTTTAACTATCTGACCTTAATCAATTTCCCTCTGGGATTAATAAAGTATTTTTGAATTGAATTGAAGTTCTATTATATAAAGCAGGTCATTTTTCATGATTTATATTTCCTCCAAGTCTCTTCCCAGGCATCTGCAGCAAAACGAATCCTTTACTCAAGCCTAGATCGCTGATCAATTAGAGGGAGCTGTCAGTTAACATGAATGTGCCCCAGACCCCACATGCACTGTGGGATGACGCTGGACAAAGTCGGAATTTTCCAATGTAAAACAAGTGTGGAAGTTACTGATTCCTTGACTGCATTCTGTATCTGTATGTAAATATATAGTCTGGACATGAGCCATTGAAATAACCCAGTCATGGGGCAGAATCTATAGTGGTCTTTCAAACCGTCTCCACAAGCAATTGGACAGCGCTAAGACCAGTCAGAGCAATGGACACATGACATTTTCATTACTCAGACAATGGGGCAGTCCGCCAAGAAGAAGCAAAAACATGCTTGTTTGAAATAAGAGACCTCGACAATCAGCTCATGTCTCAAAGAAAAGCTCAAGTCTACATTTTTTAAAGTTGATGCCAAAGCCGTTTCAACTGAGCACAGATACCATCTTTGTAGTCTTTTTTTTTTTAGCTGCAGCTCTGGCGCTACACCCGCCCAACAAACGCCCAACACCAAAGTGTTCAGGCCAATTGTAGACCTGCTGAGGTTACAATGGAGTGTGGATCGACCTGCAGAGCAAAATCTTTTTCCTTCACCAAAAGTCGCCGTGAGACTTTGACAGTCAAGTAGTTTTTACATTGGAGAAGCTTTTAAAAGATGAAGGGAGCTTCTTGATCTCCAAGGGCTCTAAACTGATGACGAGATGGCAAAGTTTCTTTTGGACAGGTAAATGCTATGTATTTATTGGACTTGTGACCACATTGAAATTCACATAAAAATAGTGGTGCAGGCATGTGCAGTATGCTGTTTACTGTAATATGCCTAATATGGCGCTAGCTTGAACACTTAACTAGACTTGCCCTGAATTAATGTCAGTCTGTAAATGTCAAGCCAACTGCAGAACATGAGGAGGGAAACGAAAAGGGAATTATCTTTTGAATATTGGAGCTAAGTGATTAGCATAGTGCTCAACATTGCCCTACATCTGACTGTCATGTTTAGCTCTCTCTGGTGACTGCTTCCCTGCGTGTACATGGTTTTTATCTTGTTCCAGATGGGGACCGAAAGCTGAGGCGGGACCTTTAACTGTCCAAATTTCAAAATCTCCTCCTCCTCCTCCTCCTCCTCCTCCTCCTCTACTTGATGACCTCATGCTACAGACCACATCTTCAAGAGGGGAAGCCAGTACCTGTATCAGCAATGACGAGTGGGAATGTAACCGTAGTAACCCAAAATTCCTTCTTCACCGTGGTGGAAGCCACCGACTTCGAGGTGGTGGTGGACACCATCACCGGCACCGATGTTGTTGAATCTGTTCAAAAGTAACATGTTAACATACTGTAGGTGGTGTTGTAGATACAGACGTTTGCAACAGTGTTTACGCTCCCCCTGTGGCTCAGCCGATAAGCTGTGTTTACAGGATCTGCCTTCCTAACTTCCACTGAACTGCTTCGTAAAGGGCGTTACGTAAAAACGTGGCTGTTTTTTACCAAGCCACTAAAAAAAAAAAAAAGCAATACAAAAAAGTCTGATACAACAGCTACATGCCAAAAGAGACAATAGAGGACTTTGCTGGGGTTTTCCTCTAAAGGAAAAGCTGACAGGGAGCTTTGCCTTCCTGTGCTGCTGCAGGCGAAAGCTCTGCAGGCCAATCCAGCCGGCAACAGGAAACACGTGTGAATGTGCGGATGCTCGAGGAATGTTTGTGCTCTCAGTGGACTGTGTGAATGTGTCACATGGAATGTTTGGTGAGTGATTGTGTTTGCCCCTGTAGTGCCAAGCTGGCTGGGTCTAACAAACGCTGACGCACATACGGCACACCTTCTGTTATTCCCTTTTTTAGACTTTTGCAACTTTCCCATCAATATCATTGTAATCCTTTTAATAACAACTCACCGAGACAGTGTGGACAGCACTGGCCCTTGCGTAGAACCGGCACCCTGCATTTTGCAGCCGGACAGCGCTGAGAGAAACACTGAATGGTGCCATTGTTGCAGGTGCAACTGGTGCAGGCGTTAGCCTTCCAGGAGTCTCCTGCTATTAGCACTTCTCCTTCGCTGGTTATACAGTACTGCTGCTGGCTTCTGTTCACTGGCAGCAAAGAGATAAGGGTCTCCTCTGCAGGTGAACACAGGAAATACATAAATGTTACTAATAAAACATTGCTTGTGTTGCATATTAACCCAGAAATGGTCTGCTTTTGTCTGAGCTGTTTCTACACGACTCCTGCATGTATAGATTATCTCAATCTGGCAGGATTATCGAGCCTTAAACGCTCTATTTGAGATAAGATGCTTTCCTGTATGTTAAACACAAAGACAAGTGACTGTAAATGGCATACATCAGTTCAGTTTCAGAGCTTATCTCTGTTTTCTTTCATCGCACCCTTGCAGACAGGAGATCTATTGCCTTCTCATGACCAGGTGACATGGTTAGCATGTACACACCACCGTGCTCTGCTGTTCACACACACACACACACACACACACACACACACACACACACACACACACACACACACACACACACACACACACACACACACACACACACACACACACACACACACACACACACACACACACACACACAGAGTCTGTTGGTGAGATGTGTATTATTCCCACATTCCTGGTGACCAGGCCTATACATATATCAAAGCCCGGCCTCTGACAGTCTGCTTTTGTGAGGAGAGATGCGGCGATAAGGCGGGCCGACATTCTCAAGGAGCAGCTCTCAGGCACAGTCATGCATTGCTGATTTGTGGGCCTCATGCTTGGGAGTGCTTGAGAAATTATGTTTATAAGTTCATAAATGAGCAAGAGTAAGTGTTTGGGTTTGTTTGTAAATAACAACGGTTTCTTGGATTTTCCTACACAGTAAACGAGTGTCAACATTTGTATATTGTCACAACTAGAGAAATAAAACGCTTGAAGATTTACATTCTTGTTCTTTTGACAATCAGAGACTAGGATGAGCCTCTGTTGTGGGCTGAAAGCGGTCCACATGTGCTGCCTGCCTGACGGATCTTTACATAAACCCAACCGGTCCTGGCTGGTTTCTTAACGAGCCTGACATAAAACTGTCCACAGGAGCAACATGCAAGACCCTCCTAAACCACATGCTGACAGCACATCAACAACAGCTTCATTCTTCTCTTCCCAAGTTCCTACCTAAAGGAGATTTTTGTTTTCCAGAAAGTAAACCTCCTTTCCTTTTTGTTTTATTACCTGGACACACATGGCAACAGGTGTCCTTGTTCCTGATGGGTGTCTGGCAAAGAGCCGGGGGACACACTTCGGTGTCGCACAGGACGCGTCCCTCCCTGCAGGTGCAGCGTGTGCACTCGTCTAGGTTCCAGGTCTCACCCTCTACATAAAACTCCCCTCCAGGTGCTCTGCAAACCGTGTCCACCCCCTCTGGTTGTCCACTTCCTGACTCATCTACAAAAAGTAAATAAATATCAAATTCACTCATTTAGTCTTTAGAATCAACTGCTGTGTGACTGAGTCAAACAACTGTCTCAAAAGGAATAAACAGAATTATAGCAAACCAACATCTATATAAAAAAACCTCAGGGGTCGTGTTTCTGTGTGTGTGTGTGTGTGTGTGTGTGTGTGTGTGTGTGTGTGTGTGTTTCTGTGTGTGTGTTGGGGAGGGGGGGGTCTTATAAACATCTTTATTGTCCAGCAGAGTTGTGGACATCTGCAAAGAGTTAGGCTGCAGAGTGCTTGACTTCTGGAAGTTGGAGACGTTTTTCTGACTCTCCTAAATATTTGAACAGCCAACTGAGTCACTTTCCCACAAATATCACTCATGAGTGGGAGATCTTTAAAAAAGAAAGATTGGTGTGTCTTCCAATTCCTTAGAAATAAATAGAAACTGTGACTGTGCAAGTTTAAGAAGACGGGAAAACGAAGATCCCAGAGCTTACAAATGATAAAAAGCTCTGGGATGACAGACTTTACTGCCAATTTAATTTTGTTCGGTTAATTTTTAAAGCACCATTTCACAATAAGAGTCGCGTCAAGGCACTTTACGAAGTAAACATTCCAAGTGAACCTACTTATCAGTGCACTGAGATCAATTTATTATTCCAAGGAGTTAAATTTTTCTGTTTGAGGGAGCCCAGCAGATTGCATCAAGTCACTAACTTGATGTGTCAGCGACTTTACAGCAATCCCCATACTAAGCAAGCATGTAGCGAAAGTGGAGAGGAAAACTCCATCCGAACCAGCCTTAGTATGAGCAGCTTTCTGCCACACCTTACCCAAGGTTTGAGAAGAAACAGAGTAGATACACAAAAACAAAATAAAAACAAGCAGGGCTGCATAAATATTAGTGACAGACTGTTTTTTATGACTAAAATAACAAGTTTTGGAGCTGGAGCCCATCTTTAGAGGAGGCTGGCTGAAAACTAGGCAGATGTCACAACTGGATTGTTTGCATATCATCAGCTTCTGCTTTTAATGTATGAGACATGGCTTTCAGCTCCTTCCTGGAGAGTGGGGGGCACAGGGACAAAAATTCTAGCCGTTCAAATTTCAAAATGTTCTCCCCCTTTCCTTGAAGATGTATACGAACCCCAGCTATAAGTACACGGAGAAAGCTAGGACTGAAATGCAAGAACGTACCTTCACAGGTAGGACAACATTGATCAGGCTTGACAACGGGGTGAGAGCAGCTGGGTATGGGGCAGGATATAAGTACACACATCTCTCTTCCTGAATGACAATAGCAGTCACGACAGCCGTCATGCCAGCTGGCACCTTCCTCATAGTGCAGACCATTGGAGGTGAGGCAGTAGCTGGGTGTTGGTGCTGGGGCGGTGGTGGTTGGGACACTTTCTAGAAACAAAAACATGGAAATATAATCAAAGATGCATGAAAAAAGCAGGCAAAACAAATGTCAAATAAAATCACTACTAGGGGTTTATTTAGCACATTTTAAAGACCATTTATGGAAATAATTATGATTTAATGAAATCATGCATGTCTCATACACTGTTCAAGGCAAACTTCTTAACTTTTGCATTTAGAGATGAGAAACCAGCTCTAACCATGACTGCCACTTAAATACTTCTGCGTCATTTCACCCCATTAGGAACCTTCCTAAGCATAAAAGACTATTCAGCTGCACCGAGAGACCTTATTAGGAGCAAAAATGGCCATGTTGTCATAGCACAGCTTTTAAGATTTCAGAAGATCTGGTCCAAAGCTGAACTTGCTGAACTGCATGTCTTAGGCAGAGATAAGGTGTATATTTTCTCATGATTTTATAACCTAAAAAAAAACAAACAAATAAAATACCATATTTATGGTACTTATTCTAAATTGTGTCTATTTCACACAGGGGCACATTCAAGAGATTTAAAATCGTGTAAACAGTGGCTTGTTTGCAGAAGGTGATGGTCAGCATGGGTTTCCTGTTTATAGAAAGGAGGAGCCAGGTGTACGGTTCTGTTTGCCATAAAAGAAAACCATAGAAAGGTTGAAAATATTTCTAATTCAACCAAACTGGCAGAGCAAACATCAATTAAAAAGTGGTGGAGTATAAATAAGGCACCTGGATACAAGTTTTAAGCTTAGTATCTGGGGGGAATATAATTAGAGCTGCACACACGTCCCCTAGATAAAAGATAAACACTAACAGGAACCAAAACAAGCAAAACTTCAATCTCACAAGGAAAGCAGCAAAAGGTCACATAAACCAGAGCTTTGGCTCAGGGTCAAGGTTTAATACTACCCTCCCCAGATGCCTGCAAACTGTAGCTCTGTATACTGTTTAGATCTTGTTTTTGAACTGCTGTTTCCTGTCAAATTCTTAAACAAAAATATGAGATTTTAGAAGTTGAAAATGTCCAATCTCAGTTTATCAGAAGACTTTCTCTTTTTACGGTCAAATAAATGATGACCTTGTTCAAAGGTCAAGGACAAAGGGGATTATTAAGATCTCACAAACAAGAGCAATTCAACTTTTTATTCTTAAATCCACAAAAAGAATTTTTTTAGATGGTTAAAAAAACAACTTGTAAACTTGTTTACCTTTACACGTGCAGATGGAGCATCCCTTTCTGTTCAGTCGATATCCATTGCTGCAGTGCTGATCGCAGGTGAAGGGAGGACATTTGACACAGCGACACATTTCACAGCCATGTTTGTTCCTCCTGCAAGGTCACAAACAAAGACGCAGTGACACACATGCTAAAAATAGCAAGTAAATTATATCAGTTCAAATTGAGTTTAAAATAGTCTCAAAGTGACTATTTCACTAAGATCTGTGGATCGACTTGTTGTGACACTAACCCACAAGCTATCAACATCTGGACCTGCTTTGCCCTCTCATATTAGCTGCCTTTGAAGAATGGCAAATAAAAGACCAGTATGTGAGTTGCCTGTGGTTTGCACATCATACCGATCTTAAAGACTCTGGCAGGGGCAATTTAAAGCCAATTCAGATGCTTTCAGTTCACCCCGTTACAATATTTACTGCTCCAAAAGCCTCTTGTGGGTGCATAAATGCATGAGTGAGCAGCGGACTGATGAGAGTTATTGCAGATATAAAGTACTCGTTAGAGTTACAGTAAAAAGAAAAACCAAGTATCAACTTCTATTGGTCAGGTTTAGATCAAGGAAAGTGGAATAAATTGTAGAACTAAGTTAATGGGTTGTGTTTCTATGCAGAGCAAGAAGCAGAATGAAATGCAGGAGCTGAGGATGTTGGAAACAGACCAGTTGGATCCAATTATTTCCTCCCCCCCCCCCCCCCCCGAAAAAAAACATGGAGGGGCTACAGGTTGATAAATTGTCAAAACACAAATGAAAGAATGACCCGTGTCTACACTTCTTTCATTGTAGACTTCCTCTCTTTCCCATCCTGTCTCATTCCTTCTCACTCAGACTTCCTCTGTAGGTAAGTGATGATTACCAATTCACGTTGCGGCCTCATTAGGCTCAGATAATGATACCATATATCTTCATCTGCCAAAATTAATCAGACCCTTGAATATGATGCGTCCCATTAAAAAAGGCACAAATCTCAGGTTCAGCAAACTTCAACAGACTTGCTGAAACAGCAACGGCAGCTAAAGAAACAACACTGAAGGGCTGGTTCGAGCTTCACTGTACAAATAAAGAGACAGAGTCCGGCAAGGCTTTGTTTAAAGATGATTTATGGAATGCTAAGCAGCGCTTTAGGCTCCAGAGGGATAGAGGGGCTTGGGGAGACACTGAGGGGGAGGAGGGGGGTGGGTGGGGGGGTTCAATGACTGGTAGCTTGGCAAAATTTCCACTGTGGTGAACCTGTGATGTCCAGAAGAATGCCATTCATGACTCATGGTCAAAGTCAAGATTTTGAGCTAGGAAGCACAAACTTTACCCATGAATTGCACTTCACTTACAAGAGATGATTGTTTGACACAGTCACTGTGAGAATGGGTTACTTTAATGTCTTCTTTGGACACGTTGATTTCACTTCTGACAGGATGTAGTCAATGCATCCAGTAAAAACACAGACACCATTTGATGTATCTTTGCAAGCACTGGCTACGAGCACCAGTGAAAGAACAGTGAGACAGGAAAGCTCTCAGAGGATTTCAGACTTCTGAGGAAAGTCCTAAACAGCTTCTTAGGAGGGATAAAACCTGGACTTCCTGCTCACTGACAAAATCCTCTCTTCTGCTCTCTGCAAATATACTGAGTCCATCTTCAGCCATAGCCCCAGCAGCTATGGCTGAAATCTCAGATGGTTGAAATATCAGCTGTATATGTTTCGTAAAGGTTGCTTTTGTCTTGAAGTGATTTTGATCATTGTTTTGAGACAGGAAGGTGATTTATGGAAGAAGATCAGTGCCTGGGGAGCAAGCATCCTGGCACAAAATACTTCCAGATGTTTGACTGGGGTAGAGGGGATTAGAATGAGCAGAGCTGGATGAGGCTAATGTGGACCTCACAGAAACGTGATCAAAAAAACATACTCACACAATGATAGTATATAGTAAAAATGACCACCAAGGTAGGTAAACTGTTTGATTTTGGATACCAAACAACTGTTGACACAGCATTTCATAATATTCATAGCATTGATAATAGTCAGGAAGCACCTAACATTCTGTACAACTATGGTAGTTCACATGCAGTGGGTGGCAGCTAATACCTAAAAGCAAATATTTTGGAAGCATATTGCATCGCATAAAACATACACTAAACATCTCTATAAAATCCCAGCATTATCCATCCATCCATCCATTTTAGTCCATTTATCCAGATTTGGTCGTGGGGCAGCAGCCTAAGCTGGGAGGCCCAGACTTCCCTCTCCCCAGCCACTTGGTTTAGCTCCTCTGGAGAAAGCACGAGGCATTCCTAGGCCAGTTGAGAAACATTGTCCTTCCAACGTGTCCTGGGTACAACACCCGCATCACTGCAGACGCAGAAACAATCCACCTATCAATCTCCCGCTCCATCTTTCCCTCATTCGTGAACAAGATCCCAAGATCCTTAAACTCCTCCACTTGAAGCAGGATCTCATCTCTGACCTGGGGGGAAGGTATTCTACCCTTTCCCCTGTAGACAATTTGACTGAACAATTTTTTTCCTCAGAATATTTTTGTGAAATTTACAATCTTGGCAGTAGGACTGACTAAAACGTAAATTAAAACCACCACCATGTAGAGTAAGGGTGAGGAAAAACTCAGGTTGTGTGTGTGTGTGTGTGTGTGTGTGTGTGTGTGTGTGTGTGTGTGTGTGTGTGTGTGTGTGTGTGTGTGTGTGTGTGTGTGTGTGTGTGTGTGTGTGTGTGTGTGTGTGTGTGTGTGTGTGTGTGTGTGTGTGTGTGTGTGTATGCACATACACATATCCATAAGGGCAGGTCTTTGTGCAGGTCAGAGGTCGGCACTTGGGCGTTGGGATGTGGCATTCACACACTTCACAGCCAAAATCATCCTTCTCATATCCCATTGGACATTGCAGAGAACAGTATTTTTCCAATTCTGGACAGGAATCATCTGAAGAGTTGAGAAAGGTCATCTGGTTGTAGGCAAAACAATTCATCAAAAAGCAAAGACATGATTCGAAACTGGGGCTGTGCGCAGGAACATTCCTGCGACGAAGCGCCTTGCAAAAACACAAATAAGCTCCGATGACTATCAGCTTGTCTGTGCTGCTGTCAAAATGAGATGATTACTGAACTCTTTTGATGCCGGCATGAACAAACAGGAATTCATTAGTCTAAACCTCTGAAAAACATTTTGGTTTGACATCACATAGGAAAGCAGAACTTACTGTTGAGACACTGGCAGAGGAGGCACCCATTTTTGTCTTGATGGAAGCCATAGGGGCAGTCATTCACTGACAAAGAGCAGTTTTCCAGAGGTGGGCATAAAAGGGGACTAACTGTCTCGTAAGAAGGCTCTAGAGAACAAGAAACAAGGAGAAAGGGGAATTGAATTCACAGATCAAGAATAAAATATTCCTTTATAATAAAAGAATCTCACTTTGAAAGATTGTGCGCTGAAAGCCCTCAGGTGTAACAGTCACTTTGTGCCATCTGTAATAGCTACCTATTTACACATTTACACACACTAAACAGTAATTACAGATAAATGTAGAGCAATTATAGCAGGGTGGGTACCTCCCTGTATCATTGCACTCTACAGTCTCCCATTAATAAGGTAAATGCGTCTGGCACATGCAGAAGCATCAGGATGGCAAGTGAGGGTAAACAATCACCCCCGAGCCTAATTCAGTTACCGTTATCGCTCCAGACAGCCTTGAATTTGTGCCAGCTGTATTGAGAATCTGCATGTGCACACACACACACACACACACACACACACACACACACACACACACACACACACACACATGCACAGTCACGCACCCTACTAAGCGCTTCTCGCCACGTTCTGCAGGAGGAGCAGTTCGACGAGCTGTAACTAATTATGAAAAAAAAGGATGAAAAAAAAACTTCAATTATGCGGCGTCTTGCCTTTAAAGGCCCGCCGTAACCTCACACACAGGTGGGTCTCATTTTGGTGGGCATGGGTAATAAAGGAACACAAAAAAAAAACCTACAGCTTGAAGAATGCTCTGTGGCCTCCCCTTTAATGAGCCCATGCAGATTTGCCCTTTGTAGCTAAGCTGGAGGGCCACACGGGCCTTCCACATGTGGCATGCGGGTAAATGCGTAGCTCGTATAAATTCTTGTGGCCAGTTAGGCTCATAAGGTGATAAATATGAGATGCTACTTGGCCCACAGTTACCTTCACAGAAGGGGCAGCACTCTCCGGGGATCTTCACGGGGTTTTGGCAGGTTTGTTTGCAGGCCATGGCTGTGCAGTGAGGCTCTCCATCCACACACTGGCAGAAGGTGCAGTCATCCTCCTTCCACTGCTCCTCATGGGCTCGCAGCTTATTATTGACCCAACAGTTGTTTGTTGTGCTGTCTAATGACAACAGCTCTATACCTGAGAAGAAAAAGGAGCGTATTTGACTTGATTTTTGACCATATTAAGCGACAGGCAGAGGGAAAAAAAAAGAGAACCGATAAAGATTTGGATTTAAAAGCAAACACAGTTGAACTGAGAGGACTTATTTAAATGTAAAAGGAAGGAAAAGCTCTGATTTGTGACAACATGTGCTTTTGACCAACATCAAAAGCTTGCAAGTTTTGGTAATTTGAAACACAATCAGGCTGATGACATTCATACCGTCTGTTTCTCTCTGATGGCTTTTACTAAATTTTGAATTAATCCACCTGCAACTCAGTTCTGACTCCTCCAGGTCAAAGGTCAGGCCAAAGTTTGATACCGTTAATTCACCCCAAAGCAAGGAAATTTTTCTAGCTCACGCAGAAGCCATACAGTTAGTGATTTTTTAAAAGCCAGTTTGAGACATTATTCTGCCTGGGGTAAATAGCGTTCATTAGTAATAGATGTTTTATTTTCATCTTTGAACACCTGAACAATACCCTTTTATATTCCTTTTCTGTGATCACAAACTGGCTGCTAATTGCCGCTCTGTGATTACCAGCTGGCAGAGGTGTGACCAAGTCACTGCTTTGCAAGTCACAAGTAAGTCACAAGTCTTTCCAGTCAAGTCTCGAGATAAGTCCAAGTCAAAGACAATCAAGTGCAAGTCAAGTCCAAAGTCAAATGGCAGCCTTGCCTCTGTCAGACTGCCCCGTAGCATACCATCACTAGCAGTGTGTGAATGAGAGAGTGCATGAAGGCGTCTTTGAGTGTCCTAAAAAGGCACTATATAAGTTTGATGTATTATTATTATTATTTTTTTATTACTACTACTACTATTATTATTATTATTATTATTATTATTATTATTATTATTATTATTATTATTATTATTAAGTCAATGTTGTGGAAGTCCAAGTCAAGTCCAAATCCTTAACTTGGAATTTTCAAGTCATATTCAAGTCGTCTGTCCAACTTCAATTTAATGACGATGATAATAAATAAATTCCAGAATTAAAGCTTCTTAAAGCTTCATTTATTCGCTCAAACAAGCAGGAAGTGCTACTGAAGTTGATTCTAAACAAAGTGCTGCTGCTTTTAGCAGTAAATCAAACCCAGAACGAAGAATGATTTATGATTTTTGTCCATGTCGTGCCACTTTTGTGCTAAAATATCAAATATGCTCAAGTCATCATCAAGTCAACAGATGCAAGTCGATTCAAGTCGCAAGTCATTGGCGTTCAAGTCCGAGTCAAGTCGTAAGTCTTTATAGATTTTATCAAGTCAAGTCAGAAGTCATTATATATTGACTCAAGTCTGACTCGAGTCCAAGTCATGTGACTCGAGTCCACACCTCTGCCAGCTGGTGTGATGTTTGAACCCAAGTTGGTAACATCTAAAGCTTTTTGATCGTTCACTTAGCAACATTGTCAAATGCAGTAAAAAGTATCTGTTGGATTTAAAACTAAAGCCATGAGCTGAATAATGCCAAAAAACCCTCTAGAGCTGAGAGGAACTTTAAACTGGTTTTAACGCTCTGAGGGTTTAGTTACAGTAGAAACAATGATTACAGTAAAATCACAAAGCTAACCACTAGCAGAATAATCATTGTTACATGTGTTCTCTATTGCTGCAATGCAAAAAGCAGCATTTCATAAAGAAATAATGTAAAATACTCAGTCCCTATTAGCACTTTTGCTCTCTATCCTCTTTTACATCTGATTACCTGTAGCCACACTGGCAGAGGCCAACGCTCGCTCCCATCTCCATCCACAGGCTCCTGACGGTCTATAATGTGGTCACCATATGCAATGCAAGCCCCTTTTCTTTAGCATTGCCAAAAACACATATCTGTGTTCCTAACCTGGTTTTGAACACGTTTGTGCAAACGCCTCCCAGATATTACAAAGCCATGGTGTTCTTACTTAAAGTCTCCCTTGTGAAAATGAATCCCATCCGCATCTCCTGTCCTCCCACATACGTTCACAACTATGAAAGTCGGTTGTGTGAGGAAGCCTTTAAGGTTGGGTCACATGGGGTAAGGTTCAGGATTGGTAGATTTCCAAATAATCTGAGCTGCTTTCTTACAGACTGATGATCAGCAGACTTGAATTTCTCAAACAAAGTTTGGAAAAATGATTGCACGCAGATAAGTCATCTTTATGAGGAACAACTTGTAAGGATCATACAACCCAGCTAGTCATGAGGGTAGCACTCTAATAATGTTCTTCAGCAACTTAAGGCTGAGGAACGGGATTCCAGTCCATGTGACCAGACCAGTGATCAGCATGAGGTGGAAGAACTCTACAGACACCCTCCTGAGTGTACAAATAGCCTAAATGTGTGTTTTTGTCTTTATAACTGTGAGTAAAGGTAAACATGCAAACCAGCTAGAAGCTTAACACAAAGGTGACTACGGTAATTAGACTTTCAATCAACATAAAAACTGGAGTTATGCCACAGACCCGATTTGATACTTTCTGATTTTTAGCTAGCTGAATCACTTCCGGATCACGGTAACATTAGTGTTCTCTACAGCAGATACCGAGGATAACGTTCAGTGATGTACATCCAGTTATCCAGGTCACATCTAAGACACCATAATTAAATAAAGACAAACGTTTAAATTACCTACATTCTTAACTATGAAAGTAAGTTAACATGTTTCTTCTTTGGGTTGCAAAATGACGATACATGCTAACTCTTTACGATACATGCTAACTCTTTACTAACAAACGGTAACACAGTGGCATCTTAGAAGTGTACATTGTTGATCGTTATCCTTGGCAGTGATGGCATAAAAATCACACTCTAGCGTTGCTGCAAACTGGAAGTTGTTCAGCTGGCTGAAAGTCGGGAAGTGCCAAACCAGAGGTCTGTGGCATACATCCTATTAGTAATATGAAAAAGGTGAAATGTTTGTATGCATTCAATAGTAAAACAAGTGTGTGTACCTATGCAGACAGGGCAGCACTCGCCGTCAGGAACATAGAAGTTTTCACATTCCAGCTCGGCACATTCGGTCTTGGAGCAGAAGGAGATTCCTCCGCGACACTGACACAGCCAGCAGGAATCCATGCGGTACACTTCGCCCTCAGAGAAGTTTTTCCCATTGAAGACACACTTTGGTGAAACTACAATGAATCATGCAAGACAAAAAAGTGGTCAATCTTAAATTGAACTCTTAAATGGAGCACTATATCGATGCCATGAATCCTTTATATCTCTCTTATATTATTACCAACATTTACTCATCCCTCTGCAAGGAAAGAAAATGCATTTTCCATAAATACTTTCATTCTTCTTTGGTGAGAGGCTATCACAACCTTGCACAACTAAAAATAATATCATCAACAACTGTTAATTTCTCTTAGTCGATAGAAATGTTTGTCTAATTCCCAAAGGTTCTGAAGGCTGGAGATGTATCAGAAAATGAATCTGTGGAGAGGTAATTCACAAACTATTTAAATCTTGAAATGTCTCTAGGTTTTTGCAGCGCAGATTAAAAACAAAACCGTTTGTGGTCTGTGAATATGTCAGAATCTGGGCTCAGTTCTCTGGTGGCAGGTGGAGAGAATCAGCACTCTGGCCAGTATTTACCAAAAGCATCCAAGCTTTTAGAACATCTTTCATCTGCATTCTCTCAGCTATGAAATGTGATTACCTTATTTACATCACATGTGGACAACAAGGTCCGGTATGATCAACAAATGTCGACTTGTGTTTGAATCCATGCTTTGCAAGTAGGACGAATGAACACTAAAAGGTGTGGTTTCCGCGCCGTACCTGTTAATTAAATTTAGCATGTGAAAGACTGGTTATGCAAGAAAGTCTCACTGAAGAGTAGCTGCAGTACTAAGGTAAATGATTGTCTTGCCCTGATGAAAGCAGATGTGGGAGGCTGCAGGTTTTATAAATGAGAGCAGAGGTTACAGCTGCATCTGTATGCCATACCTTTAACTCAAAGTGTTCGATGACCCCATGCCTCTCATCGTGCAGCACTACGCTCTTAACACAAAGCAGGTGTGGCAGCAGAGTTGAAAGCGATTTTGGAACTTTGTTGATCTTTTATTGTTCTCCCAGACTTTTTTCCTTGAAAACTTGTTTTAAAAATCCAAAATGTGAGGTTGAGGGTTTTTATTCCCTGCATGAGCAATAGAAAGTCCCACAAGAGGATGCTAATATGTTTTCCTGAGCGTTAAAGAAAATTTGTTAAAGAAAATTTCTTAAACAGCTTGCAGCTAATGCCTTTTCACTCAATCAGGTTGATTTTTACGTGTAAACATGAATAACCTGTAAAAGACGTTTTAGGATCACTTCATTACAACAATCATAAAAAAGGCAAAACCGCAGAAATAATCATGAGAATTCAATCATGATTAGATTCATTATTGCCAGCTTTAGAAAAACAAGTGTAACATCTGTCACAAACATGTTTGTGTTATCAACTTCTGAAGAAACGACTGGTGTTGGCTGCATGCTCTTAACAAAGTCAAGCTGTGGTCCCTGAGATTCATTAGAGTGGTGATCTCAGCCTCGTTGCTTAACGCCGGCATAAATCTTTGAACAGCTCCTCATTTCCGCCTGACGACTGGGGACATTTTCCGAATTTTTGCCGGCCAAAGTGTTGAGAAACAGCAGCTAAACAGGATCAAACAGGATCATCTATAACAAAGCATGACATGTGGTCAAGAGGGCAGTACTCCTAGGTCTGAGTTACCACGGATACGGCCTTCTCTTAGCCAGTAGAGAAGGAAAGAAGGCCAAAATACATTGACAGGTGGGACCTTAAAGTCACTGCACACACTCACTGACCCTCAGCCATCAGCCGAATGGGCACTGAGCTAATCAGTCCAAGCCACGAGTGCAGAAACAATACAGGGGTGTGTCAGGATGTTTTCCACTGGACATTTGATTGAAACTTTACGAGATTCTGTATTTGTTACTGTTGCTTTGGAAGCTGTTGCAGGACTGGAAAGTTGACGAGGGAGCTCGGTGCATGTCTTTGTCCGTGTCCCATTCTGTGGAGCTTTCTGACACGGCACGCAGTCATGCAGGCCTAACGGACAGTAGAAGCAGCACAAAAGGCATCAAGCCCCAAGTCCAAAGAGCAGCAGACACTTGTTATCAAAACACTGATCCCATGGCCCCCGCGGCTGCCATTCAGCCCCCGCTGGCATGCCGAACTTGATTACCCTCCCTGCTGGCAGACTGGAGCGCATAAAAAGCATTCCCATCAATGAACTGTTGAACCTTTTCCCCTCTCTGGATGTGTGACCAGACAGGAACCCTTTGACACTGCACTTCTGTAGAGCAAATTCATAGCCTAAGCACTTTTCTGGTCACTGAGCTTGTTAAGTCCATTAATTCCAGGACACGGAACTCATTTATACATCTGGAGCAGCCAGAATGGGAATTTGTTCTGTTGGTAAAACAGGGAATATTTGTTGGGTGTGTAGAGTAAACGGGCTGATACCACAGGTCCCCCCCTTCCTGGCCCTCCTGGCTGCCAATGCTCAACGACAAATGTGCACCAAGGTTTAAACATCTGTTCTCTCCTGCATCCTTTCCCTTTAATTTCTGTTCCTCTTGACCTCCAGCATACTTTTAAACAACCAAAACATGTTCAGGCAATAACTAATTGTGAGTTGAACACCTAAAATGTGTTAAAGCTCTGGGCTTTAATTCTGGGGAGTGTTGACTCATTATGATAAAGAGCCAAACAGTAATAATCCAATCAGCTACTTTTCTTTTTTGTGGATGATTGTTCAGCAGGGAAGGAAGTCTGACTCAGAAGAAAACAATTGCCTCCAGTTCACTGATGCATCTCACACTCACCATGTAGATGTTCCTTGCAAATGAGAGGGCAATTCATGTGTGAGTGCTGTTACCTTTTTGGCACTTGAAGACATCGCAGCAGTCTCCAGGCAGACCACTGGCTTGACTGACTGGAATGAGATGCTGACCACTCGGGCAGTGGGGCTTCTGGCAGGCACGGAGGTCACAAGTGCACTGGGGTGGTATGGAGGTGCAGCAACCAGTAGGAGGTGTGTAACTCTTGGTCAGGACTGACCCTTTGGGGCAGGAAGGCAACGGAAAAGCAGGACATGTCACCCCGGCACACCTCAGCTCCTCTGCAGAGAAAAACAAACAAAACAAACATGCATTGATAACACACAGGTCGCGCATGTTTATGCTAACACATCGTAAAAGGCACAAACTCAAAGTGGCGTTCTTTAGAAGTGCTTGCTTTGCACGGTCTCTGACAGAGCAAACATTGTTCTCCTGCAGGAGATGGAGGGCTGCTGCGCTCCCATGTGTGCGTGCACATGTTTTTTTGCTTGCTTGAAGTGTCAGGAGGAGGTGCTTTAGAAAGACGCCGCTCATGTTACAAGCTGACGTCTGAGTTCACGCAGTTACCTTACAAAACTGTGCACCCAGCCATCAGATCCTCACTTGAGTCTGTGGCAGCTTGACGGCCTCCTGACGGAGAAGTGAGAGAGCAGCTCCCTCTCTCTCAACATGACATGGTTCTCCACATATCCTGTCGACGCGACTCTGATCCCACTCCGTCTGGCTCAACTGGCCCACTATCCAAACAGCCGCTCGCACTCTGAAAACCAGTCATTAATAGCAGCCAACCTTCAACAGAGCCCTACTTCATGGCAGTTTACAGACTCCCCTTCACTTAGCATCCCAGCACACGTTTGTCTATTCATCTGCAGAGCCAATGTAACGGCTCTGATAACTCTTGTTAGAGGGCAAAGAGATGCGGGGTACATCTAATCTGGCCAAAGGGTTTAGGAGTGTATTTTGGAGCCTTTTCAGGAAAATAAAAGTGAAGCCTCCCTCTCAACAGATATTGCTCGAGAACAGTAGCCCTCTTCCAAAAAAGGGGGATTCCTCAAAGCAAAGGACGGTGTTTATTTTGGTTCTCAGTGTCGCTGAAATATACACAAGACAGTAGAGATGGGAAAAAGATTGGTGCTATATCCTGTAATCCATCTGTCACTAAGTCTGATATCTAGTGGTAAACACAGATTTTCTGCACTTTGCAAAACTTTTTTTCTCTTCAGGGACGACAGAAAAAGTGGAAAGGCAGCGCAACTTTGTGCAGGGATCATAAATGAAAATGAGGGAACTGCACATGACCCATCCAGGAGAAACTGTCAGTTAAAGAAAGGATCACACCGGGGTTCAATTGAGATGATTTTTGTTCTTTTACAAGAAATGCTTGACAATCTTTGCATACATCTGGTTTGTCGAAAAGGAATGAAACAGGCTGAGATTGCATAACAGAGCATCAGGGTTTTGTTGAGGGTCTTCCAAGATTGGTGCAGGCTCTGAAGCACAACACAAGACTCTCTCGAGATGTGTCTTAACCCTATCAGCATGATATTAACATTTATGATAAATGCTAAATATAGATTATTCAACCAGATCTGATCTTCTGTTCTTTTATGTCTCTTTGGCCCAGAACATGTATATTAAAAGGTAAAGATGAGGGTCTATGACTTTGACTGCTGCAGATTAGTGGGTGAAGGAAATGTAACCAAAAAATGAAATTGAGAAAAGGGGAAATGTTCTACTTTGGCCCTAGATAAATACAGCCGGAGTGAGGTGTCTGTACTGTACTGTTTATTCAAGCAACATGGGAACTGTGAGGACTGCTACAAAGCTCGCATTGATAAACTTTGCAACTGAATAGTTTCATAGAAAGTGAAGAAAAACCCGTAAATTAACAGACGGCTGCAGCCCCTTTTCAAATATGTTTGGCTTCATTTCTATACTGGAGTAAAATAAACCCCAGTTGGAAGTGCTGATTGGCCCGTGTTTCACTTTCACCAAAGTCTAATACAGTTCACTGCTGCTCATTTAAATCGCTTTTGCATTTGAAAACCTCAGCCTCTTTTTTTTTTATTATGTAAGGAAAAATGCACAGGAACCCTCTCGCACGAGGTTCCACACTGAAAAACACTTTCTGTGCATTGTGTGCGACTCTGAGAAGGCTGATTACTCTTTCAGTCGTGATAATGGCTGAGGTTAGAGAGCGCTGGGAAATGCAGCTGGCAGACATGCCATTGTCATTCAAATGAATTGAATTGTATGGATCCGTGGACATGGTCCAACCCTTTCAGGTCTAATTAATATAATTTCTTTTAGCTGGAGCATTTACAGGAACAATGGGTAGACACAGAGGTTGGAAAATGTCAGCAGTAAATGGATTTATGCTGCACAGTTTGCGTTCTATCTCTAAGCGTAAACGGCTGTAATTAGTGAGTCAGCGAATGATTCTTTGTAACAATGGTGGCAATGCTCCAGCATGCACACACACAAAAGCCCTGATTTGGTATGCTTCATAAATTCTCTGCAGATCAGGCAATATGTGCTCTTTTATGACTTTACGATAGGAATGAACTGAAAGCCTGTGGCTACAAAGCATAATCTGCAACAATATGCAATTTCTCTCATTGGCTTGTAACCACAGAATGGGCCCTTCTGTAAACAATGTATGTTTCTGGCATCTCTGCAACTCATTGAAGAAAGAAAAAAAAACTTGTATCTTTTCCTCCTCAGACTCCGTGCACAGAGCAGGGTCTTTCCCTGGAGTAAAGCAACTCAACCAGGCAGAGGAGGCTGAGTTAACAGCCCAAGTTTACTCATGGAAAAAGCGCACAATGTGAGTTCTGTTCACCAACTGACTTTGGAAACAAGTCAGTGGAGAACAAAGCCATCTCAGTTCGGCAGCCCTAGGTTTCTGGTCTGTCCTCAAGTTTTAGAAAGTTACACAGGGGACGCATTAGGGCCGTCTCTCACATTAGACTGTGGGTGGGGATGGCCCTTCGCTCACCAGCGGTTACAACTGGAAAAGCCACTTTGGCTCACGTCTGTTTGGGAAGATGGAGGGGCAGAAACAGGTTCAGCAGGTGAAACTTATGGGAAACTCAACCCACCAACATAAGCCACCATTCCAACATCCAAACCCTCTGTATCACTGGCACTCAAAGAAAAGGCAAACAGGATTTTGGTTGAAGAGGCGACATGTCACACATCTCATCTAAGGTTCTTCTGCGTTGTGTTTGCATGTTCTCTTTAAGGTTGATTCATGCTTGACGCGTCCGCGAGGTCCGCACGGCTCCGCGCGGAAAAGTTGCGTCATTTTAACAAGCACGCCCCTCCACCGCGCCTCCGCACGGCCCAGAATTTCCGCAAAGCGCACCTCGGAAAATTTCTAACCACGCGGACGGTCGGACGCGGAAAAACATGGCGGACCGGCAAAAACTAGTACGGCAGAGGTTCGTAAATACAGACATTTGTATGATTCAGCTCTCAAAGATCACCGTGATCAACATGTTGTTAATCATTCTTGGAGAGAAATAGCTCGCACTGTCGGAAAAGACGAGAACGCTGTTAAAAATGCTGAAATGCCATGTTGTAAACAGTAATTCTACTATGGTGTAGTGTTGGATGCATGCCGTAGAGCTCCATGCTGCCCCCTACAGTTTGGGAGAATATTGGCTCACCGCAGAGACGAGCCGCACGAACCATAAACACTGTGAGTTGTGAAGCGTGTTCCATCTGCGAGCCGCATCACCGCGCGGAAAGTGAATGCATCAAGCATAAACCAAGCTTTAGGCTTGCATTCAAATTAGTGACTGTGTTTTTGTTGTCTGGAAAATGAATACATGAATGACTATTTAGTCATCTAAGCTACACCACATTAGCTACATGAATGCGTGAGGTCATGAGAATGTTCATGCTGTGTTGTGAACATTTGCACGCTGATTCATCCATGTATAGTTGTGTGTGCACAGTAAATGTACATAGCATGTGTACATTCCAGGGAAACAACTCCCTGCTGTCAAATGGCACAAAAGTAGACCAGTGATGAAGAGCTTTAAAGAATTTAGTCAGGCTAAAGAGTCTTTGTCCCAGACAGAAACACCACTCCATATATGGTTCTATTGGACAAAATGCATGGGATAAAACATCCACTATGCTGCTGGAAGGAGTACTGGGATGTTCATGGTTGATTGTGACCCCTTTTATTTGACTTGTCGGATTTAACAGCAAAAACTTGCTCTTAAATTAAAGATTTACTATATTTTCCATGAAAGCCTAGAACAAAACCTTCATGAGATAAACCTGGGGAACAAACAGAAAACTGTTCAAAGCAAAACCTAACAGCTGTCACGTGTATTTTTCTGCTGCAAATGTAGAAAACAAGTCTTTGGGAGACCTGGGGTGCGGTCAGCTGTTTGATGAATTGCGGAGGAGCAGTTGCGTTATGTGTTGGCCATGGGAAATTTCTTCCCTTGCTGGGAAGAAAGGAAAAGTGATGATAATAAAAGTAAAGCATCGGAGGACATCAAGACTTATCTCAGGCTCTACTGGGAATACTTAGATTAGGTAATAGTTTTGGTTGAGTACAGAAGTAGAGGCTTTGGGCCTGAATGAAGACTGCAGGACCACGTGGGTGTACTTTGGCTGTTCCTGCTGGCCCAGCACTGCCTGGCTTGATCTCCCGCACACACACAACAGCCTTCACGGGAAGAGTTTTATTCTAAATAGCCACATAGGAGCTTTGTTGCCTCCCACATATTTATTAAAACGCACACTGTGGGAAACGACGGGGCCGCAGCTTCCTCAGACAGCTCACAAGCACTTCTCTCTGAGATGTCTCGTGCCCCCGCCAGCCAGTGTGGGTCTGGCTCGGCTGGGTAATATCTGTGCCACGAAGAGGCTGCAGCCAAGCAGAACTAACGGTCCTTTCACTGGGGCAGAAAAAGGCAGGATGGAGGTGGCACATGTGGGCAAGGAAGTTAGTGAGAGTGAGGTCAGTTGGTGAAATGGCATCACAGTGGGCACAGATTCCCCATCTGATGAAGCGCTTGTGAACTAACTACCAGCTCTTACTGAGGTCCATTTCTCCAGTCAGTCTCCACTTTAACACTCTAAAAAGAGACTAATGTCTTACTGTTTCAGCACCCATAAGTGACCCACACTTGTATAGCACCTCTCAGAGTAAGGTCTCCAAAGCGCTTTACACTACAGTGTATCATTCATCCATTCACGCACGCATTCACACACTGAAGGTGATGAGCTACCATGTAGCCACAGTTGACCTGGGGTGCACTGACAGAGGTGAGGCTGCCGAGCACAGGTGCCACCGGTCCCTCCAACCACCACCAGCAGGCAAGGTGAGTTAAGTGTCTTGCCCAAGAACACAACAGCAGAATTCTCTGTCTGGAGCCAGCATCGAACCTGCAACCTTCCGATTACTGGACAACCCGCTCAACCTGTTGAGCTACTGCTGCCATCACTACATGTGATCATAAAAGTGATGCCAGAAATGCTCAGCCTGCTGTTACTTGCTCCTATCAGTGAGCGACAACAAGGAATTCCTCTAAAATAGCAGTCTGGTCCCTTATCGTATTTGAAATATGTAAACCATCCCCAAGTATAAATCTAGCAAACACCACCCTACCACGACCCTTGGGCTTGTGTACAAATACCACGACAAAACTGTTGGCTTCTGTTGCAATTTCTTATCCTCCTGCATCTGTCCTTCCTCTGCTGCACTTATCACATCCTCTTTCCTCCCTGTCATGTGGGCTAAACGTCTAGAGCAGCATGTCTGCTTCTAACTAAATGCGACCAAATTACATCAGTGTTTGTGTGCTACTAAAATAAGCAGGACTCAACTAAAAGTAGAGGCATTTTCATTTTGGAAAGCAGATTCTTCTGCAGGAAATGACTGGAGTTGTGAGAAAACAGAGCTGGCTCTGCAAAAGAGGAGCTGAAATAGTCCTCTATGTGTCAACATAGAACTTTGTGGAGGTCAAACAAAGAAATGAAGCCAAAACAAACCACAAACATATGTAAGTTCACCTTTCCAAAGAAGGGAAACTGTTTTCTGACTGTTTTCTTTAGAAAGTGATTAACTTGTTACTTGAAGACTTCTTCTAAACTATTTAAAATCTGATAAACCATCAATTAACTTTATACACCTGCTTGATCATGTTGCACACACACACACATGCATGCACGCTCACATGCGTGCACACGCACACGGACATGCACGCACACACGAACACATGCTTGCATGCATACACACACACACATGCATGCACGCTCACGCGCGTGCACACGCACACGGACATGCACGCACACACAAACACATGCTTGCATGCATACACACACGCACACACGCACACACACACACACACACACACACACACACACACACACACACACACACACACACACACACACACACACATTTAGGAGTAATCTGAAAATTCTAGTAAACACAATATGCATGTTTTTGATCTGTGGGAGGAGACCTGGGAGTGGAACCCTGGAACTTCTTGCTACAAGACCACAGTCATAATCAACTGTGTCACCATGCAACCTCCTTCTCACTCAGCCTTGATTGGGTTATGAGGAGATGGTCCTTAACTTCAACAGTCATTGGGCGAGAGGTGAGGCCTACCCTGGGCAGGTCACCAGCTCCTCACAGGGACAAACAACCAGTCACACACAATCACAATTAGGGACCATTTTTAGAGTCACCAGTTACTATAAAGGGATTAACATTTTCATTGGCACAAAGAAAATCCAACATCTACTGGTTATTTACTTTACCAGTATCTTGACACCCTTTTGGGACAAGTGGAGACTGTGATCCAGGTCTTTTCCTCCAATCTCAGCGCCTGGTCTAACAAAGTCCCTTCCAGTACTTAGAAGATGAAGCTACCATACATTAGCTTCACCCTTTTAGGAAGGCTTTCCACATGGTTTTAGGAGTGTGTTTATGGGAATTTCTGACCCTTCTTCCAGTTGTGTGTTCATGCAGTGAGGTTGGATATGGAGGCCTGCATATCTTTTGGTATTCTACATCAGACACCCCCAAGCTGCTTATATTCAACAATAACAAGGTAAGCGTGGTTGTAAATTGTAGCTAGTTTTATTGCTTTAAGGACAATCATAGGTGAAGCATACATGGAGTCTAAAAGCAAATCCACTGGAAATCCAAACCACAGAATCCCGCTCTACTCTCAGAGGAATCTCCTGCCAATGACAGATAAATGAAAATCTCTGTTGCAATATCAAGACAAACAAGATGGCTATCTCCCACAGACACAAACACACTCAGTCGCTCACGCAATCATTACACACACGTGATGATTTATTGTATCAACAAACTGCATCAAGCACATGTGCATTGTTCCTCCACGTGTGCTCGAAGGAACCTTCACACATCCTGATCTTAATGAGGGGCCGTGAGAGGCGTGGGTCCGCGCTGCGGTGAAAACTCATAAGCTGCTGAAAAATGTTGTTTACAGTCTTTGCTGATGTGAGTTTCAGCTGTCATCCAGAGGGCTCAGGCTCTGAGATGAGTTGCACAACACAGACAGAACTTCTTCCGTTGTGACACTGGACTCGATGATACGTCTACACAGTACGATGTCTGATGAATGCACTTCCTGTGGGATTTACCACACAGACGAGGACAAACATCCACGCAGCAGTAGCCTAGTGAACTAGACCAAATTCTTGCTTTGCAAAGTTTGGTCTAGGCATGCTCCATTGGAACCTCAGCAGCTCCTACCAGGACTCTGGCTAGCCAATCACAGCTCTCTAGAGGGGTTTCAAACACATAAAGAGCCGTGATTGGTCCATAATGGTGGGCCAATCATAGTGTTCTATCTGCTTGGTGAACAAATCACAGAGCTTTATCCGCTTTGTGGGCCAATCAGGGCACTCTATATGCCTGGTGGGTGGGATGATGCAACAGAGTGAAACAAGAGTATGTCACATTCATTGTCCAGTGGAATGCGGAGATCATTTGAAAGACAACGGTAGAACCCGCCCCACAACCGAGAGCCGTCAATGGAGTATGGCCAGACTAAATAATACATTTATTTAGTCTGGCTTGCCAGGCTAACGCAGCAGGACTGTGGTGTCTAACTTAATCTCGCTGTTAGCTGCAGACTAAATAAACTGTAACGTGTCTTTGTGGCATGCGGCCATAGAAGAGTTGCTTTTATCCAACATTCATCAAAGAAGATAAACAAGTAGAAACGCAGTCACACACATGCTTTGGACGTTTTTGCTATGATGCAACCATTTTTATCTGGTTTTTAATGAGATTTTCACAAAGGAGTTTGGTAGAGAAGACACTTTTATTGAAGAATTTAGTGGGTGCCCAGGAAGGCAGTTTGTTCTTTTTCCAGTTTTGCAAATGCCACCCAGGAAGCAGCCCCCACTTAGCACCTGTCGATCTACCAGATACCTCACAGCCTGAACAAGGAGAATAAATTCACTTTACTACTAATGTTTTTGACAGAACTGCCAAACAAAGAGGCTGTAAAAGCTGAAGAAAACACATTTTTGGTGTTCTCTCATTTTATTCTCCTTTTCAGCTCTGCAAGGGAAAAATACTCATGATGCTCTCTGTTCGCTCCAAGTTTATTTAGTCTGAGAATCTCAAACCCTTCAAACCTCCATCAGTTGTCTAAAGCAAGAATTTTTAACTCATCGGCCGGTTTTCAAAGCATGACAGATGTCACTCGTGATGATGCAAAATTATGGATATACCAGATTTGGTCTTACAGTGTGTGGTGTGCAGCAACTTGACAGACACTACACACAAACCACTTTAACTCACAGACATTTCTCAGTTAAACAGGACTTATTTTAAGATAAAATGTGACTTCAAAGTAGACAAATATGGTGGAGGAGGGGAGTGCTAAGCAATCACCTTGTATTCTGTCTGATTAGTTACACATCATATTCAACAGGCAGTACATTCATTTGTCTGTGAACATCAGGCCAATCCAACATGTCTGAAAGCCCGGATTTATGATCGGAGCAGTCCAAATGTCCTGCAGAGTGTACCAGAGCACTTGTAACACACCACAAATGGTAGGATTATCTGATAAGATTATCCTAGAGTGTTTATGATAATCATAAGAAACTTTAAGGTTGTCAGAATGGGCAGGGCTAGTTAAAAATGGCGTGATTATCCTGCTAACCAGACTACAGCAAGTAAATTTTTAGGAATTGGAAACGTTTTCTGTCTGTCTGATTCACATTTAATCTCTTTTCTTCTAAGGATGCACACTAGTATCGACCTATCGATAATAGCGGATGATATTAGCATTAAATCAAAAATAGAAAATTATCAGTATCAACCTTAATTCTTTTAATGAAACAAAGTTTAAATACCATGCACATGTATATCAAACTATTCGGCTGCTGCTTCTTTCCCTCAAAATGTGAAAATGTGACAGATCTGAGGTATCGTTTTTGAGATATTTGAGATAATTTAAACTTAAGTAATTGCCATATTATGCTAAGTTCAAACATGAATGATAGGAGATAGTTCATTTTAGTTACCTAACATTATTTTGTGGTCATTTTTTCTCATGAGAGGTAGACCCCACAAACATTGATCTTGGTTTTTATTGATAAAAAAGACATCATCGAACATCCCTACTGTCTTTGCTCTCTTTTTACTTCATTATTAATGGGCATTTGTAGACCACTTTAACTATAAAGTTTGCAACTCATTATTTAACTTTTTGGGTCCGGAACAATATGTTTCTGTTCACATATAATGAGCTGCGACATCAGAAATGTTGTGGTTATTTTTCCAGGAATAACTTTCAAATCTGCTGTGCATTTTCCCCATATGGACACCTATGTTTCTGTCTAAAGACGAGATATTTGATTTAGCGATGTATATGTAACCTTGGGTAAAGTGTTCCAAAGATAATAATAACAATATTCTCGGGCAGAGTGGAGCTACTGGTCGCCGACTGTGTGCTTGTCAGTCTCGGGCGGTTTCTGGGTTACCTGCTGCTTCCTGGCACTGGCTCCGGTTGATGTAGGCAAAGTGGTGGTGGCAGCTCTGAGACTCACAAACGCAGCCCTCAGCAGTCAGGTTACACCCAGAGAACAAGCATGCTGGGTTGGAAGGTCCGACGTACTTTTCTCTGTGCCTGTCCCGATGATCGTGTCTCCGACCATCTAAAATCCAGCCGTGAACAAAAGAAAAAACAGCCACTGGTGAGTCACACACAATAGCAGTACTCAGGAGTGAGTTGGGAACCAATACATGAAGCCTGAGCTTGTGTGTCATCACTATGATATGTAAGGAGCATTAGTCACCTTAGAGCCACATCTGTTATGAATTAGCTCCTCTCTATGAATAGCATTCTACAATCCTATCCGTATACCACTCTCTGATCTGAGCATCTGTCTTTTATCGTGGAAAAAAAGGGATTACCTGATTTGCTGCCCTTCAGACAGGTTTCTTGGTCTGGATAGGCAAAGGAGCCCAAGCAGGAGTGACGTGCATCACACACACACTGACTTCCAGCTCTATCGCAGCCCGTCATTAGAGGACAGCGCTCATCCACGAGGCCAGCATCTGGATGATCAGGAATGACTGTGGAGGAGGACAGAAGACTTTCATTTTCAGCCTGTTGATCCATTTCAACAACTTTTAGTTTCTTTATACAGTGAAAAAAATACGGGCACTGTTGCAACAAACAGTGAAGTGGCCCTCCCTCCTTTTTGTGCAATACCACTACAACCACTGAGCCCATTTGTTAGCTTTTGTTCCACCGCGCGGGGCCCTCCCAGGGACTCCGTCCACATCACCACCTCCTCTGAACTCAAGCCACTCGCACCACATGCCGTTGCCTGTCTTCAGAAGGTTTAGCCCGAAATGGCATTGCAAAGAACTTTACAAGGAGAAAGAATTGGACATTTTTGAGCAAAAGATCCATGGATTAAAAGCTCCAACAGTATTCTGTTCATATTCATGAATGAATAGATGCACACATACAGTATATAGCCTCCAAAATATCCCACACTATTGCTGTTCAAAAAGAAAAAAGAATTGGCAGAAGAATAAATAGGATGAGACAAACTTTAATGCTTTAACGCCAAGCATTTTAACTCCAATGATTTAAATCAACAAATTGGAAGCGTGACCAAAAAATATCAAAATCTGGCTGTCTTTTAAAAACAGCAACACAGAAGAACAATCGCCAAAAGAAAACATGTCTGAGGCTGAAAACTCAACATATGCATGACCTCTATAATATCTACCTCACATACCAGAACTGAAACCCATGAGAATTAGGAAAACCATAACAAGGTGATTCAATCTGACAAAAAAAAAAAAAAAAAGATTAAGCTCCACATTCTTGCTTTAATTTGCCCTGGATTAATAATAAAAATGAAAAAAACACGCACAACTCCTCAGGAAAACAAAACAGATCATCTATCTTGAGAATAGGATTGCTTATCTGTTTAGGAGGTGACTGAAGCAGGACCCATCCTTGTAAAATACTCGGGGCAGATATTGTTGACGACCTGTTCCACAGTCAGCTCTTTGCCAGTGGAAGTTAATATCACCTTTAACCCGAGCCAGCCGGCGCTGCTAATGTCTCTCCCAGACGGTCGGCGAGCTGGCAGAACACATGCAGCTTGTCCTTTAAACCCAAGCAAAACGTTTCCCTTCATCCTAAAATGATCCACACCTCCACATTTTTCCATCCTGAGGCTTTCCTGCTCCTGCAAGTATTTTCATTTGAGATGCTGTCAGAGCTGGGTGCTAAATCTGGCAGGTAGAAAAGGAGGTAGAAATCAAAACAATCAATTTAAGCCTGGACACTGAAGACATTGTCTCGGCTAAATTTAGCTCGTCACCCCACAGTGAGCCTCAGCAAAGAACCCTTCGGCCCGACCCAAGTCTGTTATGGTCCCTCCTTGTTATCCAGTCTGGCATGAGTCTAGCCAAAGTCTATAAGGCTTCTTAGAGGGGGATTCCTCTCTCAGCTACTGAAGCTGCTTGTCTTGGCATCCAGAGCCAGGATGGAAAAGCTGACCTCTAGAGGCCCTTAGGCTGATAGCGAACTTAAAAGGAAGTCTTTGAAACGTTAGATAATACCAGAGGAAGGGAGAAGTAGAAGGCATGTGAAGGAGTGAAGTGGACACTGGGTCCCCGCAGGACAGGCATTCTGTTACATGGTGTGTTACGTGTCTGAAAGCCAAAGAAACTAGACGTGGGAGGACTGAACAGCTAGATCCGACACACTGATTTCATGAGGCTGACCACTTGAATGATGAGGTGAGCAGGCGTCTCCTTAGAGCAGGTGTACAGAGGCTTGTTGTGGCTTGGCAGCTTAATTACATCAAATAATTAATATAGTTTGTGGAGCGTTGCAAACGTCGCTTTGGTTTTGTTTGATTACTTTGGGCTGTTGTACCTTCAAGAATAATGATGTTTACTGAGCAGAGGCCTGTTAGCCTCAATGAGATGTGAAAGTTCCTTAAATAAAAGTAAGTAAGGATGAGAATAGAGACACCTAAACAACTGTGTTTTTTGTGCTTGAACGCTGAGAGAGTTTCTGACCACCCAGTAAATCAAACTGTGAACAGAAAAAATGGGGGGTTTAGAAAAGCGGAAACATTTGTCCCCCTTACTCCTGATTGCATGGCCTAATCACTTTAAGACCCTTGCAGCTTGGAGAGGGAAATCTGGGATCAGCCTCCAGCAGTCTACCTACTGTGGCCCCTGAAAACACACTGGGAGGTGTTGATTTACCCCCTCCCAGACCCTTTGGGATATCAGGGCTGCGTGTGTTCGTGGGTCTGATTTAGGACACCAGCGGCAGCAGGAGCAGAGGCATGACTCAGCCAGAGGAGCCATAAGGTCTCTTGCTCAATCCAAAACTGTTAAAGTGCAGAGGAGATGTCCGCCAGACATCTACGCGTGAGACATAATCAGCACCTCCTGGGAACACCTGGCAAATAAAAAAAAACCTTCAAAACAAAAAAGCCTGACTTGGACCACCCTTTAGAGGGAGATGGAGTAGCAGGGTCAGGAGATCCAGACACCCACTGGGAGCTGTTTACTCTCTCCTTCAGTCCTGTCAGTCCTCTTCAATCATCCGTAAAACGGCTGGACACAGTGCAGGTGGCAGGGCCAGAGGGGGTCCATTTGTTTCTCCGCTGTTTGGAACCTATACTCCATGCCTTTCTTTGAAGCGGAGAAAGGGACTCAAATTGTGCGTGGAATGACCACATACCCCAAATAAAAGCCCACAGCTCTGCTTGGAGAAAATAGAACAGTGGGGCATTGTAGTTAAACTCACACTGGTAGGGGCAGTACCCTGTAGAAAATATAAAAAAAACGAGCTGGCAATGGTAAGCAAAAGGTTGGTTCTCATGCAGATTTGCACAAACATACTTGTTTATGTTCTTATCTTAGTTTTATCCCAAATGTTTTGAAGCAAAGAGAACAGGACCTTCTCCAGCTGAGGCCTTGTGCCAAATCACTCCTGTCAGACTTTATTGTCATGCCTCGGACTGAGGCTTTGAGGTTAAGAAAAGAGGCAAACTTGACTCCACTGGAAGTCAAAAGCAGCTCAGACACGGAGAGATGCTCCAGATGGTCCCTATAGGACTTTGCGCATCTGAGCTGATGCGTAAAAGTCAGTAGCACAGATTTGATTTATATAGAAAACAAAAGTATTACTCACCCTTACACACCCCAATCTCAGGGATGGTGGCAGCTCCCGTTTTATTGACAGAAGCGCAGGTCAGCCCCAGAGCGCAGTATCCGTGCGTCCAGTCCTGACCACCGCACCTCTCCCACTCCAGCCGCGTGCACTGATCACAGCATCCGCATGGATCCTTCGCCAAGCTCCGGCCACCCGCGCAGCCGTGCAGTGGTGGCTTGACGGGACAAGTCCGAAGGTTACAGGGCGTGCACTCGTGCGCCAAGAGCGCACGCACCAGAAAGAGCACGTTGAGTGAAAGAACGGCGCATTTGCTGAACATGGTTGCGAACCCCGCGTCAGGAAGTTTTCCACAGAACCCGATCCGCTGCTGTCAGGAGGATTAACCACATGAACTCACCGCCACAGTTTGTTGTCAGGAGCTCAGGAGTAAAGTTTGGAGTACTTGGTCCGCGAAGTACGCAGCATGGGACAGGGACGGGAACAGGACGCGCGCGCTGGAATCCTTAGCTTCTGGGTGAACAGGTAGACGCATCTGATTTGATCCAAACGTGGAAATCCGAGACTGTGCGCGTCCGCCGGAGCTCACCGCACAGAAAGACGCAATGAGAGGCTTAAATTGACATGCAGGCATACAGAAATTAGCGGTGCGACCCTCCCCCTCCTCCCCCCCACCAACTGACACAGGCAGCGACCAGTCACAGGGAGAAAAAGGAGGGAGGATTGAAACTGATTTATCCCTGGCTGACTACTTGCCTCTGTGTTGCGCAATGATGTAACTCTGAATGTCTTGGATGTAAGTCCTTCAATTTACTGCTGAGCTTTTATTTTTGTTTGTTTTGAAGATACATTTTAAATAGGAACAATGTTTCTGCCAAAACACAAAATTATGAGATGTTGGTTGTGTTTTTATTTCAGTTGATCTTGTCTGTCAAAGCCTTTTCATTAAACACATCCGACTCTCTCACATGCTTGTATTTGTGTGTCTTTGTGTATACAGATGGCTATGGAGAGGAAAAGGTCAGGTCATATTTGTTGAAGCAATGTTTCATTGACACATTGATGGTTTTTCATGTTGATGTTCTCTAAAACCACCAGTAAACCATTGGTCCTCCCATTTGTTTCCTCCTTTGTGGATCACATCTGGTGGACTCTTGCTGTCATCACAAACATTTCTCTGCCCTAGATCAGCACCACAACAGCACCTCCTTCATTTGCAACATCTGCCCAGAGCCATCCGCTCCAACACAAACACAACATCCAGGAAACCGGTCCGTAGCATGCATAATGAGCCCTTGCAACACAAATCAGCTCTTGTCCTCTGCGTCTCTCTCTACACCCGCCTGTCCGCCCTGCATCCTCAAGCACTCTCAGAAAGGGTCAGTCGGCTGACTGCTGGCCGGTCACCCATACAAGCTGACGACAGATCAGTCCAGGACTTTGGAGAGTCCCTTGCAGAAAGCAGCAGATGCCAACGTTCTACCAGCATTCACTGGCATACTGCCACTGGCAGACTGACATAAAGGTCACAACAACAATGTTGGTCCTTTTTCTGTTTCTTTCATAACATTGAGACGTTTTTGGATCATAAAATTGTTTTTTTTCCCTCTCTCGGAGGGGCAAATCAACTGCACCAAAGTTAGAAACACCCTCATTAGACTATTTTCGCGTGTGCCTTGAGTCAAATGTAGCACAAATGTTGTATTTGGTATTTAGTTGCATTGTTAAGACTGTCATCAAATCCTACAGTGAGTTTATCCATCACATTGGTTTTGCTTATACAATCACAGAAGTACCAAATTAAGTCTATGCGTGGCTAATTGCATGCATCTCCACTCTCTAAAACCAATCTGAGAATTAATAGGGTAAGCAGGGGGGAAAAGGTGAGGCAGCAAAGATTGTTTTGCACATCTTGAATAACTGCAGTGTGTGCGTGTTAATGATGCTCTGAGTCACAGATCTCTGAGAAAGTACAGCCCTGCTCTGCAGCCTGTATTATAATGGCTGAGATTCAAGCTTGGTGTGCATTTGCGATCTAGTGAGTTCTGACCACATCATGATGAGAGCACAGAGTGTGGGGGTCAGTCCCACAGATTAGGTGACCTCTCAACGTGCCACACACTTCTGTTGTTGCTGCTGCAAAGGCATCAGGCTGCTGGTGAGGATGTGTTTCCTGGAGTGTAGAAAGGTGTGAATGATGGTTATGCAATGATACGGGGCTGAAACTGGAGCGTGACGTGGAGTGTTGAATGCTTGTCGAGTGGACGGCGTGCTGCACACCTGATTACAGTCCGCAAGAAGACATTTTCCTCGGTGTGCAAAGCTGGACATAAACAATGTTTAGCGTATCTCACGTTCGCAGGGCTGAGCTGATCCAAGCTAATGGGTGGGGTTGATGAGGGCCGTAATAGAGATGCACACTGGCAGTTGAAAGAGTTTCAAAGCAATTTAAACATTTACTAAATAGCGGAAATATGGAGCATTTAGTGTGGAGACTAAGCAACGAAGTGCTAATGAATGGCCTGTTTGAAAGTCAGCACAGATGAGGTCATTTGTTTTTTATATAAGCAATGAAATTAGATGGTGGTGGTGGTGGTGGTGGTGTGTGTGTGTGTGTGTGTGTGTGTGTGTGTGTGTGTGTGTGTGTGTGTGTGTGTGTGTGTGTGTGTGTGTATGTGTGTGTGTGTGTGTGTGTAGGAAGGGACGACTAAGAAACACAAGAAAAAGCAACAAACAAAATCCTTCCTACAAATTTGGCAGAAATAAAAGTATTGCATGCAACACAATGTTTATTTTTTGTAAACAACTGTACAAAATTATTTTCCATTGCCGCCATTAAAAATGACTCCTGAGTACTTTTGCTTTCATTTTGGACTCTTAGTTTGTTTGGATTATAGCAAACAAAAAGAGAAACTCATTCTAGAGAGAGATCAGAGTGGATTTGAGGGAAGGCTGATAAAAGCAAGAAGCAGGATTTTCTTACACAAGGAGTCCTTTGACCTTTCTTCTCCTCATTTCTTTTTTTTTCTTTCTCATTTGCTCTTCAGTTTTCTTTGTCTCTCTGTGAGGTCTGGTCCAGTTGCTGTTTTCCTTGCAAGGGCTACACTAATGTACTATGACACCATCATGTCTCCTGCAGAGTCATCACAGCAGCAGAGTTGCACCTCAGACAAACACAATTCCCGTTTTTTTTTTTTTTTGGGCTGTTTGAGGTTTTAAGGTTCACAGAGGTCAAATAGTCATGAGGGTTTGATACACACCTTTAGCTTTGTAGTCTGTGAAATGGCTGCTTTGTGTTAAGAGCACATAAATCTAGAGAGTGGTCATAAATGTCGTCATGGAAACCCACATCATCTGAGTTCGTGTGTTTCTCACACTGGAATTAGGCAACGACAGATTTATGATTTGCTCCTTTTATTTTGAAAAATCTCTTCATAAATAAAAATGACCTCAAAGGTGTGGTTCACTCATTTAATCAATACATCTGCAGTGGTCTAGTAGGAATGAATGCCTTGTAAGTTGTGCTCTTCGGACAAAAGCCCTGGTGCGCCTGTTTTAGGAACTAGAAGTGAGCAACATCAGAATAAAGCTTCACATGACAGGATTTGGACTTTATTTCCTGATACTTGGAAATCTCACTCTGATTGGTTAACAACAATGCAACTCTACACTGACTCTGCTTGCTTTGCCACATTTGTGATTTATCTCCACAAAAAAACAAGACTGAAGGAGTTCTGCTATGTGGTGGATTAGCTTCCACTAGTTGAGACGTTCTTTGCCGTTTCCTGGATACTAAATCAACAACATCCTTCCCCGTCATGATTCAGTGTGATGTAGATCTGTCAGGCTTTTCAAATTCTAGAGTTTCAACATCTATGAAAAGCTAAGGCAGGAGATAGGTGTAGGAGACTATTTTCGGATTCAGCCTGCATGAAAAACTCAGAGTTTCCGATTATACTCAGAAATAATAATAATAATAAAAAAAATGGCTTTTCAGTTATTCGCACCTTTAAAGCTGGGGAGCGCTCATTAAAATGTTTATATTTGCAAATTTCCCCCTGTTTTATTATATAAAGTAGGTAACATAAAGTAGTAGCAAATATAAACTAGGTAATATTTCATTGTTTATATTTCCACTAGCTGCGATGGACTGGCTCTCTGTCCAGGGTGTACCACGCCTGATTGCCGTTGACCGCTGGAGATAGGCACCAATGAAGCACACCAATGAAGAGGAAGAAGAAGTCGGAGCTTTGTAATGGAGTAACCAAAAAAAAAAAAAAAAACAAAGTTACAGATTCCTCTACTGCCTTCTACTTTTCAAAGAGAGTGTAAACAGTTTAAAAGTTATTTTTGAAAACTCTTTGTGAGATATTTCAACACGTTCTCACTCCCAGCGTGTCAAAAACAAACGCTTGGTCAGCCACCCTCCACGTCAGACCCCTGACGACAAAAGTGCCCTTTTTCGTTACTCATGTGCGAAAAGGGTTTTTTCCCTTATTTGACTGCAGATCCCAATGCAGCGTTACACTGACGTGATGGGATGTCCGCAGCAGGGCACCAAACAAGTTCATTGTACCTCACCTTAACCTTATCCTTATTTAACCTTCCCCTCACCCCTATCCTAACCTTAACCATCTTGCTAGCGAACACGTTAGTGATGTGTCGATCGCTCTAAAAGCCGGATCTATGAAGTGAACGGCGGGAGCCGCCTCGTGACTGGTCGAGTTTGGACCGAGCCAACGCGAGGGGGAGGTTTCAACTACCACGGTGGAGGTTAAAAGTAGAGGGTATGTGTAACCTCCCCCTCGCCAGATGGTATGTTCTAACGTTCCCCTTGGGCGGCAAATACGAAAATTGACAGTCAGACTCTGACTGTCAAGAGTCAGAATGCATGGGAAACAAACGCTTGATCACAGTGAGAGTAACGTTTTAGGTAGCAAGAGGGGTTAGGATGAGGGAGAGGGAAAGGTTATAAATAGTGAAACGTTAAGGTTTAGGTGCGGTTAAACGAGCTGGTTCGGTGCCGCATCAGCGGATATCTAATCATGTCAGTTTTACGCTGCAGTAGGATCTGCAGTTACAAAAGGGAAAAACCCTTTTCGCACATAAGTAACGAAAAAGGGCGCTTTTGGCGTCTGGGGTCTGACGTGGAGGGTGGCTGACCAAGTGTTTGTTTCCGACGCTTAGGGTGTGAGAATGTGTTGGATATTTACAGCAGTCCAGTAGAATTTATGTTGGAGATACTGTGAAAGACAGAAGATGGGAGTTGCCAGATTCTGGGGGCATGGTGACTGGACGCCGGCTGGTGCTTGTCAGGCATGATGAGGTCAGAGATGAGAAAAGGGTGGCAGATCTACCAAGGTGTGTGTGTGGTCGACCTGTCATTGTGGCACCCGGTTCTGGGGGGTGGGATCGTTCGCAGTTGGTTAAGACTGCCGGCGATGAAGACAGCTGAGTAGGCGGGCAGTGTTCCAGTGCTAGGAGGGGAGGCTTGACGCCTTCTTTAGGTAGTGAGGACTGGGAGAAGTTGGGTACAGAGACCACGCCAACATCTGCCGCCGCAAACTCTGGCAGCCAGACCTGAGCCGTGGACCCACCCGCCATCCTCGCAAGCTGAACCTCGGGGCGTTGGATGGTGTTGGAAGCTCAGACCCCGGGGAGGGGATCGCATTGACTGGGCCAGCTAAGTACCTGATTGTTTGATTTTACTTGTGCTGAACAGCCGGTTTTCTTGTGAAGGAACTCGGCCGTGGTGTTTTATTATTTGGTTGTATTAATAAAGGGTATTTTTGATAATTGCTGCCTACTGGTGCTGTTTTTAGGTTCTGACTGGAGGGTAAGACATTCTGTTCGTGCACCCACTGAAACTTATATTACAATACTTTTCAAAAATGGAGGGAGCTTCGTGATCAACAACGGTTCAAAACTGAAGAAGAAAGGGCAACTTGTGTTTTGGACAGGTGAATACTAAGTAATTTATTGTATTTTAGAGACTTGAAAAATACATTTTATTTAAATAACAGTAATAAAAGTGCAGACGCAACGTTTACTATCGCTAATATGCCACTAGCCTGAATGCTAACTTGACCTGCACTGAATTAATGTCAATCTGTAAACTTCAAGCTA